CATACTTTTCTTGAACACATCACCAAATATTTGCATATTTATTCATACCATCCTTTAAAAATAATATTTTTTTGATACTTATTATTTTTAAAACATATACCATTATAATTATATAATAACCTCAAAAATAATACTTGGTTTTATTATTTTTGTGGAAAATCTTATTAAGTTGTGTGACTTTATTGAGTGTTTTATGAATTTGGTTTGATGTGAAAATATTGGAATTAAGTGAGTTTAATCTCAAATTTGGACTAAAATGCCCTTATGATTAAGTTTATGACTTTTTTTAATGAAATAGGCCTGTTTAAGCCCGGCCCGATGGGCTTTCTCAAGCCCGGCTAATGGGTCAGGCTTGGGCTTTGAATTTTCTAAAAAAAACCCGGTCTGGCCCGGTCTGATATTTTCTCTCTCCTTTTTAAAGCCTGACCCGACCCGGTCCAAGCCCATTAAATTTGGGCCGGGCTAGCCTGGCCAGGCCCATTGACGAGCTCTATTCTTGAACATGTCAATGGCTCCACCTTGAACCAAGTGCATCTAAATCAAACTAGACTTGATACCAATTGTTGTACCAACGGACTAATAGGAGTCCACTACCTGTCCAAATCATGCACCAATATTGTACCCACCTTAACCACCTGAGAAAGCAAAGGCCTAATGGACCTCTAGGTGCGGGGTTTTAGAAGTGGACCACCTATATTTGAACTGTAGATTATTGTTATATTCTCTGATGCGAGACTTGCACATCATGACTTGTATCAAGCCACCTACACCAACAAAGTCTAGTAGTTTGTATATTTCATATTTGCAGCTATGCGGCTTATGCATGAAGGGTTGGGTTTGATGATTTTTTAAAGAATTCTTGGTCACGTGATAATAGAGGTTTATTAAAAAAACAAATTCAAAATCTCACGCCTATTTTCAGAACTTGGACCCATGAAGGTTTTTGTCCATAATTCCAAAAGAAAAAACGAACTTTAACTAGATTGGATGGTATTCAGAGCGTTGTGAAGGAGGCATAGCTCTTATCTTTGGCTTCCAGAAAAGAAGATCAGTAATGAATCCAATGATATTTTGGCTCAGGAGGAACTTTATTGCAAACAGAATTCTAGAAATTTGTGGCCAAAGGAAGGTGATTAAAAAACAAAGTTTTCCCTTATCTACAATAGTTAGAAGAAGAAAAAATAAATTAGAAGGGTTGGAGAATGATTCTGGTTAATGGATTGATTCCAAGGAGGAAATGAAGAAAATTGGTATTCAGTGGAAGAAATGTGGTGTGCTTGTGCAAAACTGCTTTAATAGTGCAAACATTCCTGAGGGACTCAATAATGCTTTGATTTCTCATATTCCTAAAGTGGACAAGCCTACTTTTTTGAAGCAACTAAGGCCTATAAGTCTCTGCAAATTAAGACCTTTCATAATTAAGTCGGTGTCTCTCACTAATTGAGCTTTGTCTCAAAGAGACAAATTGTGGATAATATTATTATCTCGCATGAGATTTTGCATAAATTTAGAGGAGCCAAAGGTAAGAAAGGTTTCATGGCATGGAAGGTAGATTTAGCCAAAGCTTATGATTAGTTGCAGTGGGACTTTATCATGAGCAATTCCGCAGGAAATCGGTTGATGTGGTTAGTTTCTTGATTTGATCTCAAACTGTGTTAATACTGTTCAGTTCTAAGCATTAGTAAATGGTGAGATTGTAAGTGTATGCATTTTGTATTTTTCTTTGGCTTCCCTTGACAATTTTGTAATAGGACAATCATTGTATTTTCTCAAGCTTTATTTTAGATTAAGAATTACATCTCTAGATGTTCTTATCTGGCTACATTATCATGGACAACAATGTGTTTGACAAAGGTAAGTTTTGCATTGCATTAACTAAATTCCTAAAAATTATGACTAGTCATCTTTCCTTCGTATGACTAGTCAACTTTGGAATTATTAGGAGTTCCAATTGGATCCTACCCATTTGTTTTTGTCCTATTCTGCGAAATTCTCTGCTGCCTTGTAGGAATTTGGTGTAAAAACTAGTGCATTCTTCAATTGGTAGCCGTCACTTTGGTAGGCAAGTTTTGGAAAGTTTCTTTGCAAACTTTCACTCCTTCCTTAAGTGTAACCTTCATATTTTTCATCTTTGAGTTTTCCAAATTGTTTCCTTTTGAAAATTGCATTTGAAATATGAAAACCTCATCTTGCTAGATCAAACACTCTCATATATATATATATATATATATATATATATCCAAGTCATATTCAAGATTGATTTCTTCAAGAGTATGGTTTCTTGAATAAATTGGTCATTCTCCCTTTGAATCCAAATTTCGTCATTGTTTGAGTTGGAGCTAGCCAGCTGGTGCCATGGGATGAAAGAGCTAAAGAAGGAGCTGTCATTGCCATGAAGACCTAAGCTGTTGGTTTTGCTAAGCTGGAGAAGAAGATTGCATAAAGGAGGTAAAGCTCATCTTCCTAAATATACCTAGGAATTTCTTGAGCTTGCTAGTGTTTCTTTGTAAGAATCTTTTTGCTTAGTGGATTGCTTGGTCGGTTGATGACCCCCCAATTTTTCCCAATGGTGGGTTTCTATAGGTGAACAATTTCTGGTTTCCATCTCTGTAAATTTTCTAGGTTTGTGTTCTTGATAGTTGACTAGCCATCGCATGAAGTTCATGTGTTTCTGGGTTTGTGTTCTTGTGGTTGACTAGTCATCATTTTCTGCTATTTGGTGTTTACTCGATTATGCTGCCTTCACACACTTTCATCGTAGTTGTTGCTAGCACAAGGGATGCCTAGATTGGCGGGTCCTTCTGAGTGCCTAGGTTGTCACTAGTAATTCTCTAGGCTTGCAGGTACATCTTGATATGCTCTGTGTATATTATTGTTTGGTGTAATTCATATCTGACAATTGACTAGTCATAAGAGTATTTGGTCAAGGTCTAGAGTGTGAAGTTTGTTGTGTTTTTGGTTGAATATCATTTAAATTTTCCCCTCGTCACCTAAGTACCTATTGCAGAGATGACTAGGAAGTTTATTCCGAAAGGTGTGGCGAGCCAAAGGGATCCTTTGCCCCCATATCATCTTGTTTTATGCCTTGAGTAGTTAGCTCATATTCTACAACATCATGTCATAATGAAACTTCGGAAACCAGTTTTGGCAGCTAAGAAGGGGACCCATATTTCCCACCTATTTTTGCTGATGATGTGATTCTCTTCGCAGAAGCTTCTCCAAAACAGGCCAAGATTATGAGCAAGGGTAGTATTGATTATTTCTATAAGATGTCCGAGCAGTTAGTGGATTTTGAGAAGTTTGTGGAGTATTATTACTCTCCTAATATTGAGAAAGTTAAAGCGATGGAGATTTCCCAATGATGTGGTTCCCCCTTAACCAGTGACTTGGGAAGATACTTGGGTGTTCCACTAATTCATGGAAGGAAGACTGGCGACATAAATAAAAGACTGAATCCTTTCTATGGTTGAAAGAGTGGCTTTGGTTCAGTCTGTTACTTCTACTATCCCGATCAATATACTATGCAAACGGTTAAACTGCCTATGACAGTTTGTAGGGAGTTGGATAGGTTGAATAAGAACTTTATTTGGAGATCAACTGATAGGAGAAGGAAAGTGCATCTTGTCAGTTGGAGTACTATTTGTCCTAAGAATAGAGGTGGTCTGGGGTTGAAAAATACGGAGCATGTTAATCAAGATCTCCTTGCAATAACTTGATAGAGACTGGTGAAGAAAGATAATGGTTTATGGGTCCATTGAGCTTGCTCTAACATTGAAGAGAATCCGGTAGAGAGCTAGATACCATACACCTTGTGGGAGTGATTTTCCTCCCTAGAGAATATTCGTCTAGTAATCCCTTTTTCCTCCCTAAAGAGTTTTAGACGTACCTCGTGCCTTGTCCGTGGCCACATATTTATAGGGGCCTTGGTGGCTAGGGTTTCGGAAGAATAATCCCTCACATGGAAAAGAATATTTTTCCCTAATTTAGAGAGATTGAACCAATTAGCTAATTTTATTAGAATCAAATTCCTCATTATTACAAGAATCCCCAAATTGATAGTACTAATTATTTGACCTAGGATCTTCAAATATTGCTTCCACACACCTAAATATCATAATTCTTGTCTCGACACATATTAGTACAAATTGGTTTCCTTCCATTGCCTTCCCAACTGTGCAATGACAGATTGTTATTTGCTCATGTACATTAGTTATTCTTCTTCAGTATTCTTAATGCAAAAACAAATTTAAAGTGCGAAGAGTTCAATAACATAAGAAGAAATTATTTAAATTTTATCAGATAAAACCATAATCGCAACATACCTGACCAAGTGATCTTCATTTGATTACATTCTTCATTTCCTTCATTTTGAACACTTACACGAATATCACTGATGGCACGCTCTATGTGTATACCTTTCAAAAAATGACAGTAATTAACCTTAATCAATATATTTCGAATTACTATTTCTATTACAATTATGGATATCTCCTCATAATTGATTTACGTATATATGTTTTGTGTGTTGTCAATTTTTTCCATGTCCCCTCATGTTCCTGTGTTAATATTCTGTCACATGTGCTCTTAGATAACAGTGTGAAAATACCTTTAACTCTTAATTAAAAATAGAATATTAAAAGAAAAGAACAGTTCTGATCCTTCATCTTCTTCCTTTGTCTTCCCAAACCTCGCAGCCAACAGACCCCTTCCAATTCTTTCAGATAAGAAGTTAAAACAATAATTAAAAAAAACCAAATCAGCATTTCCACATCTCTCATCTGGGTGTTCCATTTCGTTCTTTGTCTGATGTTTTGAACCCCTCCCTCCGATATAGTCACTGAAGTTGTCATTTCTTAGCCATTAAGATCAATAACTATTATTTTGAAGTTTCAAGGCTCAAATTCAAAAGCGCAGTCAATTTTGAAGTCTTAGGTTCATTACAGTCAATGTAACATTGAAAATATATAATTGTAATTGTATGAGGGAAGAGAATGTGGATACTAACAATTATAGATCCATATTTGCCAGAATTGAGGCTTGTTCCACTCGGGAATGCAGAAGGCATAAATCCTTCCATCGGGAATGCCCCATCTTGGCCCTTGGTAAAGACCAATCGTGGACAACACTGAATTAATTCCCGAGCAATACCTGTAGTAGGGAAAAACAAGTTTTTATAATTAAGGAAAAAAGGGAGTAATCAATTTCATTGTTATAAGATTAAAACTCTTACCAAATTTCATGCCCATAATAAAGGTGCGAAGAAGTCCAGCCCCGTATGGTCCTTTTTCTGGCATTAGATCTTGGAAGGGAGTGACGGAGTAAAGATAATCAACGATATCCCATTGTTCATTCATAGAAGCCAAGACAAGTGGAGTCACATTATTGCGGTCCCGAGTGGGAATACTAAGTATTTTCTTGCTCTTTCTAACCATGCATTCAACCATTTTTATATTTCCTCTACTTGCAGCAAGAGCAAGAGCTGTCCAACCATCATTATCGGTTATTTCCAAGTCTTCCTCGGACATCAACTGCACCAACTCTTCCACAATATGCTCGTGCTCTAGATCTGTTGCCATGTGAAGAGCTATCTCGTTTGTAGATGGAAGTCTTGTTCTTATTGCATTGGGATGTAGGGTAAGAAACTGCTTTGCTTCATCCCAATCCCCACTCCACACAGCATCGAACAACGGCTGACATTGATGGAAGTCATTGTAATATCCTGAGCAAAGTTTGTTTAATTAATTTTATTAATAATTTCAGATAACATAATCCATTTATTTTTTGTGTTAATAATTGAATGGATTGTACCCATGAATATAATATGTTTATGTTTTCTGTTTTCAGTTTTTAGAGATCAAGAATATGTAGTTAGAAGTGTAAACGAATCATATATACACTGCCAGTTTATTTAAGGAGATTCACTATTATACCCAATATAAGGGCCAAAATTATATAATAAAAAAACAATATATGAAATGAACTTTAGAAACCCACTTAAAGTCCATTTACAACATAACAAAAAGGCTTCAAACTTCCTATAAATTACAAAATTGTTGTCGATTTCTTAAAACTAGCCCAACTTTAAAACCTCATAAAAATCCAAAACACTCAATAGGGCATCAAAGTAATTTAGTAATAAAAATTTAATTCAATAGAGCCAGCTGTCATTTTTGGGTTTTTTTTTGTTTATTTATAGAAATTAAATAGTGTAATATTTATCGGTATCACTAGTGCTAAAAATGAGTATATAACTAAATATCTCAATTATTTATTAGTTTTTATTTGTAGCTATCATTCCCAACATTTTTTCTAAGTTTATCATATGCAAAATGGCCCTACAAAGTGTCTCCTCAATAATGTGATTGGAGGGATATACCTCAATGAAGGGGATGGTTGAAGTTAAAACTTCCACACTTTTTGCAGCGCGTTGTTACATTAATATATGATTACGATTTGTAGTATACTTCGTTTTCCCTCCCTCATGAATTATATATAGATTGTGTCGATCTACCCCCAAACTTTCATTTCAACCAAATTTCCCATAAAATATACAAAACTGGGTCGATGTACCCAACTGTAATTCTTATCAATTACATCAACCATATCGTTAAAGTCACGTTTTAAGAGACTCATTATCGTTTGACATCATATTCTTTACAAAAAGTGGCACTAATTGTCATTTTGCAAAGTTAGGTGCTTAGCAATTGACTAACTTTTGAAGACTTTCAAGGCAACTTTTGTGTAAAGAATATGGCGTGGGATGCGCATTTGTTTTGCCAACATCTTGAAGGGAATTGCTCTGAATATGAGCAGGGGGTATAAATTGGGTAGTTTCATGATTCATGGGGAAATTAGCTATTTTAAAATAAATAAGTAAAGCCAAAGGGGTAAATTGACACCGTTAAATTTAATTTCAACATGTTACACATGTAATTTGCTTAAGTAGGGAGATCAAAATGTAAAAGAACAAAACGTAAACTGATCAGTCCTTATATCCGTGTTAGTATAATAAGAAACATAAATAGTGGTCTTGTGGTTAATCAATTAAATGTTTAGGGTATAATTTGGTTATATATATATATATATATATATTTCTGGTTTAAGTCGAATATTTACTTCTCACAGATTTGTTGAGGTTCAAGATTTGAACCGGGGACTTACCTGGTTTTGGCTTGAAGTTTTCTGCCAAAGTATCCCAAGCGCGTTGGCTGAACTGGTGTTTCTAATGAGGGAAGAAGCTTCCCGCCCGCACGAAATTTGGAATGTATGTAAAGCCGTGGCATTCTTCTCCCTCCAAGCTTTGAACTTATCATCAGCTTCTTCTTTTTCTTCGTCTTGTTCCACTACATCCCAAAGGTCTTGAGCCAGCAAGTAAGTTTTAACCCATACACTCCAATCCACATAGTTACTGCTATCAAGAAGTTCCACAACAGCTGCATCTGCGGAGAAGGCCATTCTTACCAAGGGCTTACTTAGGAGAGGCTTTGCAATTTCTGTTTTAATTACTATACCCAATTGAGTGAAGAACCACTTGTTAAAGCAATGGGTGAGGATATAAATATTATATACCGTATACACACGCTCATTACAGAGTCTTTTTTTAATCAGAAGAGTCTTTAATTGGGATAGGCCCCAAACCGTATTGTAAACCCAAAAACGCGTCTAATGGACCAGTTACTGCTGGTGTCTGTTTTTTCAACTCATTCACACTTGCTTTTGTTTGTGCCCGACCACATTATGAATTGACCCTCTGAAGCTAACTCTACTTAGGACACTTTTTCTCTCTCTTTTTTTTTCTTTTTGTTTTTGTTTTTTTTTCACTTTTATTATGCTGGCAACTATTGTAATCTCTCAAAAGTATTTTTTTTCCCACTTTTATTTTTCTCAACTGAATTTTTTTTAGTTTTATTTTTCTTTATGAGTCAAAATTTGAAGTCTTTGTGGCCCTACCTAACTCTAACTTCAATAATCCCCCCACCATCAAAGTTGTCACTGACAACACTGTGCAATCCCTTATCACCATTAACTTGCATTGCAATTAACAAATTAAACCAAACCATCGTAATTATAAATTCAATTTATAATGAAGTTGGCCATGTGCACGCACAATTCAACAGAGGGTAATTTATATTAACACACTTGAGGTTTTTAAGGTTTTTATATAACTCCTCCAGATCATGATAATTACACAAACACCTTTCAAGTTTCAACACTCCATGAACAGCCAAAACACTCTTATCCAAATCGTAATATACCTTTGGTTGAATACGGTCGAATACCATCTCAAATCTTACACATTATTGCCAAACACTAGCCAAGTGAATTGCCAAAAATAAAAAAATAAAAAAGCCTATCCTAGTGGAAAATGAATTTAATTTGTTGACTAATATAGTTTGGGTTCAAACTCCCCTGACATCTTGGTGGTATGTGTGTGTGTGAGAAACCCCTCTCTCATTTAAGTTTCGACAATCGCTTGTACTAAAAAAGGGTTATCTGCTAAAAAAACACTATAAATTATCACGCTTGTCGAAATCTCCACCCTAAACTTGTTTTCCTGCCAATTTAGCCCTCATACTAAATTTTCTTGCCAATTTACTCCCCACCATAGTTTTGGCAATTTTCATCCAAATCTCTGTTTAAAAAAATCACATGTTAGGCACATGCTTCACTGTTGAATTAAAAATTGATTTTTTTTCTTTGCTTCTTCAAAGAGCTTAAATTTCTTCTCCTTCCTCTTACTGGGTTTTGGGTTTAGGTTGGTTTGAAATTTACATCCTTGTCCTCTTCGTTATAAAGGTTGAGATCGATCTGACGATTGAGAGATTAGGGTGTAGTGGAGGGTTAGTGGGCTGTGTGATTGAGAGAGAGAGAGAGAGAGAGAGAGAGAGAGGAGAGAGAGAGAGGAGGAGTGAGAGAGAGAGAGGAGAGGAGAGAGAGAGAGGTGTAAATTTTGTATTTGGATTGATTTCATAAGTGTGATACATGAGAGATTTATACATAGTTGAAAACCCTAGTAGAGATATACAAGGAAACTAAATCAACAATACAAGGAAGGTAAATCAATATTAACACATCTACAAATATGGAAGGACGATTCCTGCAATGCAGAGGATTCCTATAATGGAAGAAGGGCCTAACGGCCATGAGTTGATTGCGTGATATTCCCCTGAAACTGGACGGTAGACCTCGATGGACGAGTTTTTCAGAGAGCTGGAGATGACAACTTTTGTGAAGACTTTTTGTGAGGAGGTTAGCAACTTGATTAGTGGAAGGAACAAATTGAACATGATGACTGCCAAGGGCAACTTTCTCAGGAACAAAATGATAATCCAATTCAATATGTTGTGTGAGCGTGATGAACTGGATTCGTAGTTAGATAGGTGGTATTGATTTTGTCACAGTAGATGAGAGTAGGAAATGTAACCGGGCAGCCAAGCTCATGGAGAAGACAACTAACCCAGACGGTTTCGACACAGGCATGAGCTAAAGAACAGTACTCGGATTCAACACTGGAGTGAGCAATGGTTGGTTGCTTCTTAGAACACCAAGAGATGAGAGTGGTAACCAAAAAGATGAGATAACCGGAGGTAGAGCAATGGGTGTCTAGGCAACCAGCCCAGTCAGCATTAGAGTAGGCACGAATAGTTAGTGGTGAAGGAGAGGGACGTATATGCCAAGCAGTAGGGAGACCCCCAACCAGGTTTAAAAGTAGGTAGCAAAATATATTTATTAAATATAGCCCAGTGTCACAGGTTGCACATAAGCAAGTGCTACCGTGACTTCGTTGGGACATCTATGTGCTTTAGAGGTAGTCTAAGTCTGGAAGGGCGAGAGCTTAAGAGCTAGAATGGTTGGTGTTGGTCGGGTTGCACTCGTGAAGGGTATTTTGGGTATTTCTGAAGGTTACGGGAGGAACCTGAAGAACCTAAGAATACCAGGATGTTCGTGATGTTGAGATGCAGGTAACGCAACTGACGGTTCGCCATTCAGAGTTCGTACGAAGGAGTTATGCCCAATTATGACTCCTCATGCATAGGTGATGTTTCCTCCTAGCAGAAGACTAAATGCATAAAATGCTATATAGGGCGTGACATGGTGTCATGCTCTCCACCACCCCTGGTGCTTACACCCTTGTGGCACTAAGCGAGCATCCTTGTGCCATTTGAGGTAGTCCTAAGGGTGGGCATAAGATTGTTGAAGGATAATCTGTGTCTTCGAGGGAAAGGAATTCTCGAGGACAGTACGAACACACGGGGCCGTTCGTATTGCGCATTGTTATAAAGAGTGAGGTCAACGTATGGCATTCGCTATGCCATCGGCTAGCGAGGCATTTGACAATACTCGATGGACTTGGCTTGGGTTGGGCCTTGTCCATGATAGAAGGAAGATATTCGGATGCCGGTACGCATAGGTTGTGACCCCATGCAATGCATAGAGGATTATGTGGGACATTCGGAATACATATGTCTCCAAGGCTTGGGAGACATGCAAGTATGACAGCTTGCGTGTATAGCTTAAGGATGTGGGCTGTCGTGGATGCTAAAGGAATGACCGATAGAAGTGTGGGTGAATCGATGGTGTGTTGGATCGCTATGTCTTGACTTGGACATGAGCGAGCCATGAGTAAGCATGCAACATGGTCGATGCAGTTGACATGTCTTATGCAATGCTTGATGTATGGGCGTAAAGTGTTCGTTGCCGAATGTGGAATGATTGTATTGTCACAAGGTAGTGTGACTCGTTGTGTAGTGGGAGACGACACTTGAAGGTGAACCTCTCGCGGAGTTGTGAGAGTCATGAATATTATGAAGTGGGAGAAGGCTGACTGAGATCCAAAGGGATCCTAGGCCACACGGGTGTGCTTTGAGTGGCAAAATTTGTGTTTCGCTTCCCCCGCGCCGCGCCGCTCACTCATCCCGTGACACCAGGCATGGTTTATCTTAAAACCAAAATCATAATGCACAACAACATAAAAGAAATATTTCACTTACTTCCCATTAAACCGGGATGTCAAGATAAAACATGGATGCTCATACAACTTTTTAAACTGGGAGTCCAAACATTTTCTTTTTCACGCAGATCGCTCCAACTAAAAATACAAATTTTTCTGGGGGCTCATAGAGGGATTCCTTAAATAAGTTTACAGCGATCTTCAATTGAGGGATTCCTTAAATAAGTTTACAGCGATCTTCAATTGAGGGATCCAACATCCCTGTAGGGCCCACTCTGTATTTTATTTCACTAATCCAAACTGTTTATTTTGTAGAATCATTCAAAGATCATTTCTACGAAAAATCACTTGAATTTGGATTCATTTGATCACTCAATTAGAAGATTATTGATACGTACTTTTTCTTATAGCATTGTGTTAAGATTCTTCCTCTTCATCTTTAGAGATTCAATTACGTTTGTTAAGAACTTCCACAACAATTGTACACATCATTTAAAGAGACTAAATGTACCATACAAGTGTTCAAAAAACTAAAAAACATAATGCAAGGATAATAATGATATTTCACACATCATTCAAATTTAAAAATATTACAGCTGGCCCTTTTGGAATTTTTCTTCAATTTAAAGGTTTATGTGTAAATTCAATGCAAGAAATGAGTTTTATTATAAATATATTTTTTTAGATTGATATATTGTAAGTGTTGAAATATATTAGGGAACACACATAAAACCACACTTTTTAACACACCATTTAAATTATCGAATTAAGTAAGTTTCAACTATTATAATTGTATTTGTTTAATGGGCAATCCTTTTCTTTCACACATCATTCAAATTTAAAAATAATTAAACATTGGGGACAATATAGTAGCCCAACTTTTAAGACTATTCATTATTTTATTATATTCTCTCTCCCCTCTCTTCCTTTTTCTGTTTAATGGGCAAACTTTTTCTTTCATCTTCTATCTTCTTCACCCTCAAAAAGTTTCCAACGAATTCCTTATTGAAAAGAGTTTTGTAGTTTATTTTCCTTCTTCATAACATTTGGTCATTGTTGCTGTAAAAATGCTAATGATATTAGTGTCCATGAAATTCAATGATTTCAAACGGTGAAGGAAATATAGATTAATAATCATTTTGTCAGTCTTGTTTACTAAATATAATGAATTGGTAATTGTCAGTCTTTGTTCAATAAGCATTGTCTAAGTCTTTGTTTACATGTTGATATCAGAAATCTCAGCAAAGATTTTTCGTAACAAAACATATTTTTAAAATCCGAATTGATACACAATATTCAAAAAGTACATGACGCGAAAAAGCAAACAAAAGACTGAAATTTCAAATTATTCAAAAAGTATCATTGTCGATGACGGTAGGTACTAGGTAAGGTCCAGCATTTGGATCTGGGTTTTGGAAATATTCAGATGCAGCAATGGTGAGGTTGAAGGTGGTGGTGGGATTTCGACAAAAAAATAAAATTGTGGTGGTTGGATTAATTAAGAACATCTACAATTATGCTTTTATTTTTATTTTTTGCTAAAAACACTTGAACCCTATTGGATTAGTTTAGTTTTGATTTGGTTTTGGGATTGTGGATCCGCTCCCATCTCTATATCTTTTCTCCATCAGTAAAATTGGTCGTATTGGACACATTTAAAAAAAAACAAAAAAAACAAAACTGGCCATTATCCAATCCAGCTTTTATTGAACAGTAACGCAAGGGAAACATAATTTGAGTCCCAATGATGAGTCACACACATGTCATTCTCAACGGGCTCTTATATATGGTTGAGGAGAATTTATCTTACAGACTAGATGTCTCAGGTTCGAATCACCATGACATCCTAGTTGTGTGTGTGAATTTAGACTATTTCTTGTACTACAAAATATATAAACGTGTTAAAGTATTGGCGAAACAAGGACGGCGCTTTTTCATTCCAAGCATTCTTTAATACAAGGCAGGGTGAGGAAAGGAACAAAAACAGAAACTGGATCGGTGTATGTGTGAATGCTGTATTGTCATGGTCTTTGTTTAGTTAGCGTATTGTCTAGTTCTTGTTTTTGTTTGTATAGTCTTTGTTCACACATGTGAATCTGTGATTTAAAAAAAATTAAAAAAATTAAAAAAATTGCCCACCGAGTATATCTACTAATAGTCTTTGTTCATATTAACATCTAGATGGTCACAATTAAAAAAGAAAATTATGCAGTGAGTTTAGCAAATACACACATGGACCATTGGGATCACGTTCGTGTATGAGGAAAATCTTAAATAACCTATATCAAATAAGTGTCTCTTCGTATGTGGGAGTTATGTAGGTTCATGAATAAAGTTATGCAGAGTCTTTTCATCTTTGTGAGTTATGAGGAGTTATCTCATCTTGATTGAGAGACATCTATAAATAATGCATGAAATTGTAAGGAAGGCATTGATGTTTGTTATTGAATGAAGATTGAGATTTTTCCTCTCATCTCTTACTCTTTTCCTGGGTATTCTCAGAATTAACAGATTAGAGTTTAGTTCCGGGCATTCTTAGAATTAACGGAGTTAAAATTATATATTTGTTCTTGTTCCGCTGCATCAGTTGGTATTAGAGCAGGCTTTTAGCTTGCAACTTCGAAATCCTGTGTAACCAAAAAAAAAAAAAAAAAAAAAAAAAAATCTAGCTCTATGGCTCCAAGAGGCGGAGGCCGCGGTGGACGACAAATGCTGAGGATGTAAGGTACGCACGTTTGGAGGAACGAATCCAGCAATTTGAGGAGCGGTTTGACATGATCGCAGAACAGATTGCTGCACTGAATATCGAGAACCGATCTCAAAGTCGTCATGAAGATGAGGAAGAACATTATGAAAGTGAAGAAATTGAAAATCCATTTGGGAATCATAGACAGAGAAGACATGTCCCTCCACGAGATCATGGACGATGGGAGTCAGGTTTCAAACTCGAAATTCCAGAATTTAAAGGATGTTTGCAGCCAGAAGAATTCTTAGATTGGGTTGCTGCAGTTGAAGAAGTTTTGGATTTCAAGGATGTGCCACAAGACAAGCGGGTTCCCTTAGTGGCTACTCGATTTCGAGGCAGAGCGGCTGCGTGGTGGCAGCAACTGAAGCAAACTCGAGTCCGAAAGGGAAAGCAGAAAATTGATACATGGGAAAAATTGCTAAAGTATATGCGATCCACCTTCCTTCCACACAATTATTCCAGAACATTGTATCAACAACTCCAGAACTTGCGGCAAGGTTCTCGCTCTGTCGATGAATACACAACAGACTTCTATCAATTGATTGCCCGCATTGATTTGGGAGAGTCTGAAGATCAGTTGGTATCTCGCTATATTGGAGGTATGAGAATTCAATTTCAAGATTCATTGAATTTATTTGATCCTATTTCTGTTTCTGAAGCACACCAGCGAGCTTTGCAATTAGAAAAGCAAATGAATAGAAAGCCAGGAATGCAAGGTAGTGGTAGTAATCGCCAGAATACCTCATCCCCAATTCAGTCTCGAAGTGTCAATTCTCAAGCACCAACTGGAAAACCACCAGTAAACCCTCCACCTACCCGTACAGCTGTTAGCGGAACCAGTGGAGCTGCAACACGCTGTTTTAAATGTGGTGAAACTGGGCATAGAATGGCTGACTGCAAGAAGGGAGATCGGTACGGGAAGGGATTATTCATTGACAGTGAAGACACACCAACAGACGAGCAATATAATATTGAACAAGACCCCAAGTTTGATAGCCATTATGACGATTTTGAAGAAGAACATGTTCATGGTGATAATGGTCCTTTATTAGTGGTTCGAAGGGTTTGTCTCACTCCACGAGCAGCTGATGGTGATTCATGGCTTCGTAATAATATTTTCCAGTCCACATGCACAATTAGGGGCAAGGTTTGTCGACTTGTTATTGACTCTGGTAGCTGTGAAAATGTAGTTGCTGAAGAGGCAGTTCAAAAGTTGGGATTGGAGACAGAGAAGCATCCTCATCCTTACAAATTATCATGGTTAAAGAAAGAAAATGACGTAAGTGTTTCAAGACGCTGTTTAGTTTCTTTTTCCATTGGTACTAAATACCAAGATCAAGTGTGGTGTGATGTTATCACTATGGACGCGTGCCATATTTTGTTGGGGAGGCCGTGGCAATATGACAGGGGTGCAATTCACGATGGAAAGAAGAATACATATAGCTTTTTGATTGGCAAGACCAGACTTGTCTTATTTCCCAATAAGGAGATTGTTTCCAAGCCATCAATAACTATGGAAACTAATACTCTATTAACAAGGAGACAGTTCAGTGATGAGATTAAAAAATCAGGGATTGTTTATGTGTTGATTGGAAAAGAATGTGAAAAACAACATGGCATCCCAGAAGCAGCCCAAGGTCTGATTGCAGAGTTCCAAGATATATTTCCAAGTGAGCTCCCTAGTGGTTTACCTCCACTTCGAGAAATACAGCACCAAATTGACATAGTGCCTGGTTCGACTTTGCCCAATCGACCACATTATCGCATGAGTCCCAAAGAACATGAAGAACTTCGTCGCCAAGTGGAAGAGCTTCTATACAAGGGACACATTCGGGAAAGTCTTAGCCCTTGTGCAGTACCCGCCTTACTCACACCAAAAAAAGATAGCACATGGAGGATGTGTGTGGATAGCCGTGCAATTAACAAGATTACAGTCCGCTACAGATTTCCTATTCCGCGGTTTGGATGATCTTTTGGACCAATTGAGTGGAGCAACAATCTTTTCGAAATTGGATTTGAAAAGTGGGTATCACCAAATCCGTATACGGCCTGGTGATGAGTGGAAGACGGCGTTTAAAACTCGTGATGGCCTATACGAGTGGTTGGTAATGCCTTTTGGGCTCTCTAATGCACCAAGCACTTTTATGCGTGTGATGAATGAAATTTTTCGTCCCTTTATTGGCAAGTTCTTAGTGGTTTACTTTGATGATATATTAATTTATAGTGCTAACCACAATCTGCATGTTCAGCACTTGCGAGAAGTTCTGAAAGTCTTGCACAGGGAAAAATTTTTCGCAGCCATGAATAAATGCGTGTTCATGACAGACCGTGTTATTTTCCTTGGATATGTGGTGTCTAAGGATGGAATTTCAGTTGATGAGTCCAAGGTTGAAGCTATTTTAAATTGGCCAATCCCAAGGAATATTCATGAAGTGCGTAGCTTTCATGGGCTGGTGTCCTTCTATCGCCGCTTTATTCCTAATTTCAGCATTCTTATGGCGCCAATAACAGATTGCATGAAGGCCGGACATTTTCTATGGACTGAAGTTGCAACGGAAGCTTTTCAACAAGTCAAGCAGAAAATAACTTCAGCTCCCATCCTTATCCTGCCAGATTTCACTCAACCATTTGAGTTACATTGTGATGCTTCCAAAATTGGCATAGGTGCTGTACTTAGCCAAGAAGGAAGGCCTGTTTCATTTTTTAGTGAAAAGCTGAGTGGTTCTAAGTCAAATTACTCCACTTATGACATTGAGTTTTATGCCATAGTTCGAGCACTTAAGCATTGGAGTTCTTATCTTGCCTACAGTGAGTTTGTTCTTTATTCTGACCATGAAGCTTTGAAGCATATTAACAGCCAAGACAAGCTCTCCTCTAAGCATGCAAGGTGGGCTGCTTTTATTCAACAGTTTACCTTTGTTATCAAGCATAAATCAGGATCTTTAAACAAGGTTGCCGATGCCTTGAGCCGTCGTTCAACACTCTTGGTTTCTATGCGAAATGAGGTACTTGGTTTTGATTCGTTTCGTGAATTGTTGTCATCTGATCCATATTTTGGACCAATACTTCCTGATGTTGGTATTGGAAAGCATACAGATTTTGTTTTGCATGATGGTTTCCTATTTAAAGGAAATAAATTGTGTGTTCCTGCCAGTAGCCTACGCTTGAAAATTATTCGAGAATTGCATAATGAAGGTCATTTGGGTCGTGACAAGACCTTGCAGCTTGTGATGAATACTTACTTTTGGCCTTCCATGCGGAAAGAAATCACCAAATTTGTGGAGGGCTGTCGTATTTGTCAAATTTCCAAAGGTGTCGCTTCGAATGCTGGCCTTTATATGCCACTTCCTGTTCCAAGTCAACCATGGACCAACATTAGTATGGACTTTGTCCTTGGTTTGCCACGCACCCAACGTGGAAATGATTCCATTTTTATTGTTGTAGATAGATTTTCCAAGATGGTCCATTTTTTGGCTTGCAAGAAGACTACTGATGCCATCAATGTTGCTCAATTGTTTTTTCGAGAAGTTTATCGTCTTCATGGGCTGCCTTTGTCCATTGTGTCAGACAGAGACACTCGCTTTCTTAGTCATTTTTGGCGTTGTTTGTGGCGTCTATCTAACACCAAACTTGATTTCAGCAGCGCTTACCATCCACAAACCGATGGACAAACTGAAGTCGTGAATCGATCTTTGGGTAATTTATTACGAAGTTTGGTGGGTGAACATCTAAAGTCTTGGGATCAGAAATTATATCAAGCAGAATTTGCTTTTAACCGCTCAGTTAATCGCAGCACTGGCTTTAGTCCATTTCTTGTCAATTATGGCTACAATCCCCGAGCTCCAATTGATTTAGCCCCTGTTGCTGATTTAAAGAGAGTTCATGGCAAGGCTGAAGATTTGATTTCACAACTCCAAAATGTCCATCGCACAACACAACAGCGCCTGGTGGACGCTACTAGCAAGTATAAACATGATGCTGATAAGAAGCGTCGTTTTATGGAGTTTAATGTTGGAGATTTTGTTTGGGCCATTCTTACCAAGGATCGTTTTCCTGTTGGTGAATATAACAAATTGGCTGCTCGCAAAATTGGACCTGTGGAAATTCTTGAGAAGATTAATCCGAATGCTTACAGATTGAAGCTTCCCAGCCATATTCGCACGTCTGATGTGTTCAATGTGAAATATCTTGTTCCTTTCCGTGGCTCCAACTCCGATGATGATCCAAATTCGAGGGCGAATTTTTGTCAACCCAGAGAGGATGACGCAGTGAGTTTAGCAAATACACACATGGACCATTGGGATCATGTTCGTGTATGAGGAAAATCTTAAATAACCTATATCAAATAAGTGTCTCTTCGTATGTGGGAGTTATGTAGGTTCATGAATAAAGTTATGCAGAGTCTTTTCATCTTTGTGAGTTATGAGGAGTTATCTCATCTTGATTGAGAGACATCTATAAATAATGCATGAAATTGTAAGGAAGGCATTGATGTTTGTTATTGAATGAAGATTGAGATTTTTCCTCTCATCTCTTACTCTTTTCCTGGGTATTCTCAGAATTAACAGATTAGAGTTTAGTTCCGGGCATTCTTAGAATTAACGGAGTTAAAATTATATATTTTGTTCTTATTCCGCTGCATCAGAAAAGCAATAGAAAGTGAGGAGAAACTAAAGGACAATGGTGATTCAATGGAGTGGACCGACACCCTAAAATAATCTTTAGACACCAAGCCCCCACATTTTCGGTTTATGAAATACTCACTGCTTAAAAGTTGCATATATCTTATCAAAACCGAGTCCTCTCCCCAAACTTTATACTCCCAAGTTCCAAGAACAATGATATTGCCAAAAAAATAAAAAGATGAAATAATTCAACACTTTACTGGACCATGGAAGAGCATTTTCTTCTCATCACTGTTGCCCGACTCTTTTGTATTGGTGTGTGTGTACAGCATTCTTCTTCCTCCAATCCTTGAACCGATGGGTCATCTTCTTCTGATTTAAGAGTTTCAACTGAAGGCTCAATGACATTACAAAGGTCTTGAGCCAACAAGTAATACTCAAATAATCTAATACGAAAATACTATAGATAAAAATTTCTGCTACTAGCATCCCAATATCTGCTAGTAGGTCCAGCGTGAAACTTAAAGTGGAGCCTCACATAATCTAATATGAAAATACTATAGATAAAAATTTTGCCATAACTTAAAGTCATAAACAATTTTTTTTTTAAAACTAAAAGTCACCATCAATAAACATGTAATAACAATTAAAAATCAAATTCATAAAAATTAAATGTTTCCATTTGATAAAGTTAAATATTAGTATGTTTGGAACAAAAATAAGCTCCTTTTGCCCCTATAAGGTCCCTTGCTGCCTCTAATAAGCAATCTTTGTTTAATAGGAAAAAAAATTTGGCAATCACAAATTAAAGAGTAGTTGCACACAAATGTCATTAACAAATTAGATTATATTACATTAAACACAAAAGCAACAATAAAAACATACATGACTATCCACAAATCGTTCACATTGTATTTGTTGTCTTTATTTGAGGAATTTAAACTATTACGAGAACTTTTCCCAAAAAAAAAAAAAAAAAAAAAAAAAAACACAGCCAGTACAATACTAATGTCTGAAAATTGAGCTTCTTGAATTTTTAGAAGAGAAATCATCACTCAAATGTTCATAATCAAGTTTTTTTAGAAGTTCACTTTCAATTGAAATCAAAGCTAGGCCGTTTAATCTTTCTTGCAACATAGTTGATTGCAAGTATAATTTTAACAATTTTAATTTTGAAAAACTTCTTTTCTGCAAATGCAACAGTAACAAGAATAGCCAATAGAATTCTATATGCAATGAATGCATTTGGAAAACAATTTAGTCTTTCAAGAAATTTAATATTGCAATAGCTGTGATTTTTAGACTGATATATTGTAAATTTTGAAACATATTAGGGGACACACGTAGAACCCACACCTTTTGACACACCATTTAAATTATCAAATTAAGTAAGTTTCAATGATTAGAATTGCATTTGTTTAATGGGCAATCCCTTTCTTTCACACATCATTCAAATTTAAAAACAAACATTGGGGACAACCTAGCAGCCCAACTTTTAAGACTATTCATTATTTTATTATATTCTCTCTCCCCTCTCTTCCTTTCTTCCTTTTTTTGTTTGATGGGCAATCCTTTTCTTTCATCTTCTATCTTCTTTCTCGCTACTTTCTCACACACACTCACACCCTCAAAACGTTTCCAACGAATTCCTTATTGAAAAGAGTTTTGTAGTTTATTTTCCTTCTTCATAACATTTGGTCATGGTTGCTGTAAAAATGCTAATAGTATTAGCGTCCATGAAATTAATGATTTCAAACAGTGAAAGAAATATAGATTTTCCCTAAAGTCACTCAGCTCAACAATAGTGAATGGAGGTCGGGAACCACCGAACACTGATTTGAGCATGAAATGAATTAGACTTCAAGTAAAGAATGACTTGTTAATTGTCAGTCTTTGTTTAATAAGCATTTTGTCTAAGTCTTTGTTCACATGTGGATATCAGAAATCTCAGCAAAGATTTTTCGTAACAAAACATATTTTTAAAATCCGAATTGATACACAATACTCAAAAAGTACTTGACGCAAAAAAACAAACAAAAGACTGAAATTTGAAATTATTAAGGTATAATTGTCGACGATGGAAGGTATTAGGTAAGGTCCAGCAAAATAAAAATTTGAAATTATACAGGAATCATTGTCGATGATTGTAGGAATTATTAGGTAAGGTCCAATAAAATAAAAGGATTCGTTAATTTATAGGACTAACTCGTCAAAATCCATGGCCAATATGTAGTTGTTTAATAGAAACTTGTTAAACTAAGAATATCTCCCAAAGGCTGAGGACAAAACCGAGTATGTAGTTATTTGCATCATAATTTTATTAAAAACATATCCGTGTGAGCGCCTTGATGTTTGTGTAAATGGTTGGGACGTGTTAGATAAATGCAAAACTGAGAGACATTTGACAGAATTATTGTTTTTTATTTATTAAAGAAATTGTTACAAAGGAGGTACAACATTTGGATCGGTTTTGGAAATAGCATGCGGCAATGGTGAGGTTGAAGGTGGTGGGATTAAGAACATCCACAATTTATCTAACAGATTAGAGGTTTCAGATTCGAATCACCATGACATCCTAGTTGTGTATGTGAGTTTAGAACATGTCTAAAATATCGAGAAAAAGCCCGGCTCGTTATTGAGTGGGCTGGGCTTGGGCTTGGGTGTCTAAAGCTCGGCCCCTTTAAGTCCAAGAAAGCCTGACTGGCCTATAAAAGCCCAGTCCACGGGCTCACATACATATAAATAAGTATATATATAAAAAAACCCAAGTTAAATGAAATATGGAGAAAATTATCTATCTCATTATAATTGAAAAAAAAAAAAAAAAAAAAAAAAAAAAAAAAAAAAAGACATAAAAAATATGATTTTATTAATATGGGGTTGTATAACTATATCTTTATATTTATGGGGAGAAAAAAAAAGAGAACTATGAAGTTATGAACAAAGAAAAAAAAATGGAGACATAAACATATAAACAAATGTAAATATAGAACTATGAAAAAAAGAGGAAACATAGAAAAAAAATACATATTAAAAAAAAGACAAAATAAAGTAGGCTCATTTAGGCCCAGCCTGCCAGATGGGCTTTTTCAAGTCTGGCCCATGGGCTAGGCTTGGACTTTGAATTTAAAAAAAAAACCCGGCCCAGTCCATTATTTTCGCTCTCCTCTTTAAAGCCTGACCCGACCCGGCCCATTTATGAGGCCTACTCTTCACACCAGGCTTGGACTTTGAATTTATAAAAAAAAAACCGACCTAGTCCATTATTTTCTCTCTCCTCTTTAAAGCCCGATCCGACCTGGCCCATTGACGAGGCCTACTCCTCACAAGAACTTCGTACTGTCACTTAACTTCTTGACTTCTTAATTGATTACATTAATAAGCTTCATGCCCACTTATAAAAGTAGTAACCGACTTATGTTTGTGGGCTGGGGTTGATATTTTAACACTAATCTCCTTAACCACGGAAAAAGCATCAGGCCCGCACGAAATTTGGATTGCGTGTAAAGCATTGGAAGTCTTCTTTCTCCAAGCCTCGAACTGACAAGCGTTTTCTGGTTTAGGACGTTCAGCTGTACCCTACACTACATCCCAAAGGCCTCTAGCCAACAAGTAATTTTTAACCAATGCACTCCAGTACTCATAGTTATCTTCCACAAGTTTCACCATTCTTACTTGTTGCTGCTCTTTTTGGGAGGTCAACTTAGAGAGTAGGTGATAGTGAATGATGGGTGAAGGTGAGGACCTTCAACATATGTGTGAAGGCTTGGGTAAGCGATAAATGTAAAGAAGACAAAATGTACGTGGTTCAACCTTAATGAATGGGCTACGTCCACGGAGAAGTATGTTCTCATTATAATAGTATATGATTACATTTGTACATGAGGTTGGACCCGAATATAAAGATGACAAATGAGGCGCCCAAGTCAGGGATCTAGAAGAGAGTCCTCGGCCCTAGGGTTTAGGTCTGAGACCCGGATCCTCTTCTAAGTGGAGAGAAGTCCCCCTTTCACATGGATACTATTCCCTATTTATAGGGAGGTGAAAGTGGGAGGTTTGTGTAGAAATTCGATGTGAGACTTTGTGTAAGTTGTTGTGGTGCTGGGTCCGTAATCTGCTAGTTTCGCTGCTTCTGCAGTTCAGCAATTTCTCAAGTTCCGTCGTTCAGCAATCGTGGTATTCGCGAACCTCTAGCCAAGTTGAGCGTGGCTCTTGCCGTTCGGCAAGGGTGGTCCTGAAACATTCTTAAAGTCCCCAAGGGGGGTGTGGTGTCGAGATTGTATGGTTTGGGCGCATTGCTACCGTTTGGCAAGGTTGAAGAGGTTTTCTATTTTTAAGCTGCACAGCCCTTGCCGTTCGGCAAGGGTGTCCTGATCAAATCTCTAGACTTTTTGTCTTCGGCAGGTGTTGCTAGATTTCGTGGGCTGGAATCGTGACCTTGATGATCTTTTCCTCGAGTTTTCACGGCCCTTGCCGTTCGGCAAGGGTAAAAAGTGGCGGCTGAACCTTTTGGTAAGGCTTGGCTGATATGGATTTGATATTTGTTGACTTGTGGCAGGTTTGTCGTGAGGTTTGGGGGAAGACCTTCAGCAAGCTTGAGTTGGGGTGTCTTGATCACATTCGGACATGAATGTGGGGTGTCTTGATCACATGCTGATGTGAATTTGGGGCTGAAATTTGGAGATGGGCTTCGAGATCATCTTCACGATGTGAGCAAATCTCTACGCCTTCGGTAGCTTGAGGAGCTGGCCATTTGAGATCCAGTAAGCAAGAGACTTGAACACGTTGTTGTGGTAAGGGAGCTGGGCTGTTCGTGAGTTTTGCTGTTTTTTGGGGGACCAAATCTGCAAGTATCCTCGGGCCTACCGTTCAGCAAAGTGGTCTGGGTGCCCATCATAATTCGGTAGGTATGCTTTCATGAGACCCGTTCCCTTCTGCTAAAGGCAAGGGTGTCCTGATCAGTTTTTTGAATTTGTTTCGCTGCGTGATTCAGCTCTCATTGGTTTGAACAAATATCTCGGTGTTTTGGCAAATACTTGAGGAGCTTGCCGTTTGAAATTTGGTATTGTGTTTTCGGCAAAGGTGCTTTGTGGTATCGGCAACTTTGGTTTTGTTATGCCCTTCTTGGAGTGCTGAAGACTTGTGAGCTGCTGTTGTCGTGGTTCGGAGCCTTTCTTGGTGTTTAGAAGGTGAGTCTTTTTATTCTTGAATGCCACCATTTAGTTGCTGCATAACCCTTGCCGTTCGGCAAGGGTGTTGGTTGTGAGAGTTCGGCCATGTCTAGAGATAGAAGGCATTCGAGGTCTTAGCCACTTTTAAGCCAAGTGTTGATCGGTAAGAGCTAATTGAATTTTTTTTTCTTTGAAGCTTGTGGTGGCTTCAGCAAGAGAGCTTTCGGAGAAGGTCCAGATTTTCTTTCATGGGCCTTGCCTTTCGGCAAGGCCAGCTTCGGAAATTTGAATTGATGATTTTTATCCTTGTTGTATGTACCTCTGGCAGGTGTTATTTGGAGCTGGGAGTTGCTGATCTGAAGCTTCCAAAGAAGGCAAAGTGTGGCTGCTGCCGAACACGGTCAATCAGCCGTGTGCGAAGCATGTGGAGTTTTCTACGGCTGCCATTCGGTATCCTTGGGTGCCTTGAGAAATTTTCCAACTGTATGACAGATTGGTGAGAGTGGTATCTGGCTTCAAGCATGAGATAATTCTTCAATTTTGGGGCTGCCAAATGGTACTAGGTAGTATTTTGGAGGTGGATATGGCTTCTGAAAGCCATTGGTTGAAGCTAGATTATTAGAGATGAGCAGTGGCGAATCCATCCAAAATTCTTTCAGGCTTTTATTTTTTAAATAAAAAAAAATAAAAAAAAAGAAAAAAAAAAAAAAAAAAAAAAAAAAAAAAAAAAAAAAAAAAAACAACAATAACAACCCTTACCCTTAATTTAAATAATACCAAAGTTTTGAAAGGCAAGGTGTGGGTGTAAATGCTAAGTAACTTTGGTCCTGCAAAATGAAGCGTAAGCCTTAAAGCAACGATGAGTAAGCTTTTTGCGAAGAAAAATTATAAATAATAAAATATAATGAAACTAAATCAGTAAATCTTATTAAAGCTTCATATTCAATTAAATATAAGTAATAAATATAATAATCAATTTCAAAACCTAATATTATCCAATTAGTTATACTATTGAAATAGAGTAGGATGATTCCTAAATTGACAGGAGGGTTAGGGCTAGAGATACATGCGGTTGAGAAAAAAAGAATTTGGGGTTTGGTGTGATTGTATTGGGAGGAGGGAGAAATAGATTTGGAAAAAGGAAACGACAAAAAAAGGCTTTAAAATAACAATCAAAACGCACACTTTTATTAAAACCCAAAGGTGAACCCAACGACGTTGTTTAAGAAAAAGAAAGGGTTTAGAAATCATCTTCTTCCTCACGCAGCAGGTTCTTCTTAGCGCAGCCAACACCTTCAGACAAAGCAGAAGGGGCAATCGTTGCCACTTCCAAAGCGTTTTCTAGCAAGAGGAGGTGCAGTTGCACCTCCTTGCGCCTATGTGGATCCGCCACTGGAGATGAGCTCAAAGCATTGGGTGCCGATCTGGTCCTTGTATTTTGTCTTCAAATAAAAGAGTTTATGGTGGCTTCAGTATGGATATTCTATTGAATTGTTGAATAGCAATTGACAGGTATTGAACAACACCTAAGCCACAAACTCATGGAAATGGACCATGTGGGTTGCCCCTTGGATTGGCATGTGGGCTTCCTTGGCCATGCAAGCCATGCAAAGTAGTTTTGTTTTTGGTTTGTCAAGTTTGTTTGAGAAGCTTTGGTACAAGGGTGACGCACTTGGTGCCATATCAGTATTTGTGGCTTTAACAGAGAGTGGAACAAGTCCCATGAGTTTGAGAGAAAGAAACTGCCGAACAGCAGCTGTGGGTCCTTGGCATATTCCCTGCTTTGTGCTGTAGTGCATGGTGGTGCATGTATAGCCCTTCAAGGCTGGGCAATGTTGTCCAATGTCATCTACCACACATGGTCTATACTAATATTCAATACTAATATTTTAATGAAACTTGACATGCAACATTCCAAATAAAATATATTCAAAAGAGATGTGGTATGGTTGACTTATCTCTTTGAAGTTTCGTGGGCTTTCCTTGGATTGAAATATTAGCTTGCCTCCTTGTACAAGCAAGCCATGCATTTGGAATACTTGGCCACCCATAAATTAAGACTTTCAACGTGATTGAAAAGTGGTTCCTTGGGCTGAAATGGTGGCTTCCTCTTTTGGCCATGCAAGGCGAGGTGCCGAAGGCATCGCTCACATCAGAGAGGTTTGCTGAAGGCATCGCATGAGCCATATGATGACGAGGTGCCGAAGGCATTGCTCACATCAGAGAGGTTTGCTGAAGGCATCGCATGAGCCACATGGTGACAAGGTGCCGAAGGCATTGCTTGGGCTAAATGATGACATGGTGCCAAAGGCATCGCTCGATGATGGGATGTCGAAGGCATCGCTTGCATCGAATGATGGTGGGGGGACCGAAGGCATCGCTCGCACCTAATTGTGGCGGGGTGCCGAATGTGACACAAAGTTTGCGGGTCGCAGAACAATGTGACTAGGCACGATGGTGCCGAAGGCGACACAAGATGTGGCATGGGCACGGGGGTCCCGAAGGTGACACAAGATGTGGCTAGGCAAGGGGGTGCTGAAGGCAACATAAAGTTTGCGTGTCGAAGAGCGATGTGGCTAGGCATGATGGTGCCGAATGCGACACAAAGCTTGCATGTCGCAAGGAAATGTAGCTAGGCACGTGGGTGCCGAAGGCAACACAAAGCTTATGTGTCGTGAGGCAATGTGGCATGGGGGTGCCGAAGGAGACACAGAGCTTGCTTGTCGCAAGACAATGTGGCTAGGCACGAGGGTGCCGAAGGAGACACAGAGTTTGCGTGTTGAATGAGACACAGAGTTTGCGTGTCGAATGAGACACATAGCTTGCGTGTCGCAAGACAATATGGCTAGGCACGAGGGTGCCAAAGGAGACACAAAGTTTGTGTGCCGCAAGGCGATGTGGCTAGGTACGGGGGTGCCGAAGGGAAGGAATGCATATGTGCTTAGTGGTAAGTTACAAGGTGATGATTGAAAGGACGCCGAAGGGCACTAGAGGAAGAGAAGAACAACAAAGCTTCTTGTGTTGATTCCCACAGACGGCGCCAAACTGTTGATGCTCTTTTTGGGAGGTCAACTTAGAGAGTAGGTGATAGTGAATGATGGGTGAAGGTGAGGACCTTCAGTATGTGTGTGAAGGCTTGGGCAAGCGATAAATGTAAAGAAGACAAGATGTACGTGGTTCACCCTTAATGAATGGGCTACGTCCACGGAGAAGTATGTTCTCATTATAATAGTGTATGATTACATTTGTACATGGGGTTGGACCCGAATATATAAAGATGACAAGTGAGGTGCCCAAGCCAGGGATCTAGAAGAGAGTCCTCGACCCTAGGGTCTAGCTCTGAGACCCGAATCCTCTTCTAAGTGGAAAGAAGTCCTCCTTTCACATGGATACTATTCCCTATTTATAGGGAGGTAAAAATGGGAGGTTTGTGTAGAATTTCGATGTGGGACTTTGTGCAAGTCGTTGTGGTGGTGACACGTGTCTTTGGTGCTAGTCGCTTTGAGGCTGGATATGCTCGGTTGATTATGGTGTAAACATTATTGATACGAGCTGCTGAAAGCTGACCCGGCTTGCTATTTTTGTTGTTTTTGTATTTAGGTCTCAGATAAAAGTTTACAACATCTCATCTTAAAGTAGTGTTGGAAGTATCACGAGTATACTAATATTCCATCTATTACTTATACCCGTTTACTCTTTTTATATTTGAGTCTTGTTGTAAAATTCCCCACTAACACCATTTAACCATTTAATGGTTTCTGAATTAATTTTCTTTATACGAGCATGCCACTGTTGGCAGATGATAAAATACTGTTGGGGTTGAGTGCATTGGTGTATTAAGAATCAGGCCTTTTCTTTTCGAGTATTCTTTAACTACTTACATTCCTTATTCTTTTTCTTTTTCTTTTATATATATCTGGAAGTACCACGCCAGTATACCAATAGGAAAAATAACAAATCAGAATCAGCTTAAGTTTTTCAATAGGAAGATTATACATTACCAATAGGGTACAGAGGTTTTACCATGGTGGCGCCTTTCACTTGTTCTTTTTGTTGCTCGATCTTTGTATGTAGCGGGCAGAGCCCAAAACAAAGTCAAACAATGATCCCAAATTCTTTTCTCACACGCTTATCTTCACCAAGAATCACAACATATTATCAGGGATACAAGCTTCTTAGAAGTTACAACATTATGAAAGTTATACATTACCACTTACACGTACCATCAAAAGTTAAGTCCATGATTTCACATTCCTATCAAATATTCCACTCCCAAGTAGAAGAATTTATGCCCTTGATTTCACTTTCCTATCAAATATTCCTCGTCCATAAGTAGAAACGTACATCTCAACTAGAAGAGGAAATTGCATCTAAATAAATGAGGTGACTGGAACGCTAGCAAGGAAAATCATAGGAATAACAATCCACGACTGTTCATGGATGATAATGAAAAGGGCAGAAGAAAAGGCAACCATCATGGTGGCAATAGAGATGAATACGGTGGAAAGGCCTATTATCATCTTTGTTGGTAAGGATGTAAGGAAATCATCTACAGCATAACGTGATGTAAGGATTCCCAAAAACATCAACACCGAAGTTGTGGAAGAAAAGAGGGATATAGCATCTGAAACTATAAAAGCCATAAACAACTTTTTATGCAGGAATATTGGGAAGCCTGTTTCTCCATTGTTTCCACCGGGGATTATGAATGTTGCAGCAAACATGATGGTAATAATGAGAGCACCTACAACTGTACATGAAAATGCAGTTTCTTTCATCCATCTTTCTCCTTCCTTCACCAATTGATTGTGGTTCTCGGAAAACATCTCACGTGGCATCTTATACTCCTTATTTAAAGATTCTTTAAGCAGGGGTCTTACAATATTCTCGACCTCCTACATTTTGTTAAACAAAAGATTTATATGAGTATAAGAGGTTATTATTCTAATTTTCCAATCAACCCTTGAATTTTTTTAAATTTGAGAGGCCATATAAACCCAAACCATTAGAGAACAGAGAAGACAATGTTGACCATAAAGTAACTAAATAAGTAGACCTGGCAAACGGGTCGTATTAACGGGTTTCAGGTCGTGTTCGTGTCAACCCATTAAGTTAACGGGTTAACACAACACGACCCGTTAAGTTAACGGGTGACAAATACTAGACCCAAACACGACCCGTTACAATTCGCCAATATCCGACATGACCCGTTAACCCGTTAAGAATAAACCAGAAAAAAAAACAAACAAACTATCACAGCTTCTCTACCCGACACACCTTCTCTGTCTTTTTTCCCCCCAAACCCCAACCCTAATTTTTCTTCCCTCTTTCCCTCTTTATTTCAGTCTTCTCACCCCAAAATAGTATATCTCTCTCACACAGATATATTAAAAACTCAACAACTACATAAACTGAGGAAGAAAGAAAATTCAAAATTGACTGAGAGAACCAAAACCAACAACCTCCTTCTTGATCCGTGATGGATGGGCTGCCGGAGTCTATTGAGTGGAGAGAAGAAGAGCATAAGAGAATCTTGACCAAAAAAGAGCAAAGAAGCAGAGAAGCAAATAAGAAGAGAAGAAGAGAAGAACGGGAGGAAGAAGAAAAGGAAAAGGGGAAAGAGGAAAAAGACAAAAAAGAAAGAAGAAACAGACACGGAAAGAAGGAAACTAAAAAGGAAAAGGGGAAGAAGAAAAGAAAAGAAAAAATATTTTGCAAAACTACCAAATTACCCTCCTTAATGGGTGGATGCGAATATTCGCGAATTGACCCAACTCAACCCGTTAGCTTAACGGGTAGCTAACGGGTTCACCCGTTTTCAACCCAACCTATTAAGCTCAACCCAAATACTGATAATTTCGTGCGAATTCGTGTCGTGTTAACGGGTCGTGTGCAATATTGCCAGGTCTATAAATAAGCCATCTTAGTACTGCCTGTATTTATATTTTTCTTGTCATTCTACATTTTTGATTTCTATAAAAGGCTAGCTTAACTCCTTCGACTACATTTTTGGCTGCATTGATTTTCGACTAGAAAATGCGTTCGATATATTGAAAACTAATGTTTCAATTTGAGGTACTATTTTTTTTTACAGAAAAAAATAAAGTATAGAAAATCATATTCAGTGAGGAAAAGAAAAACAGAATGTTCACAGTATTAGTATATACATATGACAAATGTATATCTTCTTAGATGTCTTATTGATTTCTGATTTTAGCTAGTTTGTACCAGAATGACCGATTCCCACTAATAAATAACTATGCAGAGTGCGCCCATGACCGATTCCCACAATTTCCAAACAAAAAATGGTCTTTAGAATTATGCTAATGCATAAGAGGGAGGGGAAAAAAAAAACTAACACTGAATTATATGTTCTGACCTTGAACCATTGTAGTTCTCTCTGCATTTTCAAAGCTGCACCTGAGATATTATCGAGCCTTGCTAATGGTGAAAGCATCCCTGCCACATGTAGCGCGCAATTGTTATCCGAATCTGCAAGACTTCCAATCACAGCTCTTTGTTTTTTTATAGAGTTTATAATAAATAAGGCTATAAACTTTTTCTTGATGACATTCAATGGCAAACTGAAATAGGTTCCTTCTCATTGACGTCCACACGAGATTTGGTTTTGCTTGCAATACACGATCAATAAACTCAAACATTCCTAGCTTCGAAGCTCGGAAGTCTGCTGCAGTTAGAAGCTCATTGATATCTTCATGTTTTATCACTTCACACATGTTATCTAGGAGTTCAAGGGCTTGACTACGGGCCAATTTCATTTCGTCGTAGGCGTTTGAATTCCTAAGTTTGGAAAAACATGTGGATAAATTTTTTTATACGTTAATACCAGAAACAAAAAAAAAAAAAAAAAAAAAAAAAAAAAAAAAAAAAATAATGGAGAACAAAGGAAATATGGAAACAATGTAGCATACCCAAAATTTCAAGGAGATTTGTGTTCAGCCCTTGCAAGAAACCTAGCACTGCAATGGAAATTCAAAATCTAAACATATATATGATGGGGATAGCTCTATGTATCTCTGTTAATTAGATGATGTATGATATGACAAAATGGGTACAATTAATACGATTAATTGACTCCTAATTTAATACCAGAGCAATGTTCAGATAGTAATAGAATCGTTATGGATCAAAATGAAAAGGTCCCCAGTTCTTGAAGCAGAAGCTAAGTTTCGTCAACTTCCTCCAATTTCTAATCCCTTTTTGATATGATTAAATAGCAATTATATTTTAATCTAAATTCTAAGCAATGAATGAGTGATGGATGACCGGTACACGCAAATGTTTTAAAAATTTTGCCTACCGGTAGTGCGAGTCCACTAGCACCTACAACTGTTGCGTTGGGGCAAACATAAGTCCATCTTCAATGGGGACTTAAATTAGGCTCTACCTCCTTGGGACTCCTAAATATAGAGACAAATAAAAAAGGTATCTCCAATGGCAGAAATAACCCCAACAGGCCCCCAAGGACTCACTATAGAATGACTCCTCTACTTGATGTCAATAGTGGGATGTATGCAAAGGACTCACTAGTGTAGTGATTTGGAGTATTTACTCCCTCAGGCAAGGTCCTGAGTTTGAGTTCTAGCATCCATATAGTGTGTGTGAGTGTGCTATCGTGTGCTAATCGGTACGGTACGTCGTAAAATAACTATCCCCACCAACCACCCAAAAAAAAAAAAAAAAAAAAAAAAAAAAAAAAAAAAAAAAGGGATATAAACCCTAACCCACTAGGTGTTGCATCAGAAACCACCCAAAATGAGTTTGTGGGTCCGAGATGGATTTTCCTGGGAGTCGGTTGAGGTGCAGGGCCCGTAGAAACAAAATATTGGCCTTTTGGATGGTCTCTTTTGTCATGTTTTTTCGCACACACTACTACATTTTACGTTTTGAAGACGAATAGAATTTCGTCGCGCTCGCACATAATTCTGTGCGACAGAAAATTCGTCGCGCACGATCCGTCGCGCAAAGAGCGTGAAGAAAGACTTTGTGTGACCAATTTTTTTCAATCGTCATGCAAAACTATGTGACGTAGCACCTTCGTTACAGAAAAGGTTTCGGGACGACACAAGTGTTCGACGCACAAACCTTTGTGCGATGAAAGGGTATTCGTGGCGACAACACTGCGCGACGACATATTGCGCGACGAAAAATCGTTGTCGCGCATACATTTTTGGCGCGACGAAAGCCTTCGTCGCACAAGAATAAATTAAGTGTATTTAAAATTTATTTTTTTACGTTTTTTTTATTTAAAAAAGTGAATTTGTGAGACGAGAAACATTTCGTCACGCAAAATTAATATATATTATTTAAATTTAATATTACGTTTTTTTTTTGTAAAAAAAAAATTTTGGTTTTTTTTGGTAATAAAATGAAATTGCAATAAAAAAAATGAATTGTAAAGAATACATTTATTATATAAAATAAAATAAATGTATACTACAAGAGAAATATTTAAAAAATAATTATGAAAATAAAAAACTAATCAAATAATTTTCCAAAATCTACATGGTCGTTTGGCATATGCGGCTTGGAGGTCTGGGAGTCTACAGGGGCCGTGGTCTGGTGGGGATGCTCGGGGTGGACGAGCTCGGAGGTCGGCGCACCAAAATTCGGGATTGGAATGCCGGACCGCGCGAGGGACTGCAGAATCACCGACATCTGACCCTCAAGCTCGGCGACCTGTGATGTGAAAACAATCACCTAACTGTTTGCCTGCGACGATGACCGGGGTCTAGGTTCCCTCTATCGGGCATTCCCCATCCCTCGACAATATGTTCCCGACCGCCTCCAGAGAGTCTGATCCAACGTCTCCGTAAAGATCTGAAATCCAGCATCATATGGAGGATCCACAGACTCGATCGGAGTCTCGGGAGGAAGTTGGGAGGCGGACTCCTGAAGAACCAACTGGCTCCTCTCCATCATCGTCGTATGTTTAACATAACATAAAATATAAATTAAAACATGCATATAATTGAATGCGTAACATAAGAATTAAAATTAAATAATACTTACATGAAGGGACTCGGCCAACTCATTCCCAGGTCGAATATAAACGTCACCAAAGATGTCGATCCCTGGGAATTTCGACCCCCCTAAATTGAACAAGAGATGAAAATTATTAGTATGAAAAAATAAATTAATAATAATGACATATTAAAAAATAAATATAAATTATTTTATTATTACCCGTCGCCTTGCATCCATCCTATATGGGAATGGCCTGAAACCGGAATGGTGGAGAATAGTCTTCTTCCCTATTGCCCTTATTCACTTGGGTTTTATTCTATATAAAAAAAAAAAAAAAAAAAAAAAAAAAAAGTTGAAATATAAAAAATTAAAAAATAAAATAAACATTAATAAGAAATATGTAACAATTAAACAAAAATTATTTAAAAATACCACATAATCGAGAGCCTGAAAATGAGCGCAGAGCCACGCCCAACTATCCTTCCGCCCCTCAAGCTCCTTCGGGCAACCCTTCTGAAGAGCGACTTGCGGATCATCAAACGCCTCAAAATGGTGGTGCAAGTCGCTCTTCCACTGCTTGTACCTTATATAGAAGAGTCTGTTGACGTACGCCAATGACTCATCGTCGAGGTCCTCCAAGTTGTAGTTAGTCTGCAAGAAATTAATTACATACATTAACTAATACAAATATATAAAGTTTGAAAGAAAAAGAATTAAAATGTAGGATACATACCGACAACTGGCCGCGCACCTCCGTCTTGATCTCGTCAGGCATGACCTTCTAAGACTTCCACTGCATCGGGCAATAGGTAAGCACGACGTGACCAATGTCGTGGGCCACGGAGCCATGCAACTCCGGCGTCAGTGCAGCCCGATGTCGCTCGTCGTATCCGATGTTGATACGACTGTTGGTCACCCAGGTGACCTTCGCCGTCTTCAACTGCTGATGTAAGATCCCACATCGACTAACGGAGAGGGGGTGATGTGCCTTATATGTGCACACTCGCATCCATCTAGTACGAGGCCTTTAAACCCGTGCGAGCTGGTGAGAATGTAGCCAAGACCAGAGCGGATAGTATCGTGCTAGTTGGGCCGGTGTGAGAATGTAGCCAAGCCCAGAGCGGATATTATCATGCTAGTTGGGCCGGTGTGAGAATGTAGCATCCCTTCTATGTCACGAGGCATTTTGAGAGCTCACTGGCTTCGGAGTCAAGGGAACTCCGAAGTTAAGAGAGTTGGAGGCTAGAGCAATCCCAAGATGGGTGACTCACTAGGAGATTGCTCGTAAGCTCCCAGAAACAAAACCGTGAGGGCAGAGAGGGAGGCCCAAAGCAAACAATATCGTGCTACGGCAGAGCCGATCCCGGGATGTGACAATTTAGCTGATAGGACCCGTCCCGAAATTCCCGGAACCTGAGACAAACCCTGTGGAATTCCCGACATCACCCTGATGTCGAGCCCACTTCTGAAACTACATCCTCTTTCTCTTAAAAAGAGTAAGGGCACGAGACTTTTCTGCAGAAATTTCGGCAGAGTCTTCCCTGTAAATTGAACATTCCCTAAAATTTCCACATGCATAAAACACATTTAATATACCAACAGGCAAGACACACAATATATTTTCAAACAATTCACATAAATGGCCTCCGACCTTATATTTCGCCAGCAATGTTCTTAAATCAAATTAATGCATTAAACAATGCATATAACAATCTCAAACTTATTTATAAACGCCTACTCTAATCAACACAAAATAACTTTCCCAAATAACCAACATGCGAGGTTTTAACCTCCTAACATGAACATCTCTCGTTCTCCACTAAATATCAGGACAAATGACAAGGTCCACACTACACTCAAAACACACAAAAGTAAAGTTTAACCCACGGTTGCACCTAGTAACTTCAGGCTGCCTACGTACTCTTACTGAGGGATCAAGCCATACGTAGTTCTTTCCTACAAAATTTCCAAAACCATCAACATGCAATCAATTATAGAAATCCCAAACAAAACCTTTTTCAAACATCATTCGTTCCCAAATCAGGATAATAATCCGTAATTCAACTCTCTAATAATCACAATATCTCCCCATATGCTGGTACTACCAACACCACATATGGGGTCTGTGAACACGCCGGTTACTCCTACGACACGTGCAACCTCAACACAATATAACATATCTCCACATAAGCTGGATATACCAACGCCACGTATGGGGTCTGTCAACACGCCGGCTACTCCTACGACACGTGCGACCTCAACACAATATCACATCTCCCTATACGCAAGATATACCAACGCCGCATATGGGGTCTGTCAACACGCCGGCTACTCCTACGATACATGCGACCTCAACACAATATCACATATCTCCCCATACGCCGGATATACCAACGCCGCGTATGGGGTCTGTCAACACGCCGGCTATTCCTATGACACGTGCGACCTCAACACAATATCACATATCTCCCCATACGCCGGATGTACCAACGCCGTGTATGGGGTCTGTCAACATGCCGTCTACTCCTACGACACGTGGGACCTCATAATCGCATGGTGGTACTTATAGTGTAGTCAATATCCGGGGAGGTACATAAGGTAGTGCGTATAGCACTTCAAACTAACAATCTAAACTTTTTCTATACCTTGATATATCCACAAAATATATATAAATATATATATATAAATTATAATCTTAAGTAAACTTCAACCAATATAGCATCCAATAAACCCCCCCCAATTAAAATCATCAATTAATATCCTAAACCCACAATATCCACATAACTCGACTAATGATCAAGACCTGTCTCTAGGGACATTCTAATCCTCCTGGGAAGGTAGAACTATATCGAAAGTCTCACGTTCAACCCAAGGTCAAACTACCCACATTTGGTTAAATGGGCCCGCGGGGTCCACTACCTCCAAATCCCAATATGAAAGTTCCTATAGGTTCTATAAGGTCTAGGATACATGTCCTGCAAGTTTGGTCTAGATCGGACGATCGGATCGCTCACGATCGCATGATCGGACAGTTGCTGAAATCCTAGCCCACGATCCGTCGAATCCTACACAATCCTAGGAATACCTAGATCAACATATTATCAATTCACGACCATCTAACGGTCCAAACCTAGCGAACCCCGAATAACGTGCAATATGCGATATCCATTCGGGACTCTAACGGTATCCAAATTGGGATCCAAGAATACCTACGCGCTCGTGACAACATGAGGATCCCATTGGGACAAAAATGCCCCTCAGCTATAGTGCCCACAAGCCACGTGTCCAAAGCGATTACCCTTCACCGGAAAATCTCCAAATCTTGGCTCATGACTCTTACCCTAGGTAAAACACCCTATTTGGAACCACTTTTGTTCTTGGGCATACCCCAAAAACTGACCGGAAGTGGCCGAAATCTCATCCCGAAATTCGGCCGAAATCCAATTCGAAAATGGAGCTACCTACACTCAAAATTGATACAATCCTAACCAACCATCAGCTAGATCATGAAAAATAGGTAGAAATCCATACCTTACACGTCCAATTTGGTGGAGAAATGAGAGAGATCGAGGGGTTTGAATTTTCTGAAAATCTGGCTCGTTTTCTGCAGATTCCGGCGAGGCTGCGGCGGTTCATGGCAGGAGCTGGCTGGGGTTGGAAGAGGAAGACCAGCAGATCCTTTTGGGACCAGCGCCACCTCGAATGGTGGCCGGAGGAAGCGGTGGCGACGGTAAAACCGTCGCCACTGTTTTCACGAAGGGGGAGGGCTCGCACGGGAGAAGGGAGAGAGAGAGAGAGAGAGAGAGAAATCTGATTTAAAAAAAAAAAAAAAAAACAATTTTCCCAATAATTACGATTGTGCCACTGAGTTTCATTCGATCGTAACTCTCTCGTTACAACTTCGATTCGAGCCCACTTCGTGTCTATGGACTCATCTCACCGTGCTATACGCAACGGTATAGCCAAAATTCCCAAATTCATTCTGGATAAGAAATGACCTAATTACCCCTGTTCCAAGGGTAAGTTCGTAATTTCACTCAAATTAATTAAAAGAGGGGATAAATTTGGAGTGGGGGTGTTACAGACTACCCCCCTTATTAAAATTTCATCCTCAACATACCTGTCACTCCAAAGGGTGTGGGTACTGGGCCTGCCTCTACCACTCAGGTTCCCTAGTATCCTCCTCCACAACCTGATATGACAGGAACTTAACCTCCCACGTTTCCTGAACCCCTGCAGGAAGAAGCTTCGATCCGGGGGTCACTCAACTTCAAAACATCCTTCCGTTGAAGGCATTGAAACTGAAATTTAAATTTACCACCCTAGGCGTACCCATTTTATTTCCGTCCATTCTTAATAAGTCGTCAATTCCTCGTGTCACCACTGGTGACACCCCCTCGCAGGTCTCAGTGACACAAGGTTGACTTAAGCCGCATTCCTCGTAGGATTTAGGGGACATTTGGTCACACTTCCCAAGTTCTTTCCTCCACAACCATGTTGGTAGCCAAACCAAAAGCTCTAGCTAAACCAACAGAGGAAAAGAAGTCTCCTTCTTCCCCTAAGAATATCCTAATGTTCCACTCCTGTCAATCGCAGCACTCAAGTCCACACGAGTCAAATGATACTTTATCCAACACCACTACTTCTCACTTTAATTTGTCACGACCCTCCTTGGTCGGACTCACAAATCTTCCATTCCCATGTAACATGTCTATCAACTTTCTCAGACAATTTTATCTTGTTCCAACGGATTCAATACTTTCAGCTCTTTAGCTTTCCTTCCATAGGATATTAAGATACAACAATTTGGATAGACACGTTTCTAGGAACGTGATACCCTTAAGTGTAATCATCAATACCCTAAATCCATCCATGTCAAAGAGTCCTCCGCGTCGAAATGGCAACGTCCTATGACGGAACCCATCATGATCCCACAACTTAAAGATGCACACCAAGTGCGGGGTCCACATAAAATTGAACCTAAGCTCTAATACCAAGCTGACAGGACCCGCCCCAAAATTCCCGGAACCCGAGACGAACTCTGTGGAATTCCCGACATCACCCTGATATCGGGCCCACTTTTGAAACTACGTCCTCTTTCTCTTAAAAAGAGTAAGGGCACGAGACTTTTCTGCTGAAATTTCGGCAGAGTCTCCCCTGTAAATTGAACATTCCCTAAAATTTCCACCTGCATAAAACACGCTTAATATACCAACAGGCAACACGCACAATATATTTTTGTTGAGGCCCAAAAATCTAGGGTTAGGCCCAAATAAATTCTTGGCGCAACATAATGCCTTATTAAGAAAAAGACTCGGTTCGGAGCATGCAAAATTCCTCATTTGTGCTTGCACAAGCCATGACCACATGCCATGCCAAATAAATATGCAATCTCTCACGCTAAGAGTTGAAATAAGCAATGACTCTACGAGCTCATGCTAATTACCCCATCAAGCATCATGCCCCTATTCAAGGACGATAAAATTAAAACACGCCGATTAACATGCCATGCCAAGCATAAAATTATTATTTCACACCCAATCACGCTACAAGCTTAAGTGGGCCCAAGTCACGCAAATGCCCGGGGCTTGTTTGAGTGGGTGGTGGTATGGATGGTAACAAACTTTCATGAGGCCCATTGATGAGCCAAGAAATAGAAGTTTTGGGCTGCTTGGGAGCCCCAAAACTCAAGCCCATTTCTTGAGCCCAAACACATGGGCTAGCATGAGAGAGAGAGAAAACATAACCCAATGTCTTAGAAAGAATACAATAGCTTGTTTATAAAACCTTATGTTAATTAGAGCACCCAAACACTTTGTCAAAAACACTTCCACTAGCTTGACGAAAACCCATTAGATGCTGGAGATAACACGCTGATAACCCAACATTAAACATACAAGCCCAGCCCAAAGCCTTATAAAAATCTGGCATCATGCTCCATCCTTGCTAGGATTCCAAGACGGTCAAACAAGGAACCATGGCATGAACCAATGGAAATCCATGTGTGAGAGACGAATACCCATCAGACAAAGAGCTCCTCCCATCTCTTTTTCCTCTGCAAGCTCCATCTTGAAAACCATGAGAGAAAGCAGGTGGCGCCTCCCCCCTTATGGGAAGGTCCCGCTGCGTCAAACTATTGGAACCACAAAAGGTTCCTTACCCATGCTCCTTGGATAGGAGAATTTCACCAAATTAGATCTAACCCATCTAGAGCCTGACCAAGCTTTGTCAAGCAACTGGAAATTCACTCAATCCACATCCAGAGAGCAAGCTTCCTCTCTTACTTCCAAAACCCAGCAATTTGAGCCCTATTCCTCCATACTTCTTCTACCTAGCAAAACAACCCATCCAAGACTTGACCACGCTTCGTCAAACAAATTGGGAATTTTACTAAAGCCACCCAATTCTCTCATTCATTTGTTTTCCTCTTCCTTTAAGATAAGAATCGTGCTAATTTGGCTCTACTCTACTCTATATAAGAAACTCACGCTTATCTCTCTCTGTTCATGCTAAAATCATGATGGTTTTGCTCCCATGCCACAAGCCCCTCATGCTAAGCCATTAATCAATCTATCATGTTTATATGGCTATTGGTGAAAAGAACTTGATGGTGTTTTTCTAAGGTGTCATCAAACCTTTCAAAAACTCTTTCAGGAGCCTGGTCTCTAAACTCAAACACTTGGGGAATTTCTGTTCGTTTTCTTCTTACGGCAACTAAGCCCATTCGTCAGGCTGCTGGAACAAAAAGACCCCCACAATTTTCAAGCAATTCACATAAATGGCCTCCGGCCTTCTAATATTTCGCCAGCAATGTTCTTAAATCAAATTAATGCATTACACAATGCATATAACAACCTCAAACTTATTTATAAACGCCTACTCTAATCAACATAAAATAACTTTCCCAATAACCAACATGTGAGGTTTTATCCTCCTAACATGAACATCTCTCGTTCTCACCTAAATCTCAGGACAAATGACAAGGTCCACACCACACTCAAAACACACAAAAGTAAAGTTTAACCCGCTGCTGCATCCAGTAACTTCAGGCTGCCTACGTACTCTTACTGAGGGATCAAGCCACACGTAGTTCTTTCCTACAAAATTTCCAAAACCATCAATATGCAATCAATTATAGAAATCCCAAACAAAACCTTTTTCAAACATCATTCGTTCCCAAATCAGGATAATAATCTGTAATTCAACTCTCTAATAATCACAATATGTCCCCATATGCCGGTACTACCAACGCCACATATGGGGTCTGTGAACACGCCGGCTACTCCTACGACATGTGCGACCTCAACACAATATCACATATCTCCCCATACGTCGGATATACCAACGTCACGTATGGGGTCTGTCAACACGCCGACTACTCCTACGACACGTGCGACCTCAACACAATATCACATATCACCCCATGTGCCGGATATACCAACGCCGCGTATGGGGTGTGTCAACACTCCGGCTACTCCTACGGCACGTGCGACCTCAACAAGCATATCACAATGTTTTCCCATACGCCGGAACATCCAAAGCCGCTTATGGGGCCTGTCCGCACACTGGATAACCTACGACACGTGGGACCTCACAATCGCATGGTGGTACTTACAGTGTAGTCAAGACATGGTGAGGTACATAAGGTAGTGCGTATAGCACTTCAAACTAACAATCTAAACTCTTTCTATACCTTGATAGTGCGTATAGCACTTCAAACTATATTGAAAGTCTCACGGTCAACCCAGGGTCAAACTACCCATACTTGGTCAAATGGGCCCGCGGGGTCCACTACCTCGAAATCCCGATCTGAAAGTTCCTATAGGTTCTACAAGGTCTAGGACACATGTCCTGCAAGTTTGGTCCAGATCGGACAGTCGGATCACTCACGATCGCACGATCATAGAAAAGAATGCAAGATCCCTTCTACTTTATCACTGTCCCTATTCATCCACAAACCCCTTCGTATGCCCATTCTTTCCAAATCAAGACGAGCTTTGATCGTGTCCTTTGTCTTGCCCTCGATATCTAGAATCGTGCCAACAAATGTGTTGAATACATTTTTCTCGACATGCATCACATCTAGATTGTGCCTCAATTTGAGTTTCGACCAATATGGGAGCTCAAAAAACATAGGCTTATGCGTCCAGTTCATATGTGTAGAAGATCTGGTCCGACTAACTGTTTTCCCGAACGTAGCAAAATCCAAATGGTTAAGCTGTTCCAAGATCTCATCATCGGACCATTCTCTAGGTCTGAGGCGACGCTCTATGTTCCCGTCGAACTCTTTATCTTTTTCCCTCCACTCATGGTCCCATGACAACCATCTCTGATGAACAAGGTAACAAAATTTTCTAGCGTGTCAACCAGAAGTTACATTTTCCTTGCATACAGGACATGCCATATAACCCTTTGTGCTCCACCTAGAAACCATTACATATGCTGGAAAATCATTCACAGTCCACATAACTGCTGCCCGCAAAGTGAACATCTTCCCAGTTGATTTATCGTATGTGCGAACACCGTTTGTCCCTAAATCATTCAGCTCATCAACCAGCGGCCTTAAGTAAACATCGATTGACCTGCCAGGATCCTCAATTATCAAAACGGTCATCATCATGTATTCTTTTTTCATGCATTTCTAAGGTGGAAAATTATATGGGAATACGAAAATCGGCCAAGTGTTGTGGTGTTGGTTTAGAACGCCATACGGATTAAATCCGTTAGTGGCAAGTCCCAATCTAACATTTCGGGGATCAACAGCAAAACGGGGAACGTTCGATCGAACTCTTTCCATGCCTCCCCATCTGCAGGATGCCGCATCACATCATCATCTACCCCTTTTTCCTTATGCCATCTCATGTCTGTGGCAGTATGCGTCGACATATACAATCGCTACAACCTATGTTTGAGGAGCAGATAACGCATGACTTTTTGTGGGATCTTAGTCGTTCTATTCTGATATATCATTTTGAACCTCGGCTCATTGCATATAGGGCATGTATCCAACGTTTCATACTCTTTGTAGAATAACATGCAATTATTTTTGCAAGCGTGAATTTTTTCATAACCCAATCCCAGACCATTCAACACCTTCTGCCCGTGTTTATGGTCTTTTGGCAAACAATTGTCCGTCAGAAGCATTCTCTTGAAAATCCCCAAAAAGTAATCGAAATACAGGTTCGACATACGATACTTTATTTTTCCGTGGATTAGCTCCACAATGGCCGTGAGAACGGAAAAGCTCTCGCACCCCGGGTATAACTCTTGGTTGGCGTTTTTCAACAAATCTTCATATTGTTCAAACTTCGCACTGTCGATTGGTGTAGGCACGTCATCTTCCCCTTCCCGATTGATGTTAGTCAATGCAAATGGAAAAGCATCCTGTATAATATCCATGACTTGATCATTAGGATCCACAATAGGTTCAACATTGTCCACTCTTGTGGCATTTGAAGACGAAGCGTGGTCTAATTGTTCCCCGTGAAGGTTCCAAATGCTATATGTCTCAATCATTCCATTCCTTACTAAATGAAATCCAACATTTTCAATTGTCTCCTACAACGTGTTGTTACACCTCCTACAAAGACAACGGATTCTAGTTGCACCCGAGTTGTGTCTTCGTGCAAACTCAATAAAATCCTCGATTCCATCCAAGTATTCGTCTACGCATCTATTCGGGTCCTGTATCCACCTTCTGCTCATAATTCCTGAAACCACAAGAGTGGACAATCACAACAACTTCATACGAAGTTATAATGTCACCTTATGCCTCAAGTAAGGGCCCTATCCCATTCGGGAATGCATAGTCTTGTCACTTAACCTACGGCTACATGAGATTAGATTTCGATGTGGATGAATTTCGCCAGCATCTAGATACAGTTCTTGAGGTGGGCATAGGTATAAATACCTACGTACCACCCGAAAAACGTACCGAGATGACACCAAAATCTCCACAATCAAAACCTAATCCTGTAGCCGTAGACTACGTGACGACACTATGCATTAATAAATGTCCAAATAATGGGACAATTCAAGAATTAATTGGACCGCAGTCATGCTTTACGCATCCATGCACGAAATCCAACTAATCTCGAACGGGAAACTAAGTGTTACTAAAAAATAATAATAAAAGCACGAAATTAATTTCAATTAACTTCGTACATCACAACATATTGTGCTACGTCACGTACAATTTAACAGCATAATATAAATATAATTTCACAACAAAAAATATAAATATAACAAACTAAGTTCAACATAATGTAATTAATTTAATTAAAATGAATAAAATACCATCTCAATCGTTCTCCACAATCGCAAATTACAAATATCTATAATGAGAAAAAAAATAAATAGCGTTAGTACGAATTTACATTAATACTTTTAAACAAACGACAAATAATACCTACCCAATAAGCGTATTGAATTCCAAGAAGAGGCAGCAGAGCAGCACAGACAGAGAGAGGTTTTAAAATTTTTTGCATTATGCCTCTGCAATGGCAGAATCCAGAGATGTAGAAGAAGGATTTTGCGAGACGAAAGCACATTTTCGTTGCGCAAACTATCGTCTCGCAAAACCATTTTTTCGTAGCTTAAAATCACTTTTTTTCGTCGCGCAAGAAACCTGTCAACATCGGATTTTTGCGCAACGAAAATTCTTGTTCGTCGCGCAAAATCTAAACGGCGTCAGGCATACATAAATTTCCGTCACCAGAGAAAGCACCGACATCAAACTTTGCGCGACGAAACATCTTTTCGTTGCGCAAGTATTTCGCGCCAAAAAAAGGTATCGCAAGTTTTTCTGTCCACTTTTATGCGACGAAATTCGAAACCGTCATGCCAAGATATCTTTTGCGACGATCAATATCGTCTCGCAAAAGTTTGGCCCCAAAAAAATAAACCCGAATTTTTCTTCCCCACTTTGCGCGACGATTCATTTGTTTGTCATGCTAAGGCTCTTTGCGCGACCAAATGTTTTGTCGCGCAAGTTTTCGTCTGTTTGCATGACGAATTTTTTTCCGTCGCTGTAGTGTGTTTTGTGTGACAAATATTTGTTCGTCACGCAAATGGTAAAATATAGTAGTGACAATTCATGTAAATTCATAGCATATTAGTGTAGATTGGTTTCCTTCGATTGTCTTCAAACCTATGCAATGATAAATTCTTATTTGCTCATGAACATTACTTATTCTTCACTACACTTATAATGCAAGAAAATGAAAAAACAAGCAAACAAACAAATTGTGTAGTATTAGAAACTAAGAAGAGTTTGATAACATATGAAAAAATGATTTCAATTTTGCCAGATAAAACTCGAGTCTTACATTTAAGTTGTAAGGCCATCTCCAGTCATAGGGCTAAATGTAGTCCAGGACTAAAAATTTAGCCCTCCAAAATATTAATTTTTTAAAGCATAGTGTAAGGCTAAATTTTTCCATCTCCAGTCATGCATGGCTAATTTTAGGGTCCTTCATATTTTATTATTTTGAGAAAAATTATGGTACAACACATACATTCCACAACTATGTATAGTTTAATTTAATTAAACTACTATTTAGAGTCAATATTCCATGACCAAAATTTTTTTTATAATTTTTTTAAAACAACACTTAAAACATTTGAAAAGGTGACTACATTTTTTTTTAAAGGATGGGTTTCAATGGTTTGACATCCAATGATCATGACCAATAATTTTTTATAATTTTTTTATGAATTGAAAATATTTAAAAAGGCTTTTAAATAAATAAATATATATATATATATATATATATCCAGCTGACATCATCAATGAAAAGCACATGCATGGAGCCCAAAAAAAATTTGGCCTAGAACTAGGCCAAAGCTGGGCTAAATGTGGCCCGGTTGAAAGGCTAAAGGGCCAAATGTGGTCCTCTAAATTTGGCCAAAATTTTATTTAGCCCATGACTGGAGATGGGTTTTGCATTATTTTAAGGTTATATTTGGGATATAGCCCATAACTGGAGATGGCCTAACATACCTGACCAAGTAGTCTTCGTTTGATTACATTCTTCCTTTCCTTCATTTTGAACACTTCAACGAATATCATTGATGGCACGTTCTATGTGTATACCTTTCGAAAAAATTACAGTAATTAACCTCAATCAATAAATTTCGAATTACTATATGTCTATTACAGTTATGGATATCTCTTGTCATAATTGATTTGCATATATGGCTGTATATGCATGTCCCCTCATGGGGTTGATATCCGTTGTCCTTAAATTTCATACACCTTTTATAGTATTTGACACCTGTCCAAACACTTAACTGAACTTTAATTTTATTAAATTTTATTACTTTTAGTTCTGTTATTTTCACCCACCTATCCAAACACTCATCAATCTAAGTGAAGGGCCATCAACCTAGAATTATCAACGAGCTAGGTGAAGTAGCCAATAGCTACGCCACTAGGAGGCCAATTAGCCTAATTCTATGTACCTAAAGTGTTGTACTATTCTCCTCCAGATTAATAAAATTATTTTGTTTCAACTATTGTTCCTATTTTCCTAAACCCCTTAAACACATAAACCAACAATAGTATCAGAGTATCACATCACATTCTAAATTGTAATTGTCAGAGGAAAATAAAATGTGGATACTAACTATCATAGATCCATTGTTGCCAGAATTTGAGGCGTGTTCCACTTGGAAATGCAGAAGGATTAAATGCTTCTATCGAAGGTACCCCATAGTGGTCTTTAGCAAGGACCAATTGTGGGCAACACTGAATTAATTCCCGAGCCATAACTGTAGTAGAGAAAAAGAAATTTTATTATAAGGAAAAAAACGAGTAATCAAATTAGTTGTTATAAGATTAAAACTTTTACCAAAATTCCTTCTAGTTATAAAATGGTAAATAAGTGCAGCGCCGTATGGGCCTTTTTCTGGCATTAGATCCTTGATGGGAGTGATGGAGTAAAGATAATGAACGACGTCTCATCGCTCATTGCTAGCAGCCAGTACAATTGGAGTCAAATTCTGGTTAATGGCAATACTAAGTATTTTCTTGCTCTTTCTAACCATGCATTCAACCATTTTTATATTTCCTCTACTTGCAGCAAGAGCAAGGACTGTCCGACCATTATTATCTGTTATTTCCAAGTCTTCCTCTGACATCAACTGCACCAACTCTTCCACAATATGCTCGTGCTCTAGATCTGTTGCCATGCAAAGAGCTGTCTTGTTGGAGTACGAATGTCTTGCTCTTATTGCATCGGGATGTAGGGTAAGAAACTCCTTTGCTTCATTCCAATCCCCACGCGATACAGCATCGAACAACGGCTTATACAGACTCTTGTCACATCCTGCACCAACTTTGTGTTAATTAATTAATCATTTCATATAACATAACCCATTTATTTTTTGCTTTAATAATTGAAAAAATTGTACCCATGCATAATCCAGATTATTTTTTTATGACTTTTACGGCCACTATTTGCCGACATCTTGAATGGAATGACTGTGGGTAAATTGGGTAGTTTTGTGATTCATGGAGGAAATTGGCTATTTAAAATTAAATAAATAAATAAAGTCAAAAGGGTAAATTGACACCGTTAGATTTAATTTCCATCTAGTTGCACATGTAATTTGCATAAGGATAAAAATTTCTTTTTTTGTATACAGTAATTCTAGGGAGACCAAAATGTAAAAGAATAAAAAGTAAACCGATTAGGAGTCCTTACATCAGTGCTAGTATAAGCAACAGAAATTGTGGTCTTGGTATATATAAATATTTATATATTTCTGGTTTAAGTGGAATATTTACTTCTCACAGAAAGAGAGCCGAGCAAGCATACCCGGGGGTTGTTTGATGAGGTTCAAGATTTGAACTGGGGACTTACTTGGAAGAAATGGTTTTTGCTTGAACTTTTCTGCCAAAGTATCCCAAGCGCGTTTGGCTGAAGTGGTATCCCTAATGAGGGAAAAAGTATCCCGCCCGCATGAAATTTGGATTGTATGTAAAGCCGTGGCATTCTTCTTCCTCCAAGCTTTGAACTTATCATCAGCTTCTTCTTCGTCTTCTTCCACTACATCCCAAAGGTCTTGAGCCAACAAATAAGTTTTAACCAATACACTCCAATCCAGATAGTTACGGCCATTAAGAACTTCCACAACGGCTGCATCTGCGGAGACGGCCCCTGTTGCCATTCTTAGATGGATCTGACCAAGGGCTTACTTAGGAGAGGCTCTGCAATTTCTGTTTTATTTACTATACCCAATTGAGTGAACAATCACTTGTTAAAGCAATGGGGGTCTAAGGGGAGGATTATTTGATTTACCATTTGCTCGGAATCTGCTCTACACATATATAGATATCTGCAATTTCAAGTGGTCCAAAATGTGCCCATATTTATACATAAAGATATCATGGGTTTGGGGTTTGGGAACACGTGCAGATGTAGAAGAATAAAGCATATAAAGCACATGTGGGAACGTAGCGTTGCAGAAGAAGAAAGCACTGTCATTTGTTGCTCTCAAGGTCTTGCACCATGTTTATATAAGCACTTGCAAATGCAGACCACTTGGAACGGCAGGAATCCAATCCAACTGCAAAAAACAAACTGCAAAGGGGACGCCCGATTTTAACAATATGCGGACATCCACATTAGAGAAAATTCTATATATATTATATATACTGTATACACACTTGGTATTAGAATACGGTTGAATACCATCTCAATTCTTACACATTATGGCCAAACAAGTCCAACCGAGTGAGTTGGCCAAAAAAAAAGAAAGCCTATCCCAATGGAAAATCACTTTAATTTGTTGACTAATAGTCTGTAGTTCAAATTCCCTTGACATCTTGGTAACGTGTGTGTGAAAAACTCCCCTTTCATTTAAGTTTCGACAATCGCATGTACTAAAAAAAGGGTTATCTCACTATGCACTATCACGCTTGTCCAAATCTCCACCCTGAACTTGTTTTCCTGCCAATTTAGCCCTCATACTAAATTTTCTTGCCAATTTACTCCCCACCGTTAGTTTTTGGCAATTTTTATCCAAATCTCTGTTAAAAAATTCACATGTTAGGCACATGCTTCACAGTTTAATTAAAAACTGATTTTTTTATCTGCTTCTTCAAAGTGCTCGAATTTATTCTCCTTCCTCTTTCCGGGTTTTAGGTTGAGGTGGTGGTTTGAAATTTTCATCCTCGTCCTCTTCGTTACATAGGTTGAGATCGATCGGATAGTGGAGAGATTAGGGTACAATGGAGGGTTGGTGGGGCTGCGGCGCATAAAATGAGAGAGAGAGAGAGAGGGGGGGGGGGGGGGGGGGTGGGGGGTTCTGGGTTCTGCGGGTAGAGGGGTGTTGCAGGTTGGGGGGGGTAAACTTTGTATATTGGATTGACTTGATAAGTGTGATATATGAGAGATTTATACATAGTTGAAAACCTTAGTAGAGAGATGTACAAGGAAACTGAATCAACAACACAAGGAAGGTAAATCAATATTAACGGCCATGAATTGATTGCGTGACACTCCCCTGAAACTCAGAGAGCTGGAGATGACGACTTTTGTGAGGAGGTCAGCAACTTGATCAGTGGAAGGAACAAATTGAACACGATGACTGCCAAGGGCAACTTTCTCACGAACAAAATGGTAATCCAATTCAATATGCTGAGTGTGAGCGTGATGAACTGGATACAAAACTCTTGTATGCTTTTTTATGCTTGGTATGTTGTGCTTGTGATATCTTGTGAAAATGATATTAATCCTTCCAATACAAAACTCTCAGCATGGCCAGTCATTGCATGGTGTGGCTTGATAATTTGTTCATTATTTTGCTTGTGAATGGTGTTTACTAATAGTTTGGTGTTGAGGCCTAAAAATTCAGGGTTGGGCCCAAATAAATTTCTGGCCCAGTGCGACACCTTATTAAGAAAAGACCCGGTTTGGAGCATGCATAATTCTTCCTTCACGCTTGCACAAGCCACGACCACATGCCATGCAAAATAAATATGCAATCCGTCATGCTAAGAATTAAAATGAGCCTATAAAAGGCAGTGGCTCTACAAGCCCATGCTAATTACCCCACCAAGCATCATGTCAAAAACGATAAAATTCAGCACAACATGCCATGCCAAGCAGGGAACCATTATTTCACAGTCACGCTATAAGCTTAAGTGGGCCCAAGCCACGCAAATGCTCGGGAGCTTGTTTGATTGGGTTATGGTATGGATGGTAACGAGCTTTCATGAGGCCCACTGATGAGCCGAGAAATGGAAGTTTTGGGCTGCTTGGGAGCCCTAAAACTCAAGCCCATTTCTTGAGCCCAAATATGTAGGTAAGCATAAAAGAGAGAAATAGCCCAATACTTTAGGAAAAATTAGTTCATTATCTCAATAAAAATGGTCCATCACTTAGGAGGTTGGCCGAGTCCCTTAATACACTAACCTATCACCTTAGGAAGGCCCAAATAGCCTAAGTGGCTTAGAAAATATCCAAAGAAGCTCTAGCACATGGTTTGAAATGAAACCACGATAGAAAATCAGGAGATATTTGTATGCTCAGGTAGCTGGGAGGCTTTAGCACATGGGCAAAAACAAACCTCTGCAATTTCGAGCCTCAATTCCTCCATCTCTTCCATTTTCTCTTCTGGCAAGCTATTCCAGAGTCTGACAAAGCTTTCGTTAGGCTGCCGGAAACTACTCAACACACCCATTATTTCTCCAATCTCTCTCTCCCTCTTCAACAAGCCCTCTTAGAATCCTTTTCCCCCTTTTTCCTTAGAACCCCTGTCTTTCATAAGAACACACAGCTCTCTCTCTATTTATGCTAAACTCATGATTGTTTTGCTCCCATGCCACAAGCTTCTGATGCCAAGCTAAGGTTCTACCTGTAAGCACTAAGAATTCATCTGTAAGCAGTTGTTGTTTTTGTTGGTAAAGATAACCAGGATGCTTCCTAAGGCTTCACTACCCTTTCGAAGCATTCTTAGGGCTTGATTCTTGAACTTAGGCACAGGGGGTAATTTCATCTGTTTCTCTTTTTGGGCAGCCCAAGCCCATTCGTCAGGCTGCTGGAATAAAATGACCCCTGGGATTGTAATGCTCGCGGCTCGTAATGCTAGCGGCTCTGGAATAACTCAGTAAAATGCTTGTGCTTGGGATAACTTCTCAAAATGTTTACGGCAGCCTCCTACAGGGTTTGAATTTGAGATATTGATCGGGACAAATGCTGGAAGGTTTACAGCTGCTTGGGTATTGCTATTGCGTGTAGTGGGTATGTGTTAGGCTACGGGAGCTTGAGTCCTTGGAAAAATAGGAAGACATAATGGGAAATGAATTGGTTTCTTTGGTGATTTTGGATTTGAACATTGCAGTTAATGGCCAAACTGAAATTTGGAGGATGATGTCTGCACGCATATCCTTAAGAGATATTTTGCTTGGCTTGATTTTGGATTTGAAATTTGGAGTGCCTGTCGAAAAGTAAGCATGTGTCTGACGACACTAATTGATAATCATTTTTTCAAAGATTGTATAATATTTTAACACAAAATCAATAAAGCAGGATAATTATTGATTCGATGGTCTCCCACTGTAGGCATGTGAATAAGCATGTTTGAAGTTTCAGGATAGAGGAGAGCTTAGCCTCAAGCTGGATTTGTTGGGGGAACCAACAGAGCCGAGTGATTTAGCATAGTATCATGATTATTTAATTGGTGGAGGTCATCACATGCTATTTCACATGGTAGGCTATGCTTAGGCACAAGTAAACCAGACTACTTCATACAATTTTACCATGTAGAAACACAATGAGCAACGCCTGGTGAGTGATTTTAGAATATTCGTCTGGTGTTGACAAAGCCCATGCTATGGCCACTTTATTGCGCATGCGATGGCATCACTCTTTAGTCTTTTGATAGCCTTGTCTGATGAAGCCTCAGCATTATCAATAAAAGCGTGCTTGTCAGTTTTGGGCGGTCTATGCTTAAGATTGGTGAAACCATTCGAGAGATTTGGGGCTGAGAGAATTGAGCCAGTGTTCCATCTTCCTCTCTTACAGCGTTTGCACTAGTTTTATGACATAGTATCAACAATGTACTTCTATGAAGAGCCTCTACTTGGTTTTCGCGAATTTATTTTTAATGAATTGTTTGGGTTAAAAAAAAAAAATCCAGGCTGGGCTTGTTTTGGGTTTTTTTTTAGTTTTTTTGTGTTAGGTTTTTTTTAAGTTAATCAGTGGCAATCGTGTAATTTATAGGAACTTCAACACTCATTTCCTACGTAGTAAATGGGTTTTGTGTGTGTGTGTATTCTATTAAGTGTGGAGGGGGGAGGGGGGGGAGTTTTTTTTATTTTAAATAATTTCAGCCTCTATTTTGGATATAATAGTGAAGCTCCCATTTCACTTACACCCTCTAAAGCTAACTCCACTTAGGACACTCTTTCTCTCTCTTATTTTCTTTATCTTTTCTCCTCGTCTTCTTTCTGTCTCTATGACATGTGTCCTCCTTTTTTTAATTGTCAGTTTTTTTTTTCACTTTTATTACAATGGCAACCATCACGACTACAAAAATCGCATTAGACGACAGGAATCACCTTCGTGTAGACGATTTTTAAACCGTCTTGAAATCGACCGCCATCTTTTGATGCATAAAACCACGACGGTAAATTACCGACGTTGTTACAACATACTACGTCATCTCCAAATAAAAGTCGACGTCTAATTAATATAAAAAACAGCAAAAAAAGGTCAACTTCAATAAACTTAGACGACGCTTTTAGAAACTTCGCGTCGTCTAAAGGAGATAACATGACACAATTTATCCACGTCTTGCCGTAACATAGAGTAACCACGACAAAAAATATTAACTTACCGTCATGTAGAATCCCCATCACAACGGTACTTTAAAATAAATATACCAACCAAAAGCAATGCGAAGTTCTCATGCGATCATATTTATTACTTCATACATGCAGTAAAATACAAGTTCGGTTTAGTGGTCCCCTACCTGGAGTCCAATGCTGATGCTTGGTCCCACACTTTACTTGCAAAAACTGGTTCACACCAGGTCATGTACATGTTTAGCTAACTCAAGCTCCTAATCGTACCACAAGCAATGTGTGTTAAACCAAGTCGAAAATATGCTCTTAACGTGCTGGGGTTAGAATATCACTGTGGACCTTGTCATAAGTATCTACAAGGCTAGAAAAACAAATCACACATGATCTGCCATAACAGTAGCCTGAAACGTCTTCATATCATCAGCACACTTCATCTGAAAGGGACAAAACGATCCCTTTACTTGAGACGGGTAGCATGACACCTCAGTTCATAGAGTTAAGATATGTCAGAGCCATCATAAAACAATTGATTAACAGCTTCCCAAATGAAGAAGGTAGTAGGTAGAGTATGAAACATATTCAACAAACTGGGTTCCATAGTTTGCAACATCCAACTTTTCACAATAGCATCAGTAATTTTCCATTTCCCAAATTGTGCGTCTTGGGAATCTGGGGCTTCATTATCGTCAGCCAGGTAACCTAATATGCCTTGTGTAGTAGCATGGAGTTCGATCATCGAAGGCCATATCTCGTAGTTTGATTCATTCGATTTGAATCCCATGGGTAGATGGGTGGACGATTCAGTGTGGACCGTCACAACAGGAGTAGGAGTAGTAATAAGGGAAATAGAACCAGCAGCAGATGAAGAAATAAGGTCATCAATATTTGGCTTGGTGATGGATGGCGGGATGGCGGCAGTAGCGAAGTAGGCGATGGGGACGGTTGTGAAGGGCAGGATTATAGGCTAGGTGTACAGTGCCGCGGAAATAGGTAGTGTTTAGGGTTAGGGTTTTTAATGTTGTGGAGACGGATTGCAACCCGCTCTATTACCCCCTACGGCTGCCCATGTCATCCAACCACATTCGGAGGCCCCACAACCTCTCCAAATAGCTGCTGTAGCAACCAGACAACCACTAAACAGTTTGGACAGCTCCTTGCAGCCGCAAATCACCTCCGTCAACCACCAAATAGCGGCTGGAATTGCCGTACCACTCACAGCCGCACCAAGCCATGGCCCTGTGGCCTCTTCCACCTTGCCACCGCAAGGACTGAGTGACGGTGCCATTTTGGAACAAATCCGAACGTTTCTTCCTCTGCAACCACACTTGATGTATGCACCTGTGTGCGCATCTAATGGAGCCCTAGCCCATATGCCATTGGGCCTGATCCACACCTCTCTACCCGACCAGCACGTTGATCAACTCGCGTGAAGGGTCAACGACCAAAACAATCTAATTGGCCAATTATGCAGGCAAATCAACTGGAATCAATGCCCTGACTTTGGAGCCCATGACGAGGAGAGAAGGATCTGTGAGCATATCGACGAGCATTTTGAGGGATCCCAAACTAGCCAATCAGAGACAAACTGGCAGGAGAGAGAACGAGATCGTGCTGACGAGACGCAAACATCTGCAAGCCGTACTCTGAGCTGGTTGACGATCCATTCAAGACTGGGCTCATAGAGGGCACGAGTCCGTGAACAATTGCGTGACAAAAACGCAATGATCGACGCTCACCAACTTACTCGAGAACCAACTCGTGATGACAACTCATGGAGGAATCTTCGCAAGCTCAATCCACTCATCTGCCTCATAGGCAGGGCAACCAAGTAGGTCGACATTTGCAAGTCAACGAGGACGTCAACCATTCCAGCCCGAATTATGAAGGATACCAACGTGATCGACAAGCCATGCACTCTAAAGACGTCGAAAAGCTCGTAAATGACTGACTTCGAGGCTTAAAGATTGGCAAAGATTTTGAAGATGCTCTATACAGGGAGGTGGACCAAGTAAACTCTACGCCTTTCATCGCCGAAATCGAGCAGACTGCTCGGCTAAAGCGATTCTCAACGCCTTCGTTCACGCATTTCAAAGGGGATTTCGATCTCGAAAGCCATCTAAAACATTTCAAAAGTGCCATGATCCTCTACAAAGCCGATGACGGGCTAATGTGCAAGGTGTTTGCAATGACCTTGCCAAGAGCAGCCCAAGACTGGTTCCACACTCTACCATCCGGATCGATAAGCAGCTTCAAGGAGTTAGCTTACGTCTTCATCAAGGAATACACTTCTTACCAGACGATTAAGAAGAATCCTAACCACTTGTTCAACCTGCGCAATAAGTTCGATGAATCCCTTCGAGATTGAATCAAGAGATTAAAAGCGGAAAAGGCTAACATTGTGGGGTGCGATGACCAAATCGCGTCCTCTACTTTAAGAAAGGTCTTCCAGTTGAGCACAACTTATATCGCGAGCTGACTATCACTCCCAACCAGACTCTAGCAGAGGTCTTCGCGACTACGGAACGTTACGCGCTATAGGATGATAATCGAATCACCGCGAAGAAGTCTGCCAAGTAGAAAGATCAGCCAACCAAGCAAACGATCCACTCTCATTGACACGTCTCCGGACGTAGGACAAACGGGTCATAATCATCGACACGTCCCTGAATGTAGGCCAAACAAGTCACACTCATCGACATATCTCCGGATATAGGCCAAACGAGCCACACTTATCAACACATCTCTAGACGTTGGCCAAACGAGCCACACTCATCTACACGTCTCCGGACGTTAGCCAAATAGTCTACTCTCATTGACACATCTCCAAACGTAGGCCAAACAGGCGACACTCGCCAACATATCTTTGGACATAGGCCAAACGGGCCACTCTCATCGATACGTCTCCGGACGTAGGCCAAATGGGCCACACTCATCGTGCCACTCTTATCGACATGTCTCCGGACGTAGGCCAGAGGTTCGCACTCATCGACATGTCTCCGGAAGTAAGCCAAACGGGCCACACTCATCGACATGTCTCCGGATGTAGGTCAAACTGGCCACTCTCATCGACACGTCTCCGGACATAGGCCAAATATGCAGCAACATGAGGAAAAACATCCTACGAGATATGTAGAACATACTTGGAGTCGACAGGAGATCCCTGATCTATAGCTTCTTTGGCATCCTCCTGATTAGCCACGCTCTCAGCAGCTCCACCTACCTGATCAACAACATATGCTGACATCTTATCAACTGCGTCCTCCTCTGGTCAACCCTCTTCAGTTACCACCTCTTCAGCTGCTTGCTCTTCAGCTCCTTCCATGTTCGCAGCATTGACCTGCTTACTTTGAACAGGGAGCAAGTTAGGGCAGAGCTCCTCGATGTCTTCATCTCTAATGGCGTAGAAGGGAGCATACCCATTTTTGCAATCCAAATAGCCCAGCTTGTACACATCCATGGTAGCTTCGAACTTGGATTCTTCAGCAGACTTGTGATTAACACAAAATCTAGCTAGGAGCTTGTCATTGCTAAGAGAGATGTCAGCATTCTTGCGCTCAAGATGAAAGTATACCCTTTTTTTACTAACCAAGTTAGCAGCAGAAGAAGGGGCAACAACAGACGAGTTTCGGATAGTTTTAGCAACAAAAGCTACTCCTTTTTGAAGCAGATGAAATGTTGCTTCCCTTTATCTTTCCAAGGAAATACTTGAGAAAGTACCAAGATCACCAGCCTGACGGATTTGATCAACTAGCTCAGCACAAGTGGATGAACTTGATAGAAAGTTCGTCTTAGGCAGATCAGACACACCTACATCTCCTTCAGGGCTAAACTTGTCCATCTTGGGATCAGCCGCTGACATTGCAGAAGAGCTCTTCGCTCGGGCAGATGACTTTCTCGTCTTCTTAGCCGCCGCCATCCTCACTTCCAATGAAGTCAATGACACTGGATCAACTTCACGCTTGACTGCTCGTGACTCAACAACTAGACCCTAATGGTTGGGCGGATGAGCAGACCTCCAATTTCGATCTCATTCCTTTCACTATTGCAGACAACACAAACCACGAAAAGGAATATCAACATCTCTTTGCCTCTCAACAGGTGAACCAGTTCGTGAGTGAACCATTTCATAGAGCAGATTATAGTCTCCAAGCTTATCTGTATGAGGCTTGAGTGGACCATCCCGCATATTGCCCCTATCGCCAATCTTCTGGCTATCTACACTAACAAGATGTTTAACCTTAGTGATGATGGGGAACAACTCCTACTTGAGTCTTCTCAGCAGAAGGAATCCTTGGCTTCTTCCTCTGCGAAGACACATCCTTTGCCCTCGAAGTCGTAGCTTCATTTCTTGAAGACTTGACATCAGCCTTCCTTTTTGAAGGGTGTCCGGCAAAACACGCCTCCTGCCCAGCCGTCAGGTCATTCGAGTATGGACCATTCTACTTCCATCTCTCAACATCTTGGGCAAGGGGCAGACCACTAACTTCGTCCGGATACTCACTCAGCAGCCACTAGTAGCCATCGCTGCTCCGACCGTCCTCGACTGCCAGTCATGAGGACAACCAGCCCGGTCCCACCCAGCTAGCCCTTATTGCGAAAAAGAGAAGACGAAGAAAAAATATACCTACTTGACTTACCTTGGGATGCACGACAACTCCTCTCTTCAATAAGCAGTACAAATTCTCCAAGATCTCTCTCAGGCTAGGCACTAGAGAAGTTAAGTTTGCGATGTGAAGAAGGGCAAAGAGAAGCCCTACATTTATACAGGTTGGGCATCCTAGATCAAGAAAGAAGCACAAGCCCATTCATACTTCTTTGTGCCTAATAAATCACGGTCATAAACTGACTGAAGGGACTTCCTCTTGGCCCTAGCACCTACTTATGAACTGAAACGGCCACGTTTCGTTAGGCATTTTGCCTTCCTAAAAACAAAAAAAAGCTGCAAAGGCAGAATCCTCTCGGCCTCGCGACCGTGGTATTATAGGTCGAGGCCGAAGGCCTTAAAAGACACGGCCGAAGATACTGTGGTCAAATCACCACGTGGCCTCAAGGTCCCACGCCCCATTTAATGAAGTAATGCCTCTGACATCACAGCAAACCCACTAGTCGCAAGAAGCATTTAATGCATGAGGGAAAAGGGGAAGTGACTGAAGTCAGGATTTGGTGATGGAAATCAGAGTGGTTAGGCGCAAACATTCTCACAAGTGTGCTTACAACTTGAGGTCAGATCACCAACCACCAGACCAGGGCATTAAATGCGTTCCCACGGCCAAGGGGGCAGAACCCACGATCAGGGCGGTGGCCGAGGTTTACCGGGATTTATGGGGGTCACACCACTATGCTTCACAATCCTAAATGCCCATTTGACTACCCACTTGCCCCGATCAGGCTCCACCACACAGATATTTTCATCTTTGATTGTCCCTCCAGGACTCCCCCTATAAATACTAAGTTCAATACCACATTCAATCAAACATCAAACCAAAAGCCTCCCACGGAGCAAATTATATTTTCCTGTAATGCACTTTCAATACCTTTATTTGCTTTCCTAGGAGTAGTGGTAGATTGTAAGGAAAATTCATTCATCAATATATCATACGACCTTTGATTTTCAAGGCGTCGAAGCACCATCGTTGTTATCATCTCATTCACCCCATATATCATACGACCGTCGCTCTCTGAGCAACGCGTCGGAGCACCGCCTAAAACCTGCCACCAACACCACCACTAAACGGCTTTGTAGCTCAGACCGTGAACCTGACGGCCGAGATCAGTTCCTCTCTCGGCCATAATCATTTGATCAGGAGTCGAACTCAAAACAGGCGCATCACTTAACCATCTTCTACCCAAACCCCATCACCATTTCGACGCGCGGTAGACTGTGCTGGCACGCCCGCGCACAACCGCACCGCATCCAAAAGAAGGATGTCACGTGTTAACGCACATCCCCTCGGCCTGGAGCACCAGGCCGTGAGATTTGCGCAGCCAACACTACTGGGAACCCAACTCCAAGAAAAGTCAAAAGCCCATTCCAAATGGGTGTTCAGAAAATTAGCAAGTCAAAAACCTCCTCTGAGCAAGAGCCCATTCCAAATGGGTGTTCAGAAAATTAGCAAGTCAAAAACCTCATCCGAGCAAGAGCCCAAATCCAAGAAGGAAGCCCAGTTACAGCTGGATAGCCCAACAAGCAATCCACATCTCCTACATGCCACCACGCACCATGCAGAAGTTGGGGGGGCATTTATGGGAACCGAATTTTAGCCAAACCCTAGGTCAAATATTTACTTCCATTCACTACTACATTTTAAGATTTGCACGATGAAGAGAATTTAGTCGCGCAAAGTTACTTTTAGTTGCACAAATTAATGCTCGACAGAAAATTCGTCGTGCACAATCCGTCACGCAAAGAGCGTGAAGAAAGACTTTCGTTGCACAAAAGGTTTAGGGACGACACAACTGTTCGTCGCACAAACCTTTTCATCGCACCAACACTGCGCAACTGATAATATTCGTTGCACGATTCGTGTCGCAACCATTTGCGCCACGATGATATTGCCCGACGAAATAGTCGTTGTTGCGCATATCCTTTTCGCGCGACAAAAGACTTCGTCGCGCAAGAATAAATTATATGTATTTAAAATGTTATTTTATCTTTTTATTTTGTAAAATGTGAATTTGCACGACGAGAAACGTTTCGTCGCGCAAAATTAATATATATTATTTAAATTTAATATTACTTGTTTTTTTTTTTGGTTAAAAAATAAATTTGGTTTATTTATTTTTTTTGGTAATAAAATGAAATTGCAATAAAAAAATGAATTGTAAAGAATACATTTATTATATAAAATAAAATAAATGTATACTAATAGAGAAATATTTAAAAAATAATTATGAACATAAAAAACTAAAAAAATAATGTTCCAAAATCTACATTGTCGTCTGGCACATGCGGCTCGGAGGTCTAGGGGTCTACAGGGGTCGTGGTTTGGTAGGGATGCTCGTGGTGGACAGGCACGGAGGTCGACGCATCAAAATGCGGGACTGGAATGCCGGACCGTGCGAGAGACTGCAGAATCACCGACATCTAACTCTGAAGAGTGGCCACTTGTGCTGTCAAAGCAGTCACCTGACTGTTTAACTGCGCTGATGAACGAGGTATGGGGTCCCTCCGCCGGGCATTCCCTATCCCTCGACAATATGTCCCCGGCCTCCTCCCGAGAGTCTGATCCAACGTCTCTGTCAAGATCTGCAGCCCAGCATCCTGTGGAGGATCCACAGACTCGATCAGAGTATCGGGAGGAAGTTGGGAGGCGGACTCCTGAAGAACCAACTGGCTTCTCTCCACCATCGTCATCTGTTTAACATAACATAAAATATAAATTAAAACATTCATATAATAACCTTTAAACTTGAATGCGTAACATAAGAATTAAAATTAAATAATACTTACATGAAGGGACTCGGCCAACTCATTCCCAGGTCGAACATAAACGTCGCCAAAGACGTCGATCTCTAGGAATTTAGACCCCCCCTAAATCGAACAAGAGAAGAAAAATATTAGTACAAAAAAACTAAATTAAGAATAAGGATATATTAAAAATTATTTTATTATTACCCGCCGCCGTGCATCCATCCTATATGAGAAGGGCTTGGAGCCTGAATAGTGGAGAAGAGTCTTCTTCTTCGTATTGCCCTTATTGACTTTGGCTTTATTCTGTTATACAAAAAATAAAACGTATTAGTTGAAATTGAAATGAAATATAAAAAATTAAATAAACATTAGTAAGAAATATATAATAAATTTGAAATTCATATTACAAATTACAACAGAATCGGGCGCCTGAAAATGAGCGTAAAGCCACGCCTAACTATAAAATACACACACACACACACAAAACTTGTGTTGAAGGAAATCTATACTGACTGTGACCCCGGCCCCGCGCATCAGTCGATGTTGTTGTCGGTGGTGTTGGGGGGCCGATGATGCCGCCTGGTGCTAACAGGCTGCGCCACTAATGAAGTCGATGAAGCAGGCGCCTGGGACCCCACGGGACCAACTGCCAAGTGGTCCATCGGTGCTGGCACAGTGGCAGCAGATGCTGGCTGAGCCGGGGGCTCCAAACTCTGTGCAGTCGTCACCGCCCTACGACGTCTAATCAGGTCTGACATCTACACCATTTCATTATACACATACAAATTAATAAAATATACGAATATTTGTAAGCACATAAAATTTTATGAAGATTGTTAACAGCGCGTGGGTGTCCAAAGCGATAACAATTGCTGAAAATTTCTAAAAACTAAGGGCCAAGGTTCCTACCCTAGGTTGAAAACATCAATTGGAGCCACTATGTTCTCGGACCTACCTCGAAAAGTGGCCGAAATTTAAATTCAAAAATCGCCCGAAACTTACGGTTTAAAATCGATTGCCCTATTGCGACAATTAATGAAATCCTACCCAACGATAAGCTAAAGCAGAAAAAATTGTCCAGAAATCATACCTCAAGTGTCGGATTTAGGGGCCGGAGGAGAGAGAACGAAACTGGCGAAGATTTGGTGAAAATCGAGCAAATTCCGGCGGCATGCTCGATGGTGACGGTTGGGAAGCTCCGGGGTTCGAAGGTTGTGGCGGCCCGGTCTAAATTCCGGCAGAGTAGTGGGCTGAGGTGACGGCAGAGAGAGATAGAGAGAGTTAGGGCAAAAAAATCTGAAACTGGGGAAGAATGAGGCGGTCGCATCGTTTCTAAAACTTTATTCGATCTTGCGTGACGAATATGAACTAATTCCGTCGCACAATGTTGTGAGTCTGCCAAAATTTGGAATTAGGGTTTAGGGTTTGTGCGATTTTGCGCGACGAAGATGGAACAACGTCGCACAAGGTTCTCTATTAATTACTTTGTGCAACGCAAAGTCTGGTCTTTCGTCGCGCAAGGTTGTCATTCCACCAAAATTTTGGGATTTAGGGTTTAGCGGGAGAGAGAGAAAGTGAAGGGTCTATTGTTCACTTTGCGCGACGCAAATAACGTATTCGTCGCGCAATCCATCGCGCAAGGTTGTGATTCCGCCAAAATTTGGGGTTTAGGGTTTGTAGGAGGAGAGAGAGAAAGTGAAAGGTCTGCCAATATTGCGCGACGAACATATACAGTGGTCCGCAAAGGTATGTTCTGTATACTTTGCGCAACGAAATAAGTACTATTTCGTCGCGAAAACCCTAAACTAGTTTCAATGATCCAACCAGCAAACTTGTTTTTTTATACTTTGACATCGTATACGCTGAAAATCGGAAAAAACAAACATTCAGAGATCAAGAAGCGGGACAAAACTTTTCGACGGTTATAAATGAAAAGTCACGATTTAACGGTTATTTTAACTCCGATTTTGATGATTTTTTACAGCTTCATTTCTTGACCCTATATGAATACAATGACTGAATTTGATCTTCAATTTAAGATATTTACACTAGTGGATACCACATAATCTTATTGTTGGTGAATATATTGTTTTGATGGCATACGCATTCTACGAAACTAGTTTCAGTAATCCAACTGTCAAACTTGTTTGTTTATACTTCGAGATCATAGACCCCAAAATTGGAAGAAAAAAAAACATTTAGAGATCAAATAACGGGACAAAACTTTTTGACGGTTATAAATGAAAAGTCATGATTTAACGGTTATTTGAACTCCGATTTTGATGATTTTTTACAGCTATACTCCTTGACCCTATATGAATACAATGAACTAATTCGATCGTCAATTTAAAAATATATTTTCTAACAAAAACCCAATCCAAACAACAATAACATATTTTTCAAACAAAGATTTTAAAAAATAAATTTTTTTATTTTATTTATTTTTATAAGGACTTTGCGCGATGAAGTTTATTGTTTCGTCGAGCAAAGCTACTTTGCGCGACGAATTGTTTTTCGTCGCGCAAAGTCTCTTTGCACGACGAATTTTTCGTCGTCGCGCAAAATTTGGTCGCCCAAGACTTTGGGCAACGACGTATTGTCGTCGCGCAAAGTCACTTTGAGCGACGAATAATTTTTCGTCGCGCAAAATTTGGTCGCGCAAGGGTTATTTTGTAGTAGTGTTTATTTTTCCGTGCATTAGCTCCACAATGGCCGTGAGAACGAAAAAGCTCTCGCACCCCGGGTATAACTCTTGGTTGGCATTTTTTAACAGTTTTTCATATTGTTCAAACTCCGCATTGTCTATTCGTGTAGGCACGTCATCTTCCCCTTCCTGATTAATGTTGGTTGATACAAATGGAAAAGCATTCTGTATAATATCCATGACTTGATCATTAGGATCACAATAGGTTCAACATTGTCCACTCTTGTGGCATTTGAAGATGAAGCATGGTCTAATTGTTCCCCGTGAAGGTTCCAAATGCTATATGTCTCAATCATTCCATTTCTTACTAAATGAAATCCAACTTTTTCAATTGTCTCCCACAACCACTACTACAAAAAGTGACAAAGACGACTAGAAAAAAACGACGGTCTAAGTGAAAACCGTTGTCGTTTTTTAAAAGACAACGGTTCTATAAAACCGCCGTGTAATAACACCTTAGACACCTAAAAAATGGAGATTCAAATGGTTGTTCATAAACAACGACGTACCTAATTAAAAAACCGACGTCTATTTGAAACAGGATTTCCGCAGTGTAAAATCAAAGCAAATAAAGAACGGCAGAAGTTATGAATCGACCGACGTAGAAAGTAAAGACGACGATTTCAAAAAAAGCCGCCGTTTTTACGCAGAAAATAACACGACCAAGTTTTCGTATAAGGCGCCATATAATTACAAATAAATCCACGGCGGTAAAATACAAAATATCGCCGTATTAAATTAATGTACAACGACGGAAAATAAAAATATATGACATCTTTCTTGTATAGTTCTACAACGGTATCTTTAAATCTCACCACGTTTGTTTTTCATTTAACGACGTATTATAAAATTTAACGTCGTATTTATTCCCTTTATACGTCATACCTTATATTTAAACCGTCGTCTTAATACGAATTTTTTTTATCAATTTATTTCTTTGATTTTGTTATCATACGTCATACTATATGTAAAGATGACGCTTTTTATATATAAAAAAAACGTCGTCTATTATATGTAAAGATGACGATTTTTATAAAAACCGTCATCTATTATGTGTAAAGATGATGATTTTTATAAAAACCGTCGTCTATTATATGTAAAGATGGCGATTTTATAAAACCGTCGTCTATTATATGTAAAGACGACGATTTTTATTAAAAACCGTCGTCTATTATATGTAAAGATGACGATTTTTTTAAAAACCGTCGTCTATTATGTGTAAAGATGATGATTTTATAAAACCGTCGTCTATTATGTGTAAAGATGACGCTTTTTATAAAAACCGAAAAAACCGTCGTCTATTATATGTAAAAATGACGCTTTTTATAAAAAAACCGTCGTCTATTATATGTAAAGACGACGATTTTTATTAAAAACCGTCGTCTATTATATGTAAAGATGACGATTTTTATAAAAACTGTCGTCTATTATGTGTAAAGATGATGATTTTTTTTAAAAACCGTCGTCTATTATGTGTAAAGATGATGATTTTATAAAACCGTCATCCATTATGTGTAAAGATGACGCTTTTTATAAAAACCGAAAAAACCGTCGTCTATTATATGTAAAATGACGCTTTTTATAAAAAAACCGTCGTCTATTATGTAAAGATGACGATTTTTATAAAAACCGTCGTCTATTATGTGTAAAGATGACGCTTTTTATAAAAAACCGTCGTCTATTATATGTAAAGATGACGCTTTTTATAAAAACCGTCGTCTATTATATGTAAAAATGACGATTTTTTTTTAAAAAAAGGGTCGTCTATTATATATAAAGATGACGCTTTTTATAAAAAATGGTCGTCTATTATATGTAAAGATGATGGTTTGTTATAATAACCGTTAAATCATGATTTTTCATTTATAACCGTCGAAATTTTTTATCCCGTTACTTTATCTCTGAATGTTTATTTTTTTCGATTTTTGGTGTAGATGATCTCGAAGTATAAACAAACAAGTTTGACGGTTGGATCGTTGAAACTAGTTTCTTAGAATGCGTATGCCATCAAAACAATATATTCACTAACAATGAAGAGTTTATTTATAATTTCCTAAAATATGACATAAGATTTTGTGGTATCCACTAGTGTAATAATTTTAAATTGAAGATCAAATTCAATCATTGTATTCATATTGGGTCAAGGAGTGTAGCGGTAAAAAATCATCAAAATCGGAGTTAAAATAACCGTTAAATCATGATTTTTCATTTATAACCGTCGAAATTTTTTGTCTCGTTACTTGTTCTCGGAATGTTTATTTTTTTCAATTTTTGGCGTATATGATCTCGAAGTATAAACAAACACATTTGATGGTTGGATCATTGAAACTAGTTTCTTAGAAAGCGTATGCCATCAAAACAATATATTCACTAACAATTAAGAGTTTATTTATACTTTCTTTAAATATGACATAAGATTTTGTGGTATCCACTAGTGTAAATATTTTAAATTGAAGATCAAATTCAATCATTGTATTCATATTGGGTCAAGGAGTGTAGCGGTAAAAAATCATCAAAATCGGAGTTAAAATAACCGTTAAATCATGATTTTTCATTTATAACCGTCGAAATTTTTTGTCCCGTTACTTATCTCTGAATGTTTATTTTTTTCGATTTTTGGTGTAGATGATCTCGAAGTATAAACAAACAAGTTTGACGGTTGGATCGTTGAAACTAGTTTCTTAAAATGCGTATGCCATAAAAAAAAATATTCACTAACAATTAAGAGTTTATTTATACTTTCGTTAAATATAACATAAGATTTTGTGGTATCCACTAGTGTAAATATTTTAAATTGAAGATCAAATTCAGTCATTGTATTCATATAGGGTCAAGGAGTGTAGTGGAAAAAAACGTCTATTGTATGTAAAGATGACGCTTTTTATAAAAACCGTCGTTTATTGTACGTAAAGATGACGCTTTTTATAAAAACCGTCGTCTATTGTACGTAAAGATGACGCTTTTTATAAAAAACCGTCGTCTATTGTATGTAAAGATGACGCTTTTTATAAAAACCGTCGTCTATTATATGTAAAGATGACGCTTTTTATAAAAAAAACCGTCGTATATTATATGTAAAGATGACAAATTTTTTTTTAAAAAAAAGCGTCGTCTTTTAAAACACGCTAAAAAATGGCCGCTTAAGTGAATTCGCGCTCGATAAATTTTCAAATTTTCACCCGTCTTTGAAAATCTTATCTCTCATTAACAAGCGTCGTCTTTTAAAACACGCTAAAAAAAGTCTACTTAAGTGAATTCGCGCTTGTCAAATTTTCAGATTTTCCCCCGTCTCTGAAAACCTTATCTCTCCCTCCTTGAAACCCTCCTGCACTCTCTAAAACACCCTCATGAAACTCTCTACAAAATCATCAAAAGATCGATATCAATGAAGGAGTTGAGAGATTGAGGTCTTAGCAAATCCATAAGATGTAGAGGGATGTTCTGTATTTGAGAATCAAAGCTGGTTGAAAGGTTTGATTTGAAAGTCACCTAATCTCTTAATACCCTTCTATATCTTGCTAGTGAATTCTGGATTAGTTTCTTTGCGTTTTTGGTATGTTCTTTGTATCCCTAATTTCAGATTTTGTCTCTCTTGATTTGTCTGATTTGTTTTACATATTTTTTTATTTATTTCTGGTTTCTTTTTAGATTTTCTGATTTGGTTATCAGGAGATGAGGAGGAAGCTTGCAGATTTATAACTTTTTCTTTTGCAGGTTTTCTATGTGAGTCGTATGTTTTTTTGTTGTTGAAAATTTGCAGGTTCTCGATGGTCTTTTTTATGCTCATTTTACAAGTTTTCTATGGAAATATGGACCAATGGTAAAATTTCTCTTCCACCTAATTTTTTATGTTTATAATCTTAGCTTCTTTTTTTTTTCTCTCTTTGTCATTTTGATTTATTTACAGGGATGATGGAGGAGACTTCAGTTGTGCATCATTTGTATGTTTGGATGAGGAATGCTTGGATTAGGAGTACGTAGGTCTTGTTAGGAATTATGTTTGTTGTAGAATAAAGATTGGTTAACTATGTAATAACTATTGAATCTTCAAGTTTTATGAAAGAAACTATTTTTGATAAAGCATTATGGTTGGTTTTCTAGTTAAAATCGTTGTATAGCATCATAGGAAATCAAAAAGCATTATTGTACGTAAAGATGACGCTTTTTTATAAAAACCGTCGTCTATTGTATGTAAAGAGGACGCTTTTTATAAAAACCGTCGTCTATTGTATGTAAAGATGACGCTTTTTATAAAACCGTCGTCTATTATACGTAAAGATGACGCTTTTGATAAAAAAACCGTCGTCTATTGTACGTAAAGATGACGCTTTTTATAAAAAAAACCGTCGTCTATTGTACGTAAAGATGACGCTTTTTATAAAAAACCGTCGTTTATTGTATGTAAAGATGACGCTTTTTATAAAAAAAAGGTCGTGTATTGTATGTAAAGATGACGTCTTTATAAACAATCCACGACGGTTTTCATAAAAAAATCGTCATCTTTACATACAATACACGACAATTTAAAACAGTCGTCTTTCCTCCTATAATTAACGATCTTTACCTCTAAACAACGACGATTTTCTTTAAAAACCGTCCTCTTTACTGATAAACAACGACGGTGAAAAGCCGTCGTAGTTTGAAACTCAAATAGACGGCAATCGATTTCACGACCGGGCGAAAACCTTTTACATGATGGTGGTTTCTCGTCGTCTATTTCGATTTTTGTAGTAGTGAACGTGTTGTTACACCTCCTGCAAGGACAACGGATTCTAGTTGCACCCGGATTGTGTGTACGTGCAAACTCAATAAAATCCTCGATTCCATCCAAGTATTCATCTGCGCATCTATTCGGGTTCTGTATCCATCTCCTGCTCATAATTCCTGGAACCACAATCACAACACAACAATTACAACAACTTCATATGAAGTCATAGTGTCACCTTATGCCTTCGGGAATGCATAGTCATGTCACGTAATACACAACTACATGAGATTAGATTTCGACGTGGATGAATTTCGGCAGCATCTCGATACAGTTCTTGAGGTGTACCGTAGGTATAAATACCTACGTCCCACCCAAAGAACGTACAGAGATAACACCGAAATCTCCACAATCGAAACCTAATCCTGTAGCCTACATTACGGGACATAATAATGGGACAATTCATGAATTAATTGGACCGCAATCATGCTTTACACATCCACGCACGAAATCCAACTAATCTCGAACGGGAAACTAAGTGTTACTAAACACAAAAAATAAAAGTACGAAGTTAATTTCAATTAACTTTGTACATCACAACACATTGTGCTACGACACGCACAATTTAACAACAGAATATAAATATAACTTCACAAAAAAAATATAAACATAACAAACGAACTTTAACATAACGTAATTAATTTAACATTTTTAATATATAAAACGAATAAAATACCTTCTCAATCGTTCTCCACCAATCGCTAATTACAAATATCCCTAACGAGAACGAAATTAATAGCGTTAGTACGAATTTACATTATTACTTTTAAACTAACGACAAAAAATACTTACCCAACGAACGTACTGAATTCCCAGCAGAGGAGGCAGCAGAGAGGTTGAGAGAGAAGGAGAATGCTATTTTTTTTTTTGCATTCTGCCTCTGCAATGACAGAATTCTAATATGAAGAAGAAGGACTTTGCGCGACGAACGCTTGATTTTGTCATGCAAACTGCCGTCGAGAAAAACCAATTTTTCGTCGAACAAAATAACTTTTTCGTCGTGCAATCACATGTCGACATCACACTTTTGCGCGACGCATGATTTGGTTCGTCGCACAAACTTTCGTCGCCCAAATTCTAATTGTCGTCGCGCAAAAATAATAATTTCTGTCGTGCAAAATCAATCTTTCGTCGCGCAAGAATGTACCGACATCAAACTTTACGCGATGAACAATTTTCCGACAAAACAAAAAAAAAAAAAAAAAAAAAAAACACGCACGCAAGTATTTGGAGCCCAAACAAAAAAAAAAAAAAAAAAAAAAAACTTGTTTTCTTACGTGACGATAAATCATGTCGTCGCACTAAGTTGCCTTTTGCGACAAAAACTGTCGTCGCACAAGTTTTTACCGCCAAATGATAGAACTCACCGTTTTTTGTCCACCTTTATGCGACGAAGTGTCCAACCGTCGAGCTAGGTTCTCTTACGCGACGTCGCGCAAGTGTTTGGAGCCAAAAAAAAACCCGGGTTTTTCTTCCTCACTTTGTGCGACGAAGGAATTTTCTGTCACGCTAAGACATTTTGCGTGACGAACAATTTGGTCGCACCAGTTTTCAGTGGTTCGCGAGACAAATATTTTTTTCCGTCGCTATAGTGCATTTTGCGCGACAAATTCATGTTCGTCGCGCAAAATGTCGTCGCGGAAATAGTAAAACGTAGTAGTGATTTGGGAATTATTTGGCCTAATTGGCAGTTATTTGTTTCAATTGGCAATTATTAGATTCTTATCCTAATTAGGGATTTGATTTAAATGAAATCCCTAATTACGTCAATCTCTCCGAATTGGGGAGAATAATTTCTTTCCATACGTGGAAGTATTCTTTCGAAACCCTAGCCTCCGAGGCTCCTATAAATACATGGCTACACCAAGGCTTGAGGTAATTCTAAACCTACATCTAAATTCCTCTCTAAAACTCTGCAGAAATTATCTTTCACAAGCCGCCATACTCTTTTTTTCTCTCATACAAGGCTCCGGCCACCACACACGACTCCGGGCTCCCGGTTCACACCATACACACAACTCCGTACCCTTTCCATTAGCTATTGTTTTCCTACAAACACTTGAACTAACTTTGGCTTCGGAGGGCCTTTGGCCAACACCCCCTGGGTGTGATCCTCTTATTCTGATTTATTTTACAAGGAGAAAGAGACGACGAAAGGGAAGACGGAATCTTAGACGAATATTCCCGTGGGACAAAAATCGCTCCCACACATATGCCTCTGAATATTTTGGAGGTTTAATCCTCTCAATATGTGTAAATTATCATCAAATTATAACATTACAAGATTTATAATGTAATAAATTATTGGAAAATGGAAAGGAATAAATATATTTAGTGAAAATTATAATTATTTTGTCAGATCGTGTTCCTCTCTTTGCTTGGAACAGTTTCCTCCTGGAAACGTGGTGAATGCGAATGGAAAGATCATGTTGCAACTTGCACAATTATTAAAGATTCCCCATCTCCGGAGCCTCATTTTGCAAGACCAAGACTTTAAGATAATCTTCTAGTTCTGAGATCAAGTCAAGCATTTTTTACCATTGCTAGGGTACAGAGGTGTTACCATGGTGGCGCCTTTGACTTGTTCTTTTCGTAGCTCGATCTTTGTATGTAACGGGCAGAGCCCAAAACGAAGTCAAACAACCAAGAATCACAACATATTATCAGGGATATTGGGAGGGAAGCAAAAGCCTATCCAACAATTATATATCTTCACAAGAACAAATAAAATAGATATTGAACTTTCAGTTTTATTATAGGATGCCAAACACATACATGGCATGGACAATGTATACAAGCTTCTTAGAAGTTACAACATTACGAAAGTTATACATTAACACTTACACGCACCATCAAGAAGTTATGTCCATGATTTCACTTTCCTATCAAATATTTCTCTTCCAAGTAGAAGAATTTATGCCCTTGATTTCACATTCCTGTCAAATATTCCTCGTCCATAAGTAGAAATGTACATCTCAACTAGAAGAGGAAATTGCATCCAAATAAATAAGGTGACTGGAACACTAGCAACGAAAATCATTGGAATAACAATCCACGATTGTTCATGGATCATAATGAAAAGGGCAGAAGAAAAGGCAACCATCATGGTGGCAATAGAGATGAATAAGGTGGAAAGGCCTATTATCATCTTTGTTGGTAAGGATTTAAGGAAATCATCTTCCGCATATCGTGATGTAAGGATTCCCAAAAACATCAACACCGAAGTTGTGGAAGAAAAGAGGGATACAGCATCTGAAACTATAAAAGCCATAAACAACTTTTTATGCAGGAATATTGGGAAGCCTGTTTGTCCATTGTTTCCACCGGGAATTGTGAATGCTGCAGCAAACATGATGGTAATAATGAGAGCACCTACAACTGTACATGAAGATGCAGTTTCTTTCATCCATCTTTCTCCTTCCTTCGCCAATTGGTTGTGATTCTTGGTAAACATCTCACGTGGGATCTTATTCTCCATATTTAAAGATTCTTTAACCAAGGGTAATACAATATTCTCGACCTCCTACATGTTGTTGAACAAAAGATTCATATGAGTATAAGAGGTTATTATTCTAATTTTCCAACTAACCCTTGAATTTTTTAAATTTGATAAACCTAAACCATTAGAGAACAGAGAAGACTACCTTTATTACTATTTTATTTGTCATTCTACATTTTTTGTTTCCATAGGTTTTCGACTAGAAAATGCGCTCGATCCTCCTTTAAATTACATAAATTGAAACATTAGTTTTTAATATTGGAATGAATAAATTTAACAAAAAACGACTCATTTTAGCCTCAACAATTTATGTTAGAAACTAATTCCCACAATTTCCAAACAAAAAATAGTCTTTAGAATACATATATATTGGAAACTAATTAATAAGAGGGAGAAAAAATAAAAACTAACACTGAATTATATGTTCTGACCTTGAACCATTGTAGTTCTCTCTGCATTTTCAAAGCTGCACCTGAGATATTATCGAGCCTTGCTAATGGTGAAAGCGTCCCTGCCACATGTAACGCGCAATTGTTATCCCGATCTGCAATATTTCCAATCGTAGTTCTTTGTCTTTTACTGAGTTTATAATAAAAAGGTTATAAACTTTTTCTTGACGACATTCAATGGCAAACTGAAAGAGGTTCCTTCTCATTGGATTACACGCCCACACGAGATTTGGTCTTGCTTGCAATACACGGTCAATAAACTCAAACATTCCTAGCTCGGTAGCTCGGAAAACTGCTGGAATGAGAAAGTCATTGCCATCTGAATGTTTTGTCACTTCACACATATTATCTAGGAGTTCAAGGGCTTCAATATGGGCCAATTTCATTTCTCGTAGGCGTTTGATTCCTAAGTTGGCATTGGAAAAACATGTCATATGACTAATTCAAGAAAAAAAAATATAAAACTTTTAAAACAATTAATGGAGAACAAAGGAAATATGGAAACAATGTAGCATACCCAAAATTTCAAGGAGATTTGTGTTCAGACCTTGCAAGAAACCTAGCACTGCAATGGAAATTCAAAATCCAAACACATGATGGGGATAGTTGTAATTCTTGTTAGTGTTCAGATAGTAATAGAATCGTTATGATCAACTAGTGATTCAAAATGAACATTACCTATTCTTCACTATACTTAATGCAAGAAAACAAACAAATTGGGTGTAGTATTAGAAACTATAAGAACAGTTTGATAACATATGAAAAAATGATTTCCATTTTACTAGATAAAACCCAAGTCTTACATTTAAGTCGCAACATACCTGACCAAGCGATCTTTGTTCGATTATGTTCTTCATTTCCTTCATTTTGAACACTTACACGAATATCATTGATGGCGCAATCAATGTGTATACCTTTCAAAAAAATTACAGTAATTAACCTCAATCAATATATTTCGAATTACTATTTATATTACCATTATGGATGTCTCTTGTCATAATCTATTTGCATATATATGTTGTATATGCATGTCCCCTCATGGGGTTGAGATCTAATGTCCCCAAGTTTCATGTACCCTATATAGTATTTTGACAATTGTCCAAACACTTAACTGAACTTTAACTTTGTTAAGCTTATTATTTTTAAAGAGTGCTGCTATTTCCACTCACCTGTCCAAATACTCATCAATCTAAGGCCCGGTTCGGAATTGCTGTCACTTTCAAAAACAAGTTGCTTATGTTGTGCTCTCAAAATAATTAGCTGTAAAGTAAAGTAGCTCCATGTTTGGGAAACAATATTTTTAAAGTGCTGTTAGTACAAAAAGTGGTGTCAAAACCATTTGGTAAATTTTAATATAAAATTGTTGTAACTGTGAATAATGACAATAGACATGATGTTGAAAGTGTTATGTAGTAATCATGGGGTGGTAATGGTGGTGATAGAGTGGAGGTGGTGGTGAAATAGATGGAGATGAATGTGGTAGTGGGGATGAAGGTAGAGTTGGTGGTTGTGGTAGTGGTTGTGGTGGGGATGGCAGTTGTGGAGGTGGTGGTGGTGGTGGCGATGTCAGTGTGGTGGTGGCAGTGGTGGTAGTTGTGGAGGTGGTGATGGATGTGGAGGTTTTGGAGGAGGTGGTGGTTGTGGTGGTGGTAGTACTAATGGTGGTGGTGATGTGGAGGTTTTGGAGGAGGTGGTCGTGGCAGAGGATGTGGTAGTGGAGGTGGTGAATGTAGTGGTGGAGTTGGATGTGAAAGTGGAAGCGGTGTCATTTTTAAAAGAATGATGGTATTTTGGGAATTAAAAAAAAATCATTAAAGGTTCATCTGTGCTTCTTTTGAAAGCAGCTTTGAAAAGCAACTCAGAGCGTAATTTCAAAAGCTGTTGTCAAAAGGCAACTACTTTTAAAATAATCTAGATATTTTATTTTTACCAAATACCTTAAACTACTTAACTTTAAAGTAAAGCAGGTTTTTGGCCAAAAAAAGCAATCCCAAACTGGACCTAAGTTAAGGGCCATTAGCCTAGAGTTATCAACTAGGTGAAGTAGCCAACAACTACACCACTAGGAGGCCAATTAGCCTAATTCTATGTACCTAAAGCGTTGCACTATTGTTCCACTTTTCTTGAACACATAAACCAATAATAGTATCAGAGTATCACATTACATTCTAAATTGTAATTGTAAGAGGAAAAGAAAATGTGGATACTAACTATCATAGATCCATTGTTGCCAAAATTTGAGACGTGTTCCACTCGGAAATGCAGAAGGCCTAAATGCTTCTATCGGAATTACCCCATAGTGGTCTTTAGTAAGGACCAATTGTGGGCAACACCGAATTAATTCCCGAGCCATACCTGTAGTAGAGAAAAAGAAATTTTATTACAAGGAAAAAAATGAGTTATCAAATTAGGTGTTATAAGATTAAAATTTTCACCAAATTTCCTTCCAGTTATAAAGTAGTAAATAAGTCCCGCGCCGTATGGGCCTTTTTCTGGCATTAGATCCTCGATGGGAGTGACGGAGTAAAGATAATGAACGACGTCCCATTGGTCATAGATAGAAGCCAAGAGAATTGGAGTCAAATTCTGGTTAGTGGTAATACCAAGTATTTTCTTGCTTTTTCCAACCATGCATTCAACCATTTTGATATTTCCTCTTTGTGCAGCAAGAGCAAGAGCTGTCCAACCATCATTATCTGTTATTTCCAAGTCTTCCTCGGACATCAACTGCACCAACTCTTCCACAATATGCTCGTGCTCTAGTTCTGTTGCCATGTAAAGAGCTGTGTTGTTTGAGTACGGATGTCTTGCTCTTATTGCATCTGGATGTAGGGTAAGAAACTCCTTTGCTTCATTCCAATCCCCACGCGATACAACATCGAACAACGGCTTATACAGACCCTTGTCATATCCTGCACCTAGTTTGTGTTAATTAAATAATTATTTCATATTGCATAATCCAGTTATTTTTTGTTTTAATAATTGAAAATATTGTACCCATGCAAGCATAATCCTTTTTTTTTCTTTTTTTATGACTTTGAGGGCCACTATTTGCCGACATCTTGAATGGAATAGGAATATGATTGTGGGTAGTTTTATGATTCATGGAGGAAATTGGCTATTTAAAAATAAATAAATAAAGTCAAAGGGGTAAATTGACACCGTTAGATTTAATTTCCACATTGTTGCACATGTAATTTGCATAAGGATATAAATTTCTTTTCGTATACAGTAATACAGGGAGACCAAAATGTAAAAGAAATAAAAGTAAAATTATTAGGAGTCCTTAATATAAGCAGCAGAAATTGTGGTCTTGGTAAATAATATATATTTTATTTGAGTGACACCCTACGATTTTTTTTTTCAACAATTCAAACTGTCTATTTTTCAAGTCTTCATTCTTATATCATCCTTGAAAAAGTCAGAGAAATTGAAAATCATTAAGGCATCTAATGGAGACCGACAAAATCAATGAACATGATACTTCAAAAAAATACTTAAATTTTAATAATTTGAATGGTCAAATGATATTAAATGAATATCTACAAAATGGGCAGTTTGGATGAGTGAAATACAATGCGGAGAGGTTCCTACAAAAGATGTCCCTCAAATAAGCTTATTCGAGAGATCCCTTATATATATATATTTCTTGTTTAAGTAGAATATTTACTTTTCACATAAAGAGAACTAAGTACACCAGGGGGGGTTGTTTGATGAGGTTCGAGATTTGAACTGGTGACTTACTTGGAAGAAATGGTTTTGGCTTGAAGTTTTCTGCCAAAGTATCCCAAGCGCGTTTGGCTGAACTGGTGTTTCTAATGAGGGAAGAAGCTTCCCGCCCGCACGAAATTTGGATTGCATGTAAAGCCGTGGCATTCTTCTCCCTCCAAGCTTTGAAATTATCATCAGATTCTTCTTCTTCTTCTTCTTCGTCTTGTTCCACTACATCCCAAAGGTCTTGAGCCAGCAAGTAAGTTTTAACCCATACACTCCAATCCACATAGTTACTGCTATCAAGAAGTTCCACAACAGCTGCATCTGCGGAGAAGGCCATTCTTACCAAGGGCTTACTTAGGAGAGGCTTTGCAATTTCTGTTTTAATTACTATACCCAATTGAGTGAAGAACCACTTGTTAAAGCAATGGGTGAGGATATATATATTATATACCGTATACACACGCTCATTACAGAGTCTTTTTTTAATCAGAAGAGTCTTTTAATTGGGATAGGCCCCAAACCGTATTGTAAACCCAAAAACGCGTCTAATGGACCAGTTACTGCTGGTTCGTTTCTGTCTGTGATTGATACTGGTCTAATGGACCAGGGTGTTTTTTCAACTCATTCACACGCTTTTGTCTGTGCCCGACCACATTATGAATTGACCAATAAAGTTCGATGAACTCCGGTGAGTTTCACTTAGACCCTCTGAAGCTAACTCCACTTAGGACACTTTTTCTCTCTCTTCTTTTCTTTATCTTTTCTCCTCCCTCTTCTTTCCGTCTCTTCGATATGCCTTTTTCTTTTAATTGTCATTTTTTTTTCACTTTTATTATGCTGGCAACTATTGTAATCTCTCAAAAGTATTTTTTTCCCACTTTTATTTTTCTTAACTGAATTTTTTTTAGTTTTTATTTTTCTTTATGAGTCAAAATTTAAAGTCTTTGTGGCCCTTTCCAACTCTGACTTCAATAATCCCCCTACAATCAAAGTTGTCACTGACAACATTGTTAGATTTTCTTGCTTAAACAGGTGCAATCCCTTATCACCATTAACTCGCATTGCAATTAACAAATTAAACCAAACCATTATAATTATAAATTTAAACCAAACCATTATAATTATAAATTCAATTCAATTTACAGGGGCTTACTCAGGAGAGGCTTTGCAATTTCTGTTTTATTTACTATACCCAATTGAGTAATCACTCGTTAAAGCATGGGGTCCGCGAAGGGTGAGGATTATGTCATTTCCATTCGTTGACGTAATTAAACAAATTTAACGAAGAGTAATTTACCCTTGGGGTTTTTAGGGTTTTTATATAACTTCTTCATATCATGATAATTACACAAACACCTTTTCAAGTTTCAACACTCCATGAACAGCCAAAACACTCTTATCCAAATCATAATATACCCTTGGTTGAATACGGTTGAATACCATCTCAAATCTTACACATTATTGCCAATGAGGTCTAGCCAAGTGAATTGCCAAAAAATAAAAAAATAAAAAAGCCTATCTCAGTGGAAAATGACTTTAATTTGTTGACTGAGGGCCTGTTTAGGAGTGCTTTTGAAAGAGCCAAAAGTGCTTTCTGATAACTAAAAGCGCTTCTGACAATGTTTGGCAGAAAAGTTTAGAAGTGCTTATGGGTCATAAAAGCGCTTCCTGAAGAAGCACATAAGCACCTGCTATGTGCTTCTTCAGGAAGCACTCCCAAGTGTTTTTCCACGAAGCACTTTAATTTTTTATGAAAATTCAAGATTTTTATAATAAAAGTGCTTTTGTTAGAAGCGCTTACGAGCAGAAGTACTTCATAGAGAAGCAATCCCAAACGAGCCCTAATATAGTTCGGGTTCAAACTCCCATGACATCTTGGTGGTGTGTGTGTGAGAAACCCCCTCTCATTTAAGTTTCGACAATCGCTTGTCCTAAAAAAGGTTCTATGCTGAAAAACATTATAAACAATCATGCTTGTCGAAATCTCCACCTGGAACTTGTTTTCCTGCCAGTTTGAAATTGGTACTTAGGTGAGGAGGGGTAAATTTTACGATACTTAAACAAAACGCAAGAATCTTCACACAATTTAGACCTTGACCAAAAACACTTATGACTAGTCAACTGGTAGTCATGAACAACCATAATCAAGAATACACACAGAGCATGCCACAATGTACCTGCAACCCTAAAAGATTACTAGTGAAAACCTAGGCACTCAGAAGGACTCGTTAATCTAGGCATCCCCTGTGCTAGCAACAACTATGGTGAAAGTGTGTGAAATCATCATAATCAAGTGAACACCAAACAACAGATAATGATGACTAGTCAACTACAAGGACACAAACCCAGAATTCATATGATGACTCGTCAACCACCAAGAACACAAACCCAGAAAATTATAGAGATGCAATCAGAAATTGTTCACCTAGAAACCTATCAATGGGAAAAACTGGGGGTCATCAACCGACCAGGCAATCCACTAAGTAGAAAAAGATTCTTACAAAGGAACACAAGCAAGCTCAAGAAAAACCTAGATCTATTTAGGAAGATGAGCTATACCTCCTTTGTGCAATCTTCTTCTCCAACTTAGCAAAGCTTGAAGCTCAGTTCTTCATGGTAATGACAGCTCCTTCTCCAACTCATTCATCCCATGGCACCAGATTGCAAGCTTGAACTCATATAAAAACCAAAATTTGGATTCAAATGAGGATGATCAATTTCTTCAAGAAACCATACTCTTGAAGAAATCAATCTTAAATCTGACCTAGATATATATGAGAGAGTGTTTGATCTAGCATGATGAGGTTTTCATATTTCAAATGCAGTTTTCAAAAAGAAACATTTTGGAAAACTCAAAGATGAAAAATATGAAGGTTACACTTGAGGAAGAAGAGAAAGTTTACAAAGAAACTTTCCAAAACTTACCTACAAAAGTGACGGCTGCAAAATGAGGAATGTAGCTGTTTTTACACCAAAATTCCTAGGTTAGAATCGTACAAGGCAGCAGAGAATTTCGTAGAATAGGACAAAGAAGTGGGTAGGATCTAGCTAGAAACAGTGACCTAGAAAACCTTACCAACGCAAAAGTTGACTAGTCATATGAAGGAAGATGACTAGTCATATGGAGGATGACTAGTCATACGGAGAAAGGATGACTAGTCATAATCTTCAAGAATAGGTTAATGCAATGTAATGCAATTCAAAACTTACCTTTGTCAAACACAATATTGTCCACCATAATGTTGCCAAATAAGAACACCTAGAGATGAAATTCTTAATCTAAACATGAGTTTGAGAAAATACAATGATTGTCCTATTACAAACTTGTCAAGGGAAGCCAAAAGAAAATTACAAAATCCATACATTTACACAGTTTAGCCCTCATACAAAATTTTCTTGCCAATTTACTCCCCACCATTAGTTTTGGCAATTTTCGTCCAAATCTTTGTTTAAAAAATCACATGTTAGGCACATGTTTCACTATTGAATTAAAAATTTATTTTTTTTCTTTGCTTCTTCAAAGAGCTCAAATTTCTTCTCCTTCCTCTTACTAGGTTTTGGGTTTAGGTGGTGGTTTGAAATTTACATCCTTGTCCTCTTCGTTATGAAGGTTGAGATCGATTTGACGGTGGAGAGATTAGGGTGTAGTGGAGGGTTAGTGGGCTGTGGCACATAAGATGATTGAGAGAGAGAGAGAGAGAGAGAGAGAGAGAGAGAGAGAGAGAGAGAGAGAGAGAGAGAGAGAAGGAGGTGTAAATTTTGTATTTTGGATTTATTTGATAAGTGTGATATATGAGAGATTTATACATAGTTGAAAACCCTAGCACAGATATACAAGGAAACTAAATCAACAATACAAGGAAGGTAAATCAATATTAACACGTATACAAATATGGAAGGAGGATTCCTGCAATGCAGAGGATTCCTATAATGGAAGAAGGGCCTAACGACCATGAGTTGATTGCGTGATATTCCCCTGAAACTGGACGACGGACCTCGACGGTTGAGTTTTTCAGAGAGCTAGAGATGATGACTTTTGTGAAGACTTTTTGTGAGGAGGTCAGCAACTTGATTAGTGGAAGGAACAAATTGAACACGATGATTGCCATGGGCAACTTTCTCATGAACAAAATGGTAATCCAATTCAATATGCTGTGTGTGAGCGTGGAACTGGATTCGTAGTTAGATAGGTGGTATTGATTTTGTCACAATAGATGACAGTAGGAAATGTAACCGGGCAGCCAAGCTCATGCAGAAGACAACTAACCCAGACGATTTCGACGCAGGAATAGTACTCGGATTCAACACTGGAGTGGGCAACGGTTGGCTGCTTCTTGGAACACCAAGAGATGCGAGTGGTAACCAAAAAGAAGAGATAACTGGAGGTAGAGCAATGGGTGTCTAGGCAGCCAGCCAAGTCAGCATTAGAGTAGGCACGAATAGTCAGTGGTGAAGGAGAGGGACGTATATGCCAACCAGTAGGGAAACCCCCAGCCAGTTTTAAAAGTAGGTAGCAAAATATATTTATTAAATATAGCCCAGGCATGGTTTATCTTAAAACCAAAATCATAATGCACAACAACATAAAAGAAATATTTCACTTACTTCCCATTAAACCGAGATGTCAAGATAAAACATGGATGCTCATACAACTTTTTAAACCGGGGGTCCAAAAATTTTCTTTTTCACGCAGATTGCTCCAACTAAAAATACAAATTTTTCCAGGGGCTTATTGTAACAACCCTATCTCCGAGACCTGCGAGGATTGCAGCTCATATTGAAGTGTTATCTCTGAGACCTGTGAGGAATGCAGCTCGGATTGAAGTGGTATCTCCAAGACCTACGAGGAATGCAACTCAGATTGAAGGGTTATCTTTGAGACCTGCGAGGAATGCAGGTTGGATTGAAGTGTTATCTCTGAGACCTGCGAGGAATGCAGCTCGGATTGAAGTGGTATCTCCGAGACTTGCGAGGATTGCAGCTCAGATTGAATTGTTACCTCTGAGACCTGTGAGGAATGAGACTCGGTTAACTTTATGTTTCTGAGATCCGTGAGGATGGAATTGACGGTATTAAAGGAATTGACAGATCAGGAATGCAACTCAAATTGAAGTGGTATCTCCGAGACCTGCGAGAATTGCAGCTCAGATTAAAGTGTTATCTCTGAGACCTGCGAGGAATGCAGCTCGGATTGAAGTGGTATCTCCGAGACCTGCGAGGAATGCAGCTCAAATTGAAGTGGTATCTCCGAGACCTGCGAGGATTGCAGCTCGGATTGAAGTGTTATCTCTGAGACCTGCGGGGAATGCAGCTCGGATTGAAGTGGTATCTCCGAGACCTGCGAGGAATGCAGCTCAGATTGAAGTGTTATCTCTGAGACCTGCGAGGAATGTAGCTCGGATTGAAGTGGTATCTCCGAGACCTGTGAGGATTGCAGCTCAGATTGCAGTGTTACCTCTGAGACCTGCGAGGAATGAGACTCGATTAACTTTATGTTTCCGAGATCCATGAGGATGGAATTGACAGTATTAAAGGAATTGATAGATCAGGATTAGTGGTACGCCTAGGTGGAGAGAATTTAAGCTTTAAAACGCTTTGAAGTACAATTGGGGAACTTTATACAGTTACTATCGTTATCCTAATTGATATATTTATGTCACAAGAGAAATACGGATATATATATATATACATTTACATAATTAACTATTCATGAACCTTACATGAGTTCGATACAAGGGTATTCGGAGCTTGTTTATTTTATTTTATTTTATTTAAGTTGTTTGCCCTTATCTTTTTTTTTTGGATGTGGTATTAAATAGCTCGAGTATTTCTAGCATATTTTGCCCCACGAGTCTTAGAGATATCCTAACCGTGGGAGTGAGAATTGCAGATCAGGTTGACTGGATGTCTCCTGAGTCCAGGGAAGATTATAGGGCAGGACATGTCACCACGGTGGCACGAAGAATAGATAGTAATTTAAGGTTTGACGGAATCAAATAAGTATTCTTAGGTGGTAGGATGAACTTTACACTCAATGTTTTTCAGCAATATTATGTTTGGTAATTTATGTATAAATAGGAATGCATGAGTTCAATACCTTATTATATGTTGCCGAGTTAAGAATGAGGACTGAGACAATTTGTTGGATTGATGGCAGTAGGATGTTAGGTCAATGAAGTGGTAGATTATAAATTTTAATCCTTTTCAGGAAAATTATATTTTCTTAAAACTACCCTAAGTACCCCAGCAGAAATAATCGGTTATGTCCGAATTGCAAGAGCAAGGAATGCGGGTTCTCTGAATCCTGCGAGAAGGGCGGCTCGTGTTGACCTTGTGTCACCGAGACCTGTGAGGGCGTGTCACCAATGGTGATGCGAGAAAATTGACAGGGAAAATCAAGAATCGTGGTGGTAGATGAAAGTTGACTTGAATGCTTTCAAGGGATTAATGTTGACTAAGAGTGTGATTGGCTTATAGATACAGATATTGAGATGTGAGTGGTGAGTGGTGAGTGAAGTTCTAGAAGAGCATACTTGAGGACCCGAGTAACAGTTGCGGGCCCAGTACCTTCACCCTTTCGAGTAACGGGTATGTAAATTTCGAGGATGAAATTTTTGTAAGGGGGTAGTTTGTAACGAGAATACCTTCGGAATATTTTATTAGGTTAAAAGTTGACTTTTTGACCAGAAAGGAATTTGGGAATTTCAATTACGCTGTTGCGTAGAGCGCGACGAAATGAGTTTGTAGACGCTTAGTGGGCCCAAGTCCGAGTTGTAACGAGAGAGATACGATCAAATTACATTGAGGGGAAAAATGGTAATTTGCCAGGTCAGTTTTTAAAACCTCTCTCTCTCTGGTGCGACAGAACCCCCTTCCCCCATTTTTCAGTTCAGCCGGTGGCTTTCAAAACCCACCGCCGCCACCACAGGCCACGGTTGCCATGGGATCAGACCCAAATGGACCGGGCAGCTTCCCCCTTCCCTTCCCGTTCAAGCTCCGCCATTGAAACCGCCAGAATTCACCAGAAAGAAGTCGAGAATAGGCCGGTTTTGCTCGAGATTTCCAGCCGTTCGTTCTCCGTCATCCGGCCACCATTTCCGGTGATCTAGGTATGGAAACTCATCTATTTCTCGAGCCCTAGCTTTTGGTTGGGTAGGATTTCTGGAATTTTTAGCATAGATAACTCGATCTTGGATCCAAAGTTTAGCCACATTTCGGGTCGAGATTCCGGCCACTTCCACCCAGTTTTTGGGGTAGGTCCAAGAACAAAAGTGGTTCCAAATAGGGTGTTACACCTAGGGTAGGAGTCTTGAGCCGTGATTTGGAGATTTTCCGGGGAAGCATTATCGCTTTAGGAACCACGAGCTGCCGGCGCCTGTGGTGGCGCTTGGGCAGTATGGTGGGAACCACATTCAGTCCTAGAATAATCCCTTGGTCCTCACGAGCGTGTGGGTACTCGCGGATTCCAATTCAGATAACGTTTGAATCCTGAACGAATCTCGCCTAGGGTGTGATTTCTAGGTTAGCTATGTTTGAGCAGTCGGATCATAGTCATTTTCAACTATGTTGATATAGGTAATTCTAGGATCGTTTAGGATTTGACGGATTGTGTAGCGGAGTCCCAGTTACTCCAGAAATTCCAACCCTAGGGCTAGGTTTTAGTAATTGTCTAATTGTGCGATCGGGGGTAATCCGACCGTCCGATCGAGACCAAACTCCGAGGACATGTGTCCTAAGCATATTGGAACCTTTAGGGGACTCCTGAGTCATGCGGTGCAAGGTTACGGCCCGGATAGAAGCAGTATGTTCGAGGCCTTCGAGGAGGGTATTGACAGTATTAGTGAAGTGGCGAATCAGAATTAGATGAAAGAACTATGTGTGGCTTGATCCCTCAGTAAGGGTACGTAGGTAGCCTGAGGTTACAAGGTGCAACCACGAGGTTAGGTAGTAAAAGGTAGTCAAGTTAAGTTATTAGGAAATCTAACACTGTTCTGGGGATGTTATAAGAATTTATTTGAATGTGGCTAACATAATGATTTATTCGACTTATTGAGACTGGAGGCCAAAGCATTATGTTGTTTGATTTCTTAAATGTCTTTAAGTGCATGTTGAACGATTGAGATACGTTTATAAATGTTTGTTAATAGGTGGAAACTTTTGGGAAATGTTCAATTTACTGGGGAGACTCTGCTGAATTTTCGGTAGAAGTCTAGCTGCTAGAAAACTGGGTTTTTAGTTAGAGGGACAGTTTGGTCATTTGTGCCCGGCATTCATCAGGTGTCGGACACGCACAGGATTTGGCTCAGATTCCAAAGTGGAATTTGGGTCAGGTCTTTTCACTTATAGAGCGATCCATTAAATAAGTTTACATCGAGCTTCCATTGAGGGATCCAATATCCCTGTAGGGCCCACTCCGCATTTTATTTCACTAATCCAAACTCTCTCTTTTGTAGAATCATTCAAAGATCATTTCTACGAAAAATCACTTGAATTTGGATTCATTTGATCACTCAATTAATGGGCAAACTTTTTCTTTCATCTTCTATCTTCTTCACCCTCAAAAAGTTTCCAACGAATTCCTTATTGAAAAGAGTTTTGTAGTTTATTTTCCTTCTTCACAACATTTGGTCATTGTTGCTGTAAAATGCTAATGATATTAGTGTCCATGAAATTCAATGATTTCAAACAGTGAAGGAAATATAGATTAATAATCATTTTGTCAGTCTTTGTTTAATAAATTTAATAAATTAGACTTGGAGTAAAGAATGAATTATTAAAGTAGTTGGGGTTGTTAATTGTCACTCTTTGTTTAATAAGCACTTTATCTAAGTCTTTGTTCACATGTGGACATCAGAAATCTCAGCAAAGATTTTTTGTAACAAAACATATTTTTAAAATCCGAATTGATACACAATATTCAAAAATTACTTGACGCAAAAAAGCAAACAAAAGACTGAAATTTCAAATTATTCAAAAAGTATCATTGTCGATGACGGTAGGTGCTAGGTAAGGTCCAGCATTTAGATCTGGGTTTTGGAAATATTCCAATGCGGCAATGGTGAGGTTGAAGGTGGTGGTGGGATTTCGACAAAAATGAAAATAAAAATGGTGGTGGTTTGATTAATTAAGAACATCTACAATTATACTTTTTATTTTTATTTTTTGCTAAAAACACTTGAACCCTATTGGATTAGTTTAGTTTTGATTTGGTTTTGGGACTCTGGATCCGCTCCCATCTCTATATCTTTTCTCCATCAGTAAAATTGGTCGTATTGGATACATTAAAAAAAAACAAAAATAAAAACAAAACTGGTCATTATCCAATCCAGCTTTTATTGAACAGTAATGCAAGGGACACATAATTTGAGTCCCAATGATGAGTCACACGCATGAATATATGGTTGAGGAGAATTTATCTTACAAATCATATGTCTTAGGTTTAAATCACCATGACATCCTAGTTGTGTGTGTGAGTTAAAGTATTAGCAAAACAAGGCCGGCGCTTTTTCATTCCAAGCATTCTTTAATACAAGCCAGGGTGAGGAAAGGAACGAAAACAGAAACTGGATCGGTGTATGTGTGAATGCTGTATTGTCATGGTCTTTGTTTAGTTAGCATATTGCCTAGTTCTTGTTTTTGCTTGTATAGTCTTTGTTCACACTTGGGTGATTCTATGGGGCGACGCCCTAAAATAATCTTTAGTAAATTTGGCTTACACCCTTTAAATTCAATTTGCCATACCTAAAACCCTTCACTTTTTGTTCCTATAAATAATACCCAATTTGTATAAGTAAAAACCCATGACTAGGATCCAACTCAGCAAGTTACCTAATTAAGCATAAAATCTGATTTATTGTACTTTTCAGATTCCAAAAATACCCCCAACTAAGCCATTATTGCATTTTGTATATTAATGTAGGAATCAATATGGAAACAGTTTTTAATTGGATTGTATATAATGACAGATGTTGAATTTGGAAATATCTCCAAATGGTTGTAATAGATGTAGGAATTAATTTTGGAACATTTTTAAAAAAATTTAACAATAAATTCAAATTTGGGTAATTGGTTTGTTTAATAAAATGTTTATGTTATTTTCTTTTTATGAATTATACATGACTAATAATCCACTTTATAATTGTTTATGAATAAAACTGTACATACTAATTATGTTGAAAAAATAATGTACCTATTTGTTTTATGAAAAATATAATTTACCTAGTATGAAAAGTGTACATAATTATCTATTCCAATATACCTACATTAATTTTAATGTACTTACAATTAGGATTTAGGTATTATATGTCATCCAATGTACCTACCATTTGAATAATATACCTACTACGAATAAAGTACCTATTATTTATCTAAATAATGTACCTATTTTTTACTATAAATAATATAGCCTTTTTTCTCTGAATAAAGTACCTATTATTTGTTTTATCAAACGTAATTTTTTTAAATGAACCTATTTTCTCTCTCCAAATAACTTACCAATTTTTTTCCTCTAATAATGTACCTATCTTTTCCTCTTCAAATAATGTACCTATATTTTATATAAATTATTGTGTACCTATTTTTAATTATGAAAAATATACGCAATTACAAAGTAACTGACTTTTTTTTTTTGGGTAAATAATATACCTATATTTTATATGTATATATTTATATTATATTTTTCATAGGTACATTATTGGATATGTAATTTACAGATTTTTTTTTTGTTTGCAATTTTAGGGGGGCGAGATGTGAGAGGGAATGACAACTAAAAGAAATGGGGTGATTGATATGCTATTAATAGGGAGTATATTAATTACAATTATGGCAGTTAATGAAATGCTTGAAATAAATTATAAATAAAATATGAAGTTTAGTGGCAACGATGTAAAAACATAGAAATACTACGACCTCTTATATCATACTGGTCATTTAAATTTGAATTTGGGTTTTCAACGTAGTTATATAGATAGATGGGTTTGTGTCTAGGGGATATCAGTTGTATGGGCTTATATTGGAGTCTCTCAATAATCTTTAGACCACCACCCGCCCCGCCCCCCCCCCCCCCCTCTCTCTCTCATTTTCGGTTTATGAAATACTCACTGCTTGCAAGTTGCATATATCTTATCTTAACCGAGTCCTCTCCCCAAACTTTATACTGCCAAGTTCCAAGAACAATGATATTGCCAAAAAAAAAGAAAAAAAAAGAAAAAGAAGAAATAATTCAACACTTTACTGGACCATGGAAGAGCATTTTCTTCTCATCACTGTTGCCCGACTCTTTTGTATTGGTGTGTGTGTCCGGCATTCTTCTTCCTCCAATCCTTGAACCGATGGGTCATCTTCTTCTGATTTAAGAGGTTCAAATGAAGGCTCAATGACATTCCAAAGGTCTTGAGCCAACAAAAGAGGTTCAAATGAAGGCTCAATGACATTCCAAAGGTCTTGAGACAACAAGTAATACGCAATAGTAATTAGGGTTTAAATTCATATGTTTATTCTTCTTTTAAGGAGGGATATATATATACACTACATACATAGTGGGTTCAAATAAGAAATATATACAAAACCTCCTAATTATACTCAAATTAGATAATAACAATACAATACAAATTCTTTACTAGGTGAATACATAAATTGGTTAGGAACGCTTATGACATAGGCAATATCAGGGCGTGTCAGTGATAAATAGATCAATCTCCCAACTAACCTTTGATATCTGTCTTTATTAGTTGGAACCTGATCCACATAAATTTCAAGTTTATGATTCTCAACAATAGGTGTATCAGCTGGTTTATAGTCAAGCATCCCAATATCTGCTAGGAGGTTCAGTGCGAAACTTAAAGTAGAGCCTCACATAATCTAATACGAAAATACTATAGATAAAAATTTGCCATAACTTAATATCATAAATGTTAACGTATGCATTTTGAGTTTTTCTTTTGGCTTCCCTTCACAATTTTGTAATATGATTTTTATTGTTTTTATCAAGCTCAAGTTTAGATTAAGAATAGCTTCTCTAGGTGTTCTTAACTAACAACTATCCTATGGAGGTTCAAGCAAATTGACAAAGGTAAATTGTGCATTGCATTAAATTGATTTCATAAAATGATGACTAGTCATTTGTTTCTCGAATGACTAGTCATCCTTGCTCTATAGAATTTCTAGCTGGATAACCAACTTTTTTATCCTATTCTCCTTTCTCTCTCTGCTGCCATATGTCATTCTGACCTAGAGAATTTTTGTGTGTAAAAGCCAAAGAAGTCCTATTTTGGCAGCTGTCTCTTTTGCGTGGAAGTTTTGGAAAGTTTGGCTTGCCATCTTTCTCTTCTTTTTCCTCAAGAGAGAACCATATTTTCATCTATGAGTTTTTACAAATTGATGTGTTTTTGAAAAATTGCATTTGAAATACGAATCTGCATCTAGCTACTTAAAACACTCTCATTTAAATCTAGGTCAGATTCAAGACTAATTTCTTCAAGAGTATGGTTTCTTGAAGAAATTGGTCATTCTCCTTCGAATCCAAATTTTGGTTTTGGTCTGAGTTGGAGCTTGTAAGCTAGTGTCATGGGATGAAAGAGCTGGAGAAAGAGCTGTCATTGCCATGAAGAACTGAGCTTCAAGCTTTGCTAAGTTGGAGAAGAATATTGCACAAATGAGGTATAGCTCATCTTCCTAAATAGATCTAAGTTTTTTCTTGAGCTTGCTTGTGTTCCTTTGTAAGAATCTTTTTCTACTTAGTGGATTGCTTGGTCGGTTGATGACCCCCAGTTTTTCCCAATGGTGGGTTTCTGGGTGAACAATTTTTGATTTGCATCTCTGTAGTTTTTCTGGGTTTGTGTTCTTGGTGGTTGACTAGTCATCGTATGATTTCTGGGGTTGTGTTCTTGGTGGTTGACTAGTCATCATATGAATTCTAGGTTTGTATCCTTGTAGTTGACTAGTCATCATTATCTGTTGTTTGGTGTTTACTTGATTATGATGATTTCACACACTTACACCATAGTTGTTGCTAGCACAAGTGATGCCTAGATTGACAGGTCCTTCTGAGTGCCTAGGTTGTTACTAGTAATCTTCTAGGGTTGCAGGTACATTGTGGCATGCTCTATGTGTATTCTTGATTGTGGTCGTTTATGACTAGCAGTTGACTAGTCATAAGTGTATTTGGTCAAGGTATAGAGTGTGTGAAGTTTGTTACGTTCTTGATTGAATATCTTTTAAATTTATCCCTCGTGACATAAGTACCAATTATAATAAACAATTTTGTTATAACTAAAAGTCACCATCAATAAATATGTAATAACAATTAGAAATCAAATTCATAAAAATTAAATGTTTCCATTTGATAAAGTTAAATATTAGTCTGTTTGGAACAAAAATAAGTTCCATGTCCCCCTATAAGGTCCCTTACTGCCTCTAATAAGAAATATGTGTTTAATAGGGAAAAAAATTAGCAATAAAAAACTAAAGAGTAGTTGCACACAAATGTTATTAACAAATTAGATTATATTGCACTAAACACAAGCAAAAACAAAAACATACATGACTATCCAAAAATCATTCACATTGTATTTGTTGTCTTTATTTGAAAAATTAAAACTATTACGATAGCTTTTTCCCCAAAAGAAAAAAAAACATAACCAGTACAATACTAATGTTTGAAAATTGATCTTCTTGAATTTTTAGAAGAGAAATTATCAATCCAATGTTCATAATCAAGTTTTTCTAGAAGTTTACTTTCAATTGAAATCAAAGCTAGTCCGTTTAATCTTTCTTGAGACATAGTTGATGGCAAGTATGATTTTAACAATTTTAATTTTGAAAACTTCTTTTTACAGATGCAATAGTAACATGAATAGCCAATAAAGTTCTATATGCAATGAATACATTTGGAAAACAATTTAATATTTTCAAGAAATTTAATATTGCAGTAGCTGTGATTTTTTCTTTTAGACTGATATATTGTAAATTTTGAAACATATTAGGGGACACACGTAGAACCACACTTTTTGACACACCATTTAAATTATCAAATTAAGTAAGTTTCAATGATTAGTATTGCATTTGTTTAATGGGCAGTCCCTTTCTTTCACACATCATTCAAATTTAAAAATAAACATTGGGGACAACCTAGCAGCCCAACTTTTAAGACTATTACTCTCCCCTCTCTTCCGTTTTTTGTTTAATGGGCAATCCTTTTCTTTCATCTTCTATCTTCTTTCCCGCTGCTTTCTCTGGCTTTATTGTACAGTAGTTTACACACACACACACACACACCCTCAAAACGTTTCCAACGAATTCCTTATTGAAAAGAGTTTTGTAGTTTATTTTCCTTCTTCATAACATTTGGTCATGGTTGCTGTAAAAATGCTAATAATATTAGCGTCCATGAAATTTAATGATTTCAAACAGTGAAAGAAATATAGATTTGCCCTAAAGTGACTCAACTCAACAATGGTGAATGGAGGTCGGGAACCACCAAACACTGATTTGGGCATGAAATGAATTAGACTTTGAGTAAAGAATGACTTGTTAATTGTCAGTCTTTGTTTAATAAGCAATTTGTCTAAGTCTTTGTTCACATGTGGATTTCAGAATCTCAGCAAAGATTTTTCGTAACAAAACATATATTTTTAAAATCCGAATTGATACTGACTCAAAAAGTACTTGACGCAAAAAGCAAACAAAAGTCTGAAATTTCAAATTATTAAGGTATCATTGTCGATGATGGTAGGTATTAGGTAAGGTCCAACAAAATAAAAGGATTCGTTAATTTATAGGACTAACTCGTCACAAACCATGGCCAATATGTAGTTGGTTGATAGAAACTTGTTATTTGCATCATAATTTCATTAAAAACGTATTAATGCAAAACCAAGAGACATTTGAGAGAATTGTTGTCTTGGGGACTGTGGATCCACAATTATGCTTTCAATTTTTTTGGTTAAAATTTAGCAAAAGCACTTGAAACCTATTAGATTAGTTTAGTTTTAATTTGGTTTGGGGACTGTGGATTCACTCCCTTCTCTATATCTTTTCTCCATCACTAAAATTGGTCGTGTTGGACACAAATATATATATATATATATATTGAACAGTAATGCAAGGGACACATAATTTGAGTCACAAGCATGTCAACCCCAACAGGCTCTTATATATGGCCGAGGAGAATTTATCTGACAGACCAGAGGTTTTAAGTTCGAATCACCATGACATCTTAATTGTGTGTGTGAGTTTAGACTATTATTTGTACTACAATATATATATACATATATAACGTGTTAAAGTATTGGCGAAACAAGGACCGCCCTTTTTCATTCCAAGCATTCTTTAATACAAGCCAGGGTGAGGAAAGGAACAGAAACAGAAACTGGATCGGTGTTTGTGTGAATGCTGTATTGTCATGGTCTTTGTTTAGTTAGCATATTGTCTAGTTCTTTTTTTTGCTTGTATAGTCTTTGTTTACACATGTGAATTTGTGATTATACGAAGCCTTACTAAAGATTTTTCTTAGTTAGTCTTTAAAAAAATAATTAAAAATAGCCCACCGAGTATGTCTACTAATAGTCTTTGTTTATATTAACATCTAGATGGTCACAATTAAAAAAGAAAAGCAACAGAAAATGAGGAGAAACTAAAGGACAATGGAGATGAATAGGAAGAGTAGAAATCTCACTTCAGCTCGGGTGACCGTTTCAACTATGCATTATCCGTCTGATAAATTGGGTGATTCTATGGACCGACACCCTAAAATAATCTTTAGACACCAAGCCCCCACATTTTCGGTTTATGAAATGCTCACTGCTTGCAAGTTGCATATATCTTAACGGAGTCCTCTCCCCAAACTTTATACTCCCAAGTCCTAAGAACACTGATATTGCCAAAAAAATTAAGATGAAATAATTCAACACTTTACTGGACCATGGAAGAGCATTTTCTTCTCATCACTGTTGCCCGACTCTTTTGTATTGGTGTGTGTACGGCATTCCTGCTCACATATCAAGCAATGTCATCGCTCATATGCGGCCACGAGCAGTACTCATGTAGCATCCTACACATCTTAGTACTACCTGGGTGTATAGATTAGGTTGAACAGTGTACCTCCTCCATGATTTCTCTCTTTAAGTCTTCGTTCTTGGGTACATAGAGATGAGTTCCAATTACTAAGGCTCCGTCTTCTCTCTCTGCATAATCCGTCCGTGTACCATTCTCTACTTCTAGTCTTATCATACACAGTGCAGGATCCTCCAATTGGGCTGCAGTCACCCTTTCAACCAGAATAGGCCTCACATGCAAACTAGGAAGTAGTCCACCCTGTTGGCTCATTCCCAATTCTACTCTATCTTTCCGCAGTTTCACCAGTAATGGTAGATAAGCTATTTGAAGATGAGCTAGGCTTCCAGTAGACTTCCTACTCAAGGCATCCGCCACAACATTAGCTCGGCCAGGATGTTACTTGATCGTACAATCATAGTCCTTAATCAAATCTAGCCAATGCCTTTGTCTCGTGCTGAACTCCTTTTGGGTGAAAAAGTACTTGAGGCTTTTGTGATCAATAAAGATCTGTCATGTCTCACCGTACAAGTAGTGTCACCAAATTACCACTGGAGCAAGCTCCAAGTCATGGGTAGGGTAATTCTGCTCGTGCTTCTTGAGTTGCCTCGAGGCATAAGCAATCACCCAATCATGTTGCATCAATACGCATCCCAAGCCTTATAATGATGCATCACTATAGATCACAAAGTTTCCCTTGTTATCCGGAAGAGCCAAAACAGGTGTGGTAGTTAACCGCTTTTTTCAGCTCCTCAAAACTCCTAATTCTACTCAAATTTGATAATTATAATAAAATACAAACTCTATACCTAATAGGAACAAATTCTATTCCTAATAGGAACAAACTCTATTCCTAATAAGAACATTGACTTTGACTCACGCCAACACTCCCGCTTAAGTTGGTGCATAGATATCAATAATACCCAGCTTGTTAAGTGGGTCTTCAAATCGACGCTTTGACATAGCATGGGTCAATATATCTGCAAGTTGCTCTGAAGAAGGCACAAAAGGTATATAAATTGACTTATGCTCCAGCTTCCCCTTAATGAAATGTCGATCAATTTCTACATGCTTAGTTCGATCATGTTGCATTAGATTGTTAGCAATTTCAAATGCAGACTCGCTATCACATTGAAGCTTTGTAGCAGCATCTGGTCTAAACCCAATTTCAGCAAGTACAACCACAGTATTTCACAAAACCCTTAGGCAATCCCTAGGTACTTAGACTCTGCAGAGGATAAAGATTCTAAATTTTTGTTCTTGCTATGCCATATAACTAGGTTACCTCCTACAAAGGTGAAGCAACCTGATGTAGAACGTCTATCTATATTATTCCTTACATAATCTGCATCAGTGTAACCTTCTAAATCCAAGTGGTCATTTTTCTTAAATAATAAACCTCTCCAAGGAGCAGACTTTAACTAACTCAAAATATGCATCACATCAACCATATGATCCTTACTAAGTGAATGCATAAATTGGCTAGCAACACTTATGACATAGTCAATATTAGGGCGTGACAGTGATAAATAGATCGATCTCCCAACCAACATTTGGTATCTTTCTTTGTTAGTTGGGACTTGATCCACATAAACTCCAAGTTTATGATTCTCAACAATAGCTGTATCCGCTGGTTTATAGTCAAGCATCTCAATATCTGCTAATAGGTCCATGACATACTTCCTTTGAGAAAGAAATAAGCCATGTATCTCAAATTCAGACTCTATGGTTTTGGAACTGATATATATATATATATATATATTGATGGCTATGATTTTGGAATATTGGTTTTGGATTGCATCACAATATGTACCACCCCTTGCTTCTTGTTAAATGAGTGATTAAACTCACGGTAACTATTTGTAGAGCTCTTGACGACGTTGTCTACGGTCGTAAGACTTGATTCAGCCCCACATGCGATGTGTTTCTGTCATGTGTGTTGAATAGCAGTAGTCCCCCAGTTGGACAGCTCGTCCCTAGTCAACACAATCCTGCATTAGATTGTTTCCCCTGGTATTATTGATGGTGTAGTGAGCACTTATGTGTGTGTGTGTGTGTGTATATGGAGTTTTCCTTGCATGTTATGTTTTTACAAGCATATGCCTACGAAATGGTATGGTTATGGGATTTCAATTATTTCAAATCCAAGTATACTATAAAAAATAATTTTACTGCTTGGTTTTAAATCGTTTTTCATAAGACAGTAGGGTTAGTACGTTCGGTTATATTTATGTTCAAAACTTATTTTTGTTCCCCATATTTTTGTTTTGCACCTCCAGGCCGTAGCTTCCCGTGCATTCGACTTCACTGTAGGATATCCATTGCTGATTTCCTTTCGAAACTACTTTGGTTGTGTAAATTAAAGAATTTCTTTGATTGCTTTGGTATTGCCCACGTAGGGCTGAAATTGAGGCCAGAGGCCTATTTTGTAAACTGTGTGCTTTAGCATTGTATGTGCTGCCGGTTGAGATTTTAAATGTCTTGTTTTACAGGTGGAGAAATTTGGGAACTTTCCGTTTTTCAAGAGGGACTCTGACAATAGTTCGGTAGAAGACTCGGCCCATTTCTTTTTGTTAGTACCCATAGCTTCATGTAAACACTTCTAGAACCTAGCATTCCCATCTGACATAATGGATACAGGTGCTCCATGCAACCTCACAATTTCATCCACAAAGAGCTTAGCTGGTTCTGCCACGGAGTAGCACTACTACATTTTCCACGTTGCGCGATGCAGGCACTTCCGTCGCGCAATGAATAATGTCATCGCGCAAATATCAGAGCAACAAAAAATTTGTCGCGCATATACCGTGAAGATAGACTTTGCGCGACTAATGTTTTCCATTCCTCGCGCAAAATATAGCGACGGATGCGTTTGTCGCGCAAACTATTTACGGACGATAGAGCCCTTGGTCTCAGAATAATATGCGTGCCAAAAACGGTTGAGTTGGCCAAAATGATGCGCGACGAAAGGAATTAGTATCGTAAACTTTTGCGCGACGAAAAATGGCCGTCGCGCATTGCGTCTCACAAGATATTGCACGACCCAGCCTGCGCGATGGAATGGGTTGGGGTCGTAAATTCTGTGGGACGATGAGTATGCGTCGCGCGATTCGTCTCACATGGGATTGCACGACGAGATTTAATGCGCGACGACTGCTTTTGCTCGTGCGCTTAACTTTCGCGTGACGAAAGTTTTTGTCGCGCTAAGTAGAATAAACCTTGCGTGACGAAACGTGTTTCGTCGCGCAAAATTTAAAATATATTTTTTCGATTTAAATTTATTTATTTATTTTTATTTGCAAAACAGTATCAGTTCAATTTATTTTTTTTATTGTGCAATTTTTTTTCTGTATTTTATTGCAATGAAAAAAAATGTAATGAAGAGATAAATTTTGTTATAAAATACAATACAAATATTTAAAATGTAAAAGTAAAAACCTAATTAAACAAGTTTCCAAAATCGAAGCGATCTTCAAGCGAATGCAGCATGGAAGGCTGGGCATTGTCGCTAGGGGCAGAGGTGTGGTGGCCATGCTCGGGTTGGATGGGCTCAGAGGTCGACGAGGGAGTAAAGGGCCATATGGGAAGGCCGGCCTGGGCGAGGGACTTTGGAAACTGTGTCATCTGGGCCATCTGGGTTTCAAGCATAGTCACTTTTGCCGTCAAAGCAACAGTCGCCTGACTGGTTGCCTGCGACGATGACCGGGGTCTAGGTTCCTGTCGGCGAGCATTCCCCATCCCTCGACAATATGTCCCTGGGCGCGTCCAGAGAGTTTGATCCAAGGTTTCCGTCAGTATCTGAAACCCTACATCCTTTGGAGGATCCACATACTCGAGTGGCGTATTGGGAGGAAGCTGAGAGGCGGACTCCTGAAGAACCAACTGGCTCTTCTCCATCATCATTGTCTGTTGAACATAACATAAAATATTAATTAAAATATTCTAATAATAACTATGAACCTTGAATGTGTAATATCATAATTAAGATTAAAGACTACTTACATGAAGGGACTCAGCCAACTCATTCCCAGGGCGAACGTAAACGTCACCAAAGACGTCGATCTCAGGGAATTTGGACCCACCCCGAAGTGAACAATTCCAAAAAAATGTTAGTATGAAAAAAACCAAGTAATATTAATAATATATTAAAAATGTAAACAAAACGACTTTATTATTACCCACCGACGCTCCTCCATCCTATAGGAAAAGGGTCTGGAACCTGAATGGTGGAGAAGAGTCTTCTTTGCCCTATTACCCTTATTTGCTTTGGCTTGCTTCTGTAAAAAAAAAAAAAAAAAAAAAAAAAAAAAAAAAAACAACCCTGAAATTAATTATTAATGAAAATAAAATTAAAAATTAAAACAAAAACAAAAAAAAAAAATTAAAAAACTTGTAATAATTATAACAACTAGCAATAATAAATTACCACAAAATCGGCCTCCTGAAAATGACTGCAGAGCCACTCCCAACTATCTTTCTGCCCCTCAAGCTCCTTCGGGCAACCCTCCTGAAGAGCAACATGCGGATCATCATATGTGTAAAAATGGTGGTGCAGGTCGCTCTTCCACTGCTTTTGCCTCTCGGCAAAGAGTCTGGTGATGTATGCCAACATCTCGTCGTCAAGGTCCTCCAAATTGTAGTTCGTTTGCAATAAATTCATTACACACAAGTATTAAAAATATATAAAATGTGAAGGGAAAACAATTAAAAAGTAAGAAACATACCGACAGTTGGGAGCGCACCGCTATCCACATCTCGTCAAGCATGGCCTTCCAAGACTTCAATTTGATCGGGCAATGAGTCCGAACGACGTGACCAATGTCGTGGGCCAATGAGCTATGCTGGTCCGCCGTTGGTGCAGCCCGATGCCGCTCGTCGTATCCAATGTTGATACGACTGTTGGTCACCCAGGTAACCTTCGCCGTCTCCAACTGGCGACAAGGTCCCCAGGTGCGCTTCTTGGCTGCAAAGAAATATAAATGTAACGTTAAATAACAAATCGTACTAAAATCTTGGTTTGAAACAGTCCGAGTTGAAGGAAATATTTACCTGGTTGTGACTCTGACGCACCAGCAGCTGAGGTCGAACTGGTGTCAGTCATGTTGGGGGGCGGTGATGCCACCTAGCACTAACTGGCTACGCCACTGACGACTCTGATGATGCCGGTGCATGGGGGACTCGGGGACAAACCGCAATGGCGTGCACCTGTGCTGGAGCAGTGGCAGCTGACGTCGTAGCCGGGGGAGGCAAACTCGGTGCAGTCGTCACTGCCTTACGACTTCTAATAAGGTCTGACATCTACAAAACTGAACAAGCATTCAAAGTTAAATCCTCGTTGGCCAAAAATTTATTTATAAAAAAAAAAACCTCAAAAACTAATGAAGAACAAATTCAATATTAAATATATTCAATCACCAAAATACCAATAACTCAAATGAAGAAACTCATGGATTCCAACAACAGTCTGTTTATCTCAATTCCAACAACAAATACACAAAAAATTTGCGAACAACATATATGCATGATTTAGACTAAACAATCAAATCTGATAATAATAATATGTGTGCTATTTTTCAAGTGTATTTCATATGTGTGCGAACAACATATATGCATGATTTAGCACACTTTTCCTTCCTCCTTCTCGACTTTTCTTCCCCCAACTCAGACTCCCCACCACCCACCTCCCCTGTTTTTTCACTCTCACTCTCTCATCTCTCTTCCCCCAACTCAAAAAAATTCTACAACAATTCAAACACCAAAACAGCAACAAAACAGCATGTGAAAATTCCCCAAAAAAACACAATGAACATAATTCCAACCACCACAATAACTATCACCCTCGATTTTTTCAATTGAAACATAAAACCCTAAACCAACCATCATATTAAGCAATTTCAACAGTTAAAAAAATAAATACACAAATTGAAACAGAAAAAAACAATTTCACTCGAATATATTTAAAATTGAAAAAAAATAAATAAAATAAAACCCTAACCAATAAAATAAAAAAAACCCTAACCAAGCATCAGACTAAGCAATTTCTCAACACTTAACAAAATCAATAAATATAAACAGAAACCAAAATACACCCGAATATATTTAAAATTGAAAAAAAACAAAAAAGAAAAAGAAAAAAAAAGGGAGGGAACACGTACAGACAGCGGCTGCGAGAGGGAGGCGATGGTGTGACTGCCGACGAGGGGTTTGGGTTGGGGAGATCGAGAACGAATTAGGGGTTAGAGAGGGGGAAAGGAAGCGAGAGAAAGTGTCGACTTATGGAGGCTTGGGAGGCGTCGACATTTGGAAGGAATGGCGGCCGCCTGGTCTTGGGGCGGGAGGAGGAGGGGGGGGGGGGGGGGGGGGGGGGGGGGGGCGGGGGGAGGAGAGGAGGCGCTATCGCGGAGGGAGGAAAAAAGACAGAGAGAGAAAGTTTTACGTTTTTCAGGAAGAATATTGGGAACCTTGCGCGACGAAGGAAAGGTGTTGCGTAAGCTTTTTGAACTTGCGCCATGAATAATTTCATCGCGCAAACCAAAAAATAAAATCTTTGCGCGATGAAACAGAACATATCCATCGCGCAGGTTCGATATTTTAGTTAGCGAGAGGTGGAACGCCAAAATTTTACAATCTTGCGCGATGGAAATAAAAGGGCGCCGGGCAAGGTTTAAAAATACAATCTTGCGCGACAAAAAAAACTTGATTCGTCGTGCAAAGACTTTTGTAAAAGCGGGATTAGAACCGCCAATATTTTCGGAACTTGCGTGACAAAAAAATATTGTGACGCGCAAAACAGGATCAGAAAACCCTAAATATTCTGACATTGCGCGACGAAATAGTGCAGCTTTTGACGTCGCGCAAAGATAAAAATAACCTGGCGTGACAAAACGGACTTTATCCATCGCGCGAAGGCTTTTGCCAAATTCCCCAAACCCACGAACCCTAAACCCTAAACAATAAATTAATACATTGCGCGACGAAAGGTTGCGTTTGCCAGACTGTTGCGCGACGAATCAGGACCCTCCGTCGCGCAAATTCCCTAAACCCTAAACAATAATTTAATACATTGCGCGATGAAATCTTGCTTCTGCCAGACTCTTGTGCGATGAATCAGGACATTCCGTTGTGCAACAATAGTTTGCGTCGAGCCAAGTTGTTTCTTTTATCACCATTAAAAAGTTTTTTTCCGTTACCACATTTCCGAATGTTTGTTTTTTTCGATTTTTGGGGTATATAATCTCACAGTACATACGAACACGTTTGACGATTGGATCGTTCAAACTAGTTTCGTAAAATGCATATAACGTCAAAACAGTACAAACTCTAACACGGAAGAGTTTATTTATACATTCGTTAAATGTAACGTAAGATTTTGTGGCATTCACTAGTGTAAATCTTTTAAATTGAAGATCAGATTCAGTCATTGTATTCATATGGGGTGATGAAGTGTAGCTGTAAAAAATCATCGCAATCGGAGTTAAAATAACCGTTAAATCGTGATTTGTCGTTTATGACCATTGAAAAGTTTTGTGTTGTTTGCAAGTCTATGAATATTTTTTTTTTTTGCGATTTTTGAGGTATATGATCTTGCAGCATATACCAACACGTTTGACGGTTGGATCGTTGACACTATTTCGTAGAATGCGTATGCGATAAAAACATTATATAATATATAATATCTAAATACTAATACTTATATGCGACGAAACAGGTTGTCTTCATCGCGCAAAATGTTTGCGCGACGAATAAGGACCTTTGTCGCTCAAAGTGCCAGCAATTTGTGCGACGAATCACTTTCTTTTTCGTCGCGCCAAGTGTAAAAACAGGACAGTTATTCTGCCAAACAATTCCAGACTGTGGCGCGACGAATAAGGACCTTGGTCGCGCAAAGTGCCAGGAATTTGCGCCATGAATCACTTACTTTTTCATCGCACCAAGTGTAAACCCAGGACATTTATTCTGCCAATTGATTCTGGACTGTTGCGTGACGAATCAGGACTTCGCCGTGGCACAAAGTTAAATTTACGCGACAAATTCGAGTTTCTTCGTCGCCAAAGTGTAAAACCAGGGACTGTATTGTTGGTTTTATTGTATGTATGCTTAGGAACTAGTAACAGTTACTTATTTTTCACGAAGATATTTTTCATGAACTCTAAATTCAGTCTCGTATATATTGCATCTTGAATCTCGATATTGAAAATATTTCTAGATAAAATAGACCATAAAAAAAAAAGGTGATGAGTTCTACTTTTTTAAATCCTTAATAACGGGGTTTAATTTCTTAGGTGCACCAAGGAGAATAGAGGAGAAACGTTTAGGGTTTAGTTCTTGAATTACAGGCTAATTTTTTCTTAGTTCGGGTTCATTCTGGCATTACTTTCACACTTAGATAAATCCTTTTAGATCTACTTCCTAATTCTAATTCTCTTACTGTGTTTAGGGTTTGTTTTTCTTCCATGGTTGTGCAACTTAATTGTTTTTTTATTTTCTATTTTTATGTTTTGCTTTGTTAGTTGTTTATCCCGATCTTGAATATCTTTTAGTAAAGACACACCTCCTCACCTTTTTTCTTTTGTCCAGAAAAGAAACAAGGGATCTACGTTTTGGTTATTCTGAAATCATTCCCGACTATTGCGCGACGAATCCGTAAGGCACAAAGGTTAAAACCAAATTTTTTATATATAAAAAAGTAAAATAAATTATTGCCAAAAACGTCATGACTTTCGGATTGAAATGAAGGTATGAGTAAGCTTATATTATAGGATTTAAATGAAGGTATAGCTCGTATTTATGTTGTAATTAAATTTAAAAGTAATTACTTAAAAAGGTATGAAATATTTAACTAAAACCATTGAGAAGCTTACGAAATTAAGGCATAGGAATACATGGAATTTAGAATGAGAAAATAAAACGATATACCGTCGCTATCATGGAAATTCACAAATAAATTACATTATTTACATGGCAAGTCGCAAATAAATTACATTATTTACATGACAGGTCGCAAAAAAATTACATTATTCATCATCTGAACTGTAATAATCTTCGTTACCGTCGCTTTCATCACTTTCGGTCTCCCAATCCTCCTCCTCCTCTTCTTCATCCTCCTCCTTCATAAGTACATCATCGTTGTTGTTTGAGCCCACAGTTGGATCGTATCGTGGAAGATCACCGAGGTCAATTGTAATTGACTGAATCGGTATTTCTCTTGAAGACACTCCTTCAAGCTGAAACGGTTCTTGTATAACATTTGTATCTAGAAGTGTTTGTGCATCATTTCCATGGAAGATTCCAAACGTTGGTCAACAATGTCGACGTCGTTGTCAGATGGGTCTAGTTCTAGTATAGCATACACGTTCCTCTGATCCATCTGCTGAACAACTTTCCAACCGCTGTTGGCTTTAGGGTCATCTAGATACACAATCTGTTTTGCCATGTATGCCAAAATGTAAGGGTCATCATCATACCAAGTTTTGTTAATGTTCACAAATAGTAACCCATGGTCAATTTTAACACTTCCCTGCATGTTCGGGTTCGTATCAAACCATCGGCACTTAAACATGATTACTTGGTATCGGTCCTTGTAAAGCAATTGCACGACAGTTGTGAGTTTTCCATAGAAATCAATGTCCATACTTTCACCTCCACCTGGGACATGGATATCGCTGTTTTGCGTACACAACTTGTCATCTCGTGTGGTCCCCAAAAATTTGATGCCTTTAACATGGCAACCCGAGAATAATTCAGCGCTAATTGGGCTGAATGCCAAGTTATATAACTCTTCACTATAAATGGGGGAATTCTCTGATTTCAACTTATTCACCTAATATTATACAAAACCATACACATGTTAGTTTGAGAAGCATAAATACTACAATATATATGTCAAATACAAAACACTTATAACTTACATATTCCAAAAACCATTGTGGAAACAATTCACGGTGTTTCTTGGAATACAAATGTGATGGATGTTCTCGCTTCATCATCTCTTCATGCTCATCCAAGTATAGGATTATCTCATCACAATTGTTCAGTACGAACCAATGGGCTACCTCTATGTCATTTTTGGAAAATGCATCTCCTCTATCAGGATGTCCAAAGGGTCGTGCGTTTTGGACAAAAACAGAAAGTTTCGCATTTCTCACACCTCTATCATTATTGCGCTGAGGACGATTGAAAGCCGTGTCCACATTTTTAAATACATTCCACAGAAAGTAAGTGCCTCATATTGAACCCAAGCCTCTATAATTGATCCTTCGAGCTTCACTCTGTTGCGTACGCTTTTTTTCAACTCTCCGAGAAGCCTGCGACAATAAAACGATACGATGCAAATTAGCAAGTAGCAAGCATATGATAATTATGCATACACAAATATGGAATGATTATATACCTTTCTATTGGATACATCCAACGATAGTTCACTGGACCAGCAAATATTGCCTCTTCTGGCAAGTGAACCATCACGTGAATCATACTTGTGAAGATAGCTGGAGGGAATATCATCTCAAACTTGCACAGGACTAGGACAATGTCATGGCGCAACTGATTAATGTCTCTCCTTCACAACGTTTTTGCCGACAGTTGGGAAAAAAATATGGATAACAATACGATTGGCTTGACTACATCTTCCGGCAATAGGTGTCGAATCCCCAAAGGAAGTAGGCGTTGCATAAAGACATGGCAGTCATGGCTCTTTAGTCCAGTAAATTTACCACTAGTCAACATTCACGCAATGTGCGATATTAGAAGCATACCCGTCAGCAAACTTTACAGTCGATACAAACTTTAGAAAATCTTTTTTGTCATTCGGTTTCATGGAAAAAAATGCAAGATCCCTTCTAGCTTTATGACCGTCCCTTTTCATCCATAAACCCTTTTGTATTCCCATTTTTTCCAAATCCAGACGAGCTTTGATCGTGACCTTTGTCTTCCCCTCGATATTTAGAATCATGCCCATCAATGTGTCAAAGACATTTTTCTCAACATGCATAACGTCGAGATTGTTCCTCAATTTTAGTTTCGACCAATATGGAAGCTCAAAAAACATAGGCTTGTGCGTCCAATTCATGTGTAGCAGGTCTGATCCAACTAACTGTTTTCCCGAACAGAGCAAAATCCAAACGGTTAAGTTGTTCTAAGATCTCATCACCGGACCACTCTCTAGGTTTGAGGCCATGCTCTTTCTTCCCGTCGAACTCTTTATCCTTTTCCCGCCACTCATGGTCCCATGCCAACCATCTCCAATGACCAAGGTAACAAACTTTCCCGGCGTGCCAACTAGAAGTCACATCTTCCTTGCATACAGGGCATGCCATATAACCCTTCGTGCGCCACCCAGAAATCATTGCATATGCGGGAAAATCATTCACAGTCCACATAACTGTTGCCCATAAAGTGAACATCTTTCCAGTGGATTTATCGTACGTACGCACACTGTTTGTCCATAAATCCTTGAGCTCATCAACCAATGACCGTAAGTAAACATCGATTGGCCTGCCGGGATCCTCAATTATCAAAACAGTCATCATCATATATTCCTTTTTCATGCATTTCCAAGGCGGCAAATTATATGGGAATACAAATATCGGCCAAGTGCTGTGGTGTTGGTTTAAAACTACGGATTGAATCCGTCAGTGGCAAGTCTCAATCTAACATTTCGAGTATCGGCAGCAAACTCAGGGAACTCTTTCCATGCTTCCCTAGCTACAGGATGCCGCATCACATCGTCATCTACCCGTTTTTCCTTATGTCATCTCATATCTGTGGCAGTATGCGTCGACATATACAATCGATGCAACCTAGGTTTCAAGGGCAGATAACGCATGACTTTTTGTGGGATCTTAGCCATTCTATTCTGAGATGTTTTGAACCTCGACTTATTGCATATAGGGCATGTATCCAATGTTTCATACTCTTTGTAGAATAACATGCAATTATTTTTGCAAGCATGAATTTTTTCATAACCCAATCCAAGACCATTCAACACCTTTTGTGCCTGTCGGTGGTCTTTCGGCAAACAATTGTCTGTCGGAAGCATTCTCTTAAAAACCCCTAAAAAGTAATCGAAACACAGGTTCAACATACGATACTTTATTTTTCCGTGCATTAGCTCCACAATGGCCGTCAGAACAGAAAAGTTCTCGCACCCCGGATATAACAGTTTTTCATACTGTTCAAACTCTGCACTGTCCATTGATGTAGGCACGTCATCTTCTCCCCTTGATTGCTGCTGGTCGATGCAAATGGAAAAGCATCATTCAGAATATCCATGACTTGTTCATTAGGATCCACAATAGGTTCCACATTCTCCACACTTGTGGCCCTTGAAGAAGAAGCAATGTCTAATTGTTCCCCGTGATAGGTCCAAGTGCTATATGTCTCAATCATTCCATTCCTTACCAAATAAAATTGAACATTTTCAATTGTCTCCCATAACGTGTTGTTACACCTTCGATAAGGACAACGGATTCTAGTTGCACTCGGGTTGTGTGTCCGTGCAAAGTCAATAAAATCCTCAATTTCATCCAAATATTCATCTGTGCACCTATTCGGGTTCTGTATCCACCTCCTACTCATAATTCCTGGAACCACAATCACAATACAACAATCATGTTGTATTCGTACAAAATCATAATGTCACCTTATGCCTCCGGTAAGGGCCCTATCCTATTCGGGAATGCATAGTCATATCACATAATTTACGGCTACATGAAATTAGATTTCGACGTGGATAAATTTCGGCAGCATCTCGACACAGTTCTTGAGGTGTACCAAAGGTATAAAATACCTATTACCACCCGAAGAACATACCGAGATGACACCGAAATCTCCACAATCGAAATCTAATCCTATATCCATAAATTAGGCGACACGACTATGCATTCCCAAACTGTCCAAATAATGGGACAATTCAAGAATTAATTGGACCGCAGTCACGCTTTCGCATCCATGCGTGAAATCCAACTAACCTCGAACGGGAAACTAAGTTTGACTTAAAAAAAATGTACAAAGTTAATTTCAATTAACTTCGCACATCAACGTGCATAACTTTAACAATATAATATAAATATAATTTCACAAAACAATTTAAACAAAATGTAATCAGTTTTATATTTTAAATTATAAAACAACGAAAATACCTTATCAATTGTTCTCCTGTAATCGCTAATCATATATAATATTCCTATAGACAACAAAATTAACGGTGTCAGTATAAATTTACATTAAAACTTTTACACTAACGACAAAAAATACATACCCAACGAATGTAGCAGAAGCAGAGTTTGTTCAACTCATAAATGAAATGAAATTGACGAGTTTTGTTTGCTGAAATCGTTCAAGAGAGAGGGAGAGGCAAGCTGCAATTTTTTTTGCAATTTGTCTCTGAAATGGCTGAAACCGATAATGTAGACGATGAAGCTTTGTGCGACGAACATGGATTCGTCGCACTAAAACGAAATAGTCGTCACGCATAAACGTAATAATTTGCGTGACGAAAAAAATTCATCATCGTGCAAATTTCATTGCGCAACAGCTCATGTCGTCGCGCAACAGCTCATGTCGTCGCGCAATATTCCTATTTTCGTCGTGCAAGGTTTTGCCGACATCGAACTTTGCGTGACGACTAGAATATTTTTCGTCCCTCAAGTATTCGTCGAGCCAAGTCATCCTATCGTCGCGCCATTTGTCGTCGCGCAAGATGAAGGATCGCGCGACGAAAACCATTCGTCGTCAAATACCAAGTGCGACAAATGAGAATATCTCATCACGCAAGAATTTGCCGCCATTACCTAGAACCCGCCTTTTACTTTTTGCGCGACGCCATGAACTCTTGTCGCGCAAAGAGATCTTTTGCGACGACATCTATCGTGGCACAAGGTTTTGGCACCAAAAAAAAAGGTTCCCCGGTTTTTTCTCTATCTTTGTGTGATGATATAGTTTTTTGTCGCGCTAAGTGTTTTTGCGCGACTAAAGTTTATCGTCGCACGGTTTTGCGCTGCGCTTGTATGTGTTGTTGTGCAAGGTTTTTTTGCGCGACGAATTTGTCTTCGTCGCGCAAATACTAAAATGTAGTAGTGTAGGTTTTTTTGATAAGTAAGAAGTGAGTGGATAGAAAGTAGTCCACCCTGTTGGCTCATTCCCAGTTCTGCTCCATCTTTTTGCAGTTCCACTAGTAATGGTAGATAAGCTATTCGGAGATGAGCTAGGCTTCCAGTAGACTTCCTACTCAAGGCATGCACTGCAACATTACCTCTGCCAGGATGATACTCAATCGTACAATCATAGTCCTTAATCAACTCCTTCTAGGTGCAAAAGTACTTGAGGCTTAAGATCTAACATGTCTCACCCTACAAGTATTGTCGCTAAATTTTAAGGGTGAACACCACTGCAACAAGCTCCAAGTCATGGGTAGGGTAATTCTACTCGTACTTCTTGAGTTGCCTCGAGGCATAAGCAATCACTCAATCATGTTGCATCAATACGAATCCCAAGCCTTGTAATGATGCTTCACTGTAGATCACAAAATTCCCCGTGTTATCCGGAAGAGCCAAAACAAGTGCGGTAGTTAACTCCTTCTTCAGCTCTTAAAAACTCCGAATTCTACTCAAATTTGATAATTATAATAAAATACAAATTGTATACCTAATAAGAACAAATTCTATTCCTAATAGAAACTAACTCTATTCCTAATAAGAACATTGACTTTGACTCACACCAACACTCCCGCTCAAGTTGGTGCATAGATATCGGTAATGCCCAACTTGCCAAGTGAGTCTTCAAATCGGCGCTTTGACACAGCATGGGTCAATATATCTGCAAGTTGCTCCGAAGAAGGCATAAAAGGTATAGAAATTGACTTATGCTCTAGCTTTTCCTTAATGAAATGCCTACATGCTTAGTTCAATCATATTGCATCGGATTGTTAGCAATTTCAAATGCAGACTCACTATCACAGTGAAGCTTTGTAGCAGCATCTAGTCTAAACTCAATTTCAGCAAGTACAACCACAATATTTCACAAATCCCTTGGGCAATCCTTGGGTACTCAGACTCTGTAGGGGACAGAGATACTACGTTTTTCTACTTACTATGCTATATAACTAGGTTACCGCCTACAAAGTTGAAGTAACCTGATGTAGAATGTCTATCTGTATTATTCCCTGCATAATATAGGTTAGTGTAATCTTCTAGATCCAAGTGGTCATTTTTCTTAAATAATAAACATCTCATAGGAGCAGACTTTAAGTAACTCAGAATATACATCACATCAGCCATATGATCCTTACTACGTGAATGCATAAATTGTCTAGCAATGCTTATGACATAGGAAATATCAGGGCGTGTCAATGATAAATAGATCAATCTCCCAACCAACCTTTAGTATCTTTCTTTCTTAGTTGGGACCTGATCCACATAACTTCAACTTTATGATTCTCAACAATAGGTGTATCACTTGGTTTATAGTCAAACATTCCAATATCTGCTAGCAGGTCCAGCGCGAAACTTGAATTAGAGCCTCACATAATCTAATACGAAAATACTATAAATAAAAGTTTGTCATAACTTAATGTCATAAATAATTTTTTTATAACTAAAAGTCACCATCAATAAACATGTAATAACAATCAAATTCATAAAAATTTAAATGTTTCCATTTGATAAAGTTTTTCTAGAAGTTCATAATCAAGTTTTTCTAGAAGTTCACTTTCAATTGAAATCAAATTCCATTTGTTTAATGGGCAATCCTTTCTTTCACACATCATTCAACCTAGCAGCTCAACTTTCAAGACTATTAATTTTTTTATTATATTCTCTCTCCCCTCTCTTCCTTTTTCTGTTTAATGGGCAATCCTTTTCTTTCATCTTATATCTTCTTCCCCGCTGTTTTCTCTGGCTTTATTTTACAGGAGTTTACACACACGCACCCTCAAAATGTGTTGAACGAATTCCTTATTGAAAAGAGTTTTGTGGTTTATTTTCCATCTTCATAACATTTGGTCATTGTTGCTGTAAAATGCTAAGAAATTAGTGTCCATGAAATTTAATGATTTCAAACAGTGAAGGAAATATAGATTAATAAGCATTTTGTCAGTCTTTGTCTAATAAATTTAACGAATTAGACTTGGACTAAAGAATGACTTGTTAAAGTAGTTGGGGTTGTTAATTGTCAGTCTTTAAGTTCAATTTTTAATATTACCAAGTTGAAAATTAATCAAATTTAATTTAATTCTAAAACAATTAAATACACAAGCAATAAGTCGGGATTAAAAAAACCAAGGGTTGGATTAGCTTTTTCATCTTTTTCACACTTCTTGTGGGAACGACCTTGCACTTACACATGCTTATTGATTTGTGTTTATAAATTTAAAACAACACCTTCGGGTGACAAATAGTTAAGTACAAGTTAACACGGCGATAGTCTAGGTAAAACGTCATATTTAATGTCTACATCGGTCGCTTTATACCTAGTATCGTTATTTAGGGTTAAATGTTTACATAACTGAAAATAACATGTTTCATTAGACGATGTTTCTTAAGTTTGAGGTGTCGTGTTTTAAAAATGCCCCAATGGATCTCAAATTTTAAGGCGTTTAAGTTACTAATCCATGACTGTTTTCTATTACCGTCGTCTTTCTAAACACAATGACAGTATTTATTTCTTCCATCGTTGTTTTACTGTCGTCTTTTTTCATTTTGTAGTAGTGTTTAACCATTTAATGGTTTCTGAATTAACTTTCTTTATGCAAGTGTGCCACTGTTGGCAGATGATACCTTTACATATTTGAGTACTTGTTATACTTGTGCCTCAAGTAATAGACTTTGAACAAACGATTGTGATTTTGGGTAGGGAAACCTCCCAAGAGAGTTCTTTTCTTTGCCTCAGACTAGTGAGGACTTTATAATTTATCTAGACAGAAATGGTAAGCAAAGCAAAATACACTAATATATGGAAAACCTAATAAACAGATCCAAGCAGAACTGGATGAAAAACAAAGTATCAGATGAATCTCTATATCTAGGTAGTTCCCATAGATGTTGGACTTTGACTTCTGCTTAAGAACATAGTCACACTTATGACTTATGATCAGGTTGGACTGGACTTTTGTTGATTGGACTGAATGTTTATATACTGGAATTGCACGTTAGCACCTTCAACTAATATAGATTAGCTGGAAATCGATACCAAGTTTTGAGTTTGGCAGAGTTATAAACAAGTTGAGCCTGGAAGAGGCTGGTAAAGTGATCAGAACTACAGACGGGTACTTATTTTGGTTGATTCTGAGTGATCTAGAAGCTATCTAGACGACTTCAAGATATTAAGATGTCTATGAGAAATTTGTTGAGGTTTTCATATAATGATGACCTCATTTCTTCTTGTTCTTATCTAGTTTGCTGAACCAAATTTGTTAGAGAAATTAATCTCTTTTGAATTCTGCCTAATTTACCTTGCATGGATTGCGAGGGAAATCTTGTTTCCTTGTTGGTTTTCTAAACTTCTTCTCGAGCTGGATTGCTTTTGAGGGAAGATTGCTTGTGTGCTTTTGGTAACTGCAAGATCATATTATCTTTGATTTCTTTTGATCAATCTGGATTGATTGTTGAGTTTTTGTTTGATTGGTTTGTTGGTTGTGTCTTTTCTCCAGTCCAAGCACTCTCATATTTATAGGAGTAAATGTGATCCTAAAGAATCTGGATATTTTTAGTTTTGGACTATCCTTTGTTTAATGCATAAGTGACAGAAGTTTTGTCAGTTCAATGCATGATCACTCTTGGCATTCGCTCATCGCTCATCAATGTTCCTGAATGCCTCATGTTCGTTCCTTTTGCAACAACTTAGTTGAAGTGAATAATAATGCCCAACTTCTTCTAACATTGGTACCATAAATATCCCAATATCCTGGTGGCAGACAAAATCCGGCGATTTGCAATAAATAGACGTGACTTTTAACTAAAGCAAAACTGACCTTACATTCCAGCTTTTTAAGGTCATCAAATTTCTTTGAATTCTTTAATATTAATTTAATTATATTAATTATTTCAAATATTTACTTTTTAAATTTAATTTAATTGTATGATTTTTTTCGTTACTTTAATTTAAATTGATATTAATTTAATTATATTAATTTTTTCAAATTTTTACTTTTTAAATTTAATTTAATTGTATGTTATTTTTAATTACTTTAATTTAAATTGACATATTCAAAATAAAATTACATATGAAAAATAGTGATCAAATTATCCAATAAATATATATATAATATTCAAAATGTACACATAAATTAACAAAGTACAATAATAAAATCCTAATACAAGCGTATTGTGGTGGTAGTGGAGGAGGATATGTTTTGATAGCTTCCTAATCCTCAACTTTAGCCGTCAAAGTCTCGATGATTCCCTACAAAAAAAAAAAAAAAACAAAAGGGATAATCTCCCCTAAAATTGTTATACCACAAATCCAACCCAAACTCCAATCCCTCCCCTTTACTCAACCCCAAACCCCACACAAACTCAAAACTAACTCCAAAAACACATATTAATGAAAAAAATTTAAAATTTGGAGAGAATATACCTTTTGGCAAGATTGAGAGTGAGTGAGAATGAGAGAGAGAAGTGAGTGTGAGAGAATTAGAGAAGATAGTGATAGAGAGATGAGAGAGTGAGTGAGAGTGAGAGATAGTGAAAAGAGAGATGAGAAAGTGAGTGAGAGTGAGAGATAGTGAAGAGAGAGATGATGAGAGATTAAGTGAGAGGAGTGAGTGTGAGAGAAATGGTGGGATTTGGGGAGAGGGAAAGAGAGAGGAGAGGTAGGAGTAGAGAAAGACATTGAGAAAATGGTGGAGGAGTTATTTTCATTTTAAAAACCGTATCACTTTGCGCGACGAATTGTTTTTCGTTGAGCAAAGTGTTTGCGCGACGAATTGTCTTTTTGTTCTTTTCGTTGCTCGATCTTTGTATGTAGCGGGCAGAGCCCAAAACAAAGTCAAACAAGTTCAAGGCTTGATCCCAAATTCTTTCTCACACGCTTATCTTCACCAAGAATCACAACATATTATCAGGGATACAAGCTTCTTAGAAGTTACAACATTTCGAAAGTTTTATTATAGGATGCCAAACACATACATGGCATGGAAAATGCATACGAGCTTCTTAGAAGTTACAACATTACGAAAGTTATACATTACCACTTACACGTACCATCAAGAAGTTATGTCCATGATTTCACTTTCCTATCAAATATTCCTCTTCCAAGTAGAAGAATTTATGCCCTTGATTTCACTTTCCTGTCAAATATTCCTCGTCCATAAGTAGAAATGTACATCTCAACTAGAAGAGGAAATTGCATCCAAATAAATAAGGTGACTGGAACACTAGCAACGACAATCATTGGAATAACAATCCACAATTGTTCATGGATCATAATGAAAAGGGCGGAAGAAAAGGCAACCATCATGGTGGCAATAGAGATGAATAAGGTGGAAAGACCTATTATCATCTTTGTTGGTAAGGATTTGAGGAAATCATCTTCCGCATAACGTGATGTAAGGATTCCCAAAAACATCAACACCGAAGTTGTGGAAGAAAAGAGGGATATAGCATCTGAAACTATAAAAGCCATAAACAACTTTTTATGCAGGAATATTGGGAAGCCTGTTTGTCCATTGTTTCCACCGGGAATTGTGAATGCTGCAGCAAACATGATGGTAATAATGAGAGCACCTACAACTGTACATGAAGATGCAGTTTCTTTCATCCATCTTTCTCCTTCCTTCGCCAATTGGTTGTGATTCTTGGTAAACATCTCACGTGGCATCTTATGCTCCTTATTTAAAGATTCTTTAACCAAGGGTACTACAATATTCTCGACCTTCTACATTTTGTTGAACAAAAGATTCATATGAGTATCAGAGTTTATTATTCTAATTTCCAACAAACTCTTGAATTTTTTAAATTTTATGGGCCATATGTAAGACATTGCATCGTCTTAATCCACTTATAGATGGTCTTCTAATCACATTGGGTTTACAGCTTTGGTGTTAGTCAAGAAATAGGATTAGAGCAGATCTGCAGTTCTAGTTAAAGTGCAATATTAATTGGATAACTAGAACCTTGAGAATTCCTAATCACATATGGATTGAAACACTTATTCCTAATGCAATCAGGATAGGATCAGGTATTCTTCGATGGGCAAAATACCTGAACCTAATGCATATAAATAGCAGCCCCTTCCCTAGCAGTTAAACACTCTCAAAAGCAATCTCACCCCATCCAAGAAAGAGATAAAGAACTGCATAGGTGAAGAAGGCTTCTATACAAATCCTAAGCTACCATGTCAGACCAAGGTTAGTATTTAAGATTCAAAGACAAGAAAGAACTTACACCATATAAACCTAAACCATTAGAGAACAGAGAAGACAATTTAACTCCTTCTATGTTGCATTGGTTTTCGACTAGAAAATGCATTCGATGCTCCTTTAAATTAAGTAATTGAAACATTAGTTTTCAATATTGGAATGAATAAATTTAACTCTGCTGACGACTTGTTTACACTTTTTTGTAACTAAAAACGAACCCATTTTAGCCAACAATTTATGTTAGAAACTAATTCCCACAATTTCCAAACAAAAATGGTCTTTAGAATATATATATATATATATATATATATATATTGGAAACTAATTAATAAGAGGGAGAAAAAAAACTAACACTGAATTATATGTTCTGACCTTGAACCATTGTAGTTCTCTCTGCATTTTCAAAGCTGCACCTGAGATATTATCGAGCCTTGCGAATGGTGAAAGCGTCCCTGCCACATGTAGCGCGCAATTGTTATCCCCATCTACAATATTTCCAATCGCAGTTCTTCGTCTTTTACTGAGTTTATAATAAAAAAGGTTATAAACTTTTTCTTGACGACTTTCAATGGCAAACTGAAAGAGGTTCCTTCCCATTGAATTACACGCCCACACGAGATTTGGTCTTGCTTGCAATACACGGTCAATAAACTCAAACATTCCTAGCGCGGTAGCTCCGAAAACTGCTGGAATGAGAAAGTCGTTGCCAATTTCAGACATATTATCTTCATGTTCTATCACTTCACACATATTATCTAGGAGTTCAAGGGCTTCAATATGGGTCAATTTCATTTCTCGTAGGCGTTTGATTCCTAAGTTGGCATTGGAAAAACATGTCATATGACTAATTCAAGGAAAAAAAAATAAAAAACTTTTAAAACAATTAATGGAGAACAAAGGAAATATGGAAACAATGTAGCATACCCAAAATTTCAAGGAGATTTGTGTTCAGACCTTGCAAGAAACCTAGCACTGCAATGGAAATTCAAAATCCAAACACATGATGGGGGTAGCTGTATATATCTCTGTTAATTAGATGACAAAATGGGTGCAGAGCAACGTTCAGATGGTAATAGAATCGTTATGATCAACTAGAGATTCAAAATGAAAAGGTCCCTAGTTCTTGAAGCAGAAGCTAAGTTTCGTCAACTTTCTCCAATTTCTAATCCCTTTTTAAATCTAATTCTAAGAAATGAATGAGTGATGGTTGACCGACAAATGTTTTAAAAAATTTGCCTACTGTTAGTGCGAGTCCACTAGACAAGAATTCTATAGTGAGGTCCTTAGATTAAGGCACTCACTATAGGATGACTCCTCCACTTCATGTTAGTAGGGGGCTGTATAAAATAGCCCACTAGATGTGGCATCCAGAACCACCCAAAATGAGGCTGTGGGTCAGAGTTGGATTTTCCTGAGAGTCGGTTGAGGTGCAGGGCCCCAAGGGCGGAACCAGAAATTTTTCAATGGGTGGGCTAGCTAAAGTTATTAGCTTAAAATTATTGGAAATTTTTCAGTGATTCACCTCTGCATGACATTCCTTTTTGCCAACGCTTCATCTACTTTGCATTGGAAAGTATTTGAGCACTGTGTGAATCTGGACACACTTTCAAGCTATTCTTGGGCAAGAGCTGTTTCAGCCTACATGAATGAATCCTTGGTCCCAAAAGAAAAAGCAAAAGCAAAGAAGGGAGGAGAAGGCTCTATAGGAGCTGTTTCGGGTTGCATTATCCTAATATTGGTAAGTAAATAGTGGCTTATGCAATGCATTTTGAGTTTTAGGCAATGCAGTTTTCCTTTAGTGCAATGCAGTTTCTGTTTTATCCTAAGCAGTTTCCAACCTAATTTATGATATATCTTGTTTTTGAACTGTGCAGTTTCTACTGTGTGAGAGGACAAACATAATACAACCAATCCTGGACAAGGAGAAAGAAACTCCTGCCATTCTTAAATGGAGTCTTGTGGAACTCCACACAAGATTCAACCAAATAAAGGACTTGAATGACATCGAGGTATGCAATTTATCGCATGTTCTACTTTAATGTATATTGAATGTGAATTCATGCTAAATCATTCTCATTGTACAGGGTATTTTCAAAACTCCTAAAAAGCGAAAAACTACCAGGGAAGAGGAAGACACTGTTGACAAGGTAATTAAAATCTATATACAGTGCATTGTAGTTTGTGTTTTCTACATTGCAGTTTGTATTTTATCCAATGCAGTTTTTGAATCATTCAATCTCATTGTACAGGGTATTTTGAAAGCATATAAAAAGAGAAAAACTACCAGAGAAGAGGGAGACCCTCTTGACAAGGTATAAGAATCTCTAAACAGAGAATTATGCATTGCAGTTTCCATTTCCTCCAATGCAGTGCAGTTTCTAATTAGTTTCCGTTCAATATGCAGAAAAAAGAAAAAGAAGATGAAGGACAACAAAGAGAAGCAGAGGAAGCAGAAGACCAAGGAAAACCTGATAATGCTGATCAAACTCCAGAATTAAAAGAGGATGGAAAGAAGAAAATGTTTGAGAATGAAGCTGGAAATGAACCTCTTGCAATTCAAGACCTCTTGGTGAAGTCCATGACAGACCAAATCAACTATCACCAACGTCAAGATCCTAGCTTCATTTGCCCAGAAAGATTACAACTGTGGAAGGATGAAAAAAATGAAGACAGTGAGAAGAAAATGAAGGAATTGTGGGATATATTTATCCAAGGAGAAAAGAGATCAAAGGAGCTGGAAGCGAAGTTGGCAACATACGTAGAGAAATTAGATAATGAAGAATATGTGACTGCCACCATGACAGTGGAATCTACAGTTCAGCTTCAGGAAATACAAAATCTAAAAAGGAGGATTGCAGAATTGGAAGGCAAGGAAACTCGTATTGACATGGAGAAGATTGCCAAGAAAAAGGAGATTGAAGAAAAGTACAAGGTAGAAATTCAAAGCTTGTTGTCAGACCCAACAGTCTTTGAAATGGAGATGGATCTGCCTACAACACAACCAACACAACCAGTTGAAGAGCAAGAAGAAGAAGAAGAAGAGAAAGAAGAAGACAAGAAAGAAGAAGAGAGGCAACAAGAAGAGAAAGAAGAAGAGAAGAAGCAAGATGCTCCAACACCTGATGTTCCTTCAAGAGTACTAAGGCTGAAGAATAGAGAAAGAAAAAGGCTTCAAGCATCTTGCTATGTGTACGAAAAAAATAAGAAGCCAAAAAGAAGGCAAAAAAGGATGATGAAGAACTACCACAATTCAAGCTTATCTCTTCCGAGGAGCAATCAACACAAGAGGATCCTCAAAATCAGAAGGTGGTATGCAATTACTGCAGTTCAAGCTGCTGCTTTTTCTGTTTTCTGCATTGCAGAAAATAGAAACTGCAATGCAGTGTGTTATCTACTTTACAGAAACGGAAACTGCATTGCAGTTTCTGTTTTATCAAATGGAGTTTCTAATTAGTTTCCTTTCAATCTGCAGTTAACACAAGAGGCATCTCAGCCCGATGCCACAAATCCAATTCCTGATCCCCCAAAAGGAACGAGCCTTCATGATTCAATACCTGTAGGTATGCAAGAATCAAATGATGAAGATGAAGGACAAAAAAAGCCAACAAAGAAAAAACTAGGATGGGGTCAAAAGAAGGTTTGGCAGAAAATTCCAAAGGAGGACAGGGACAGAATTCAAGAATACTACTTAAGTACTCAACCTAGGTAATATCTCTATTCCAAAAGAACAACTCTTTCATCTTTTAATTACAATAAACTAAAACTAATCTTGTGAATTTCATGTATTCGAATCCGCAGTGATAACTTTTGGGCAGGACTCGATAATGAGAAAGTGACAAACCATGATATCAAAGATATTGTATGGGACCTGGAACTGTCACAAAACGTAAGTATAAAATACTAATTCTATAACACACACTGCACTGCATTTTTTATTTGTGCTACCTATATTACCCGTTAATAATTCCATTTTTCTCCAATAAATGTGAAACAGGTTATTGAGGCTTATATCCAAATAGAGGAGGAGAAAATGGGGCCCATGCAGACAGATAGTCCACAGTACATGTCTACATGGACTTGGGTAAGAATTATTTTGAAAATTCAAAGTTGTTTAAACAGACACGGCACTGCAGTTTTCGAAAAATATATACTAACAAATTGCCATTCAATGATAGCAGGCTTACATGCAAACCTTTCTAGAACCAAATTGGCATAGGGCCCTGTATGAACACTTACTTGAAAAACTCGGGAAATGCAATGTTCTCTTCTTCCCGATCATTTCAAGTTCTGAGTTCCACTTTACACTTCTCACATTTCACAAAATTGAACGAAAGTGGAGACACTACAATCCACTTAGATCGTTGGGATCTAGAAAAGAAGAAAAGTGTATTGACATTGCTCAAAATTTTGTAAGTGGAATGAAACTGTCTTAATTTCTCAGCACAAACACAAACAGAAACTGCAATGCAGTTTCTGTATTATACGTACTGCTTAATTTCGGACCAAAACTATAATATGCAATGCACTGATTACCATTTCTTTTTCTCTTTTTTTCTTCTTCTTTAAACAGGTTAATATTGTGGAAGGGTGGCTAGAATATATCAGACCACAAGCACAAGAGTTCTTAGAAACTAAAAAAATACCAAACCTTGTGAAGCAAAAAGAAGGGCCCCCTACACCTGCACAGGTTGATTTGTCCCCAAATGAAGAACTCACTCTAAATTGGATTCTGCAAAATCCATATCAGTTTCCATTTGAGGATGACACAGAATGTGCTCAACAAAATTCATCTTCGTAAGAATTGTGTCTACTCAACCATTCATTACAATTTGAAATCATTCAAAAACCAAAGCTAATCTCGTATTCATTTGCAGGTTGGATTGCGGCATGTTCGTCATGTTCTACATGGATAAAATAGCACAAGGACAGCCCATTCCAAAAAGTGTGGACAAGAATTTCATGAATGAATATCGAGCACAATATGTCACAAAACTCCTACACCACAAACACTGTGTAATTAATCGTCTCTAGTGATTTGCCTTTCGTTAACTCAAGACAATATGTATCTTAATTCTTGGGGATGTTTGTAAATATTTCTAGTTATGGTATATGAGAACATATTTCCTATACATATAAACTGTAATATAATCTTGGAACAGGATGCAACAAAACGAAAGGGAAACAACAAACTGCACTGAATTTTCTGGTCAAATATTGCAACAAATTAAAACTGCAGTGCAGTTTATATAAATAAATAAATAATCTGCTCAAAAAATGTGAAAAGAACCTAAGAGCCAAAGCCATAATCAAAGTCCTTTGTTCAAAACACATTTAAGTAGGTCAGCAGTTGTAACATTCCAATATACTTGCAAAAATTATTCTGAAATTGAATTATCGAACAAGAAACTGCGCTGCAGTTTCTGGTGAAAATTTGCACTGCTGCTCAAAAGGTAAAGGCATAATCAAAGTACTAAAACTAATATCAAAACACATTTAAGTAGGTCAGCAGTTGTAACATTCCAATGTACTTGCAAAAATTATTCTGAAATTGAATTATCGAACAAGAAATTGCGCTGCAGTTTCTGGTCTCGAACAAGAAACTGCGCTGCAGTTTCTGGTCAAAATCTGCACTGCTGCTCAAAAGGTAAAGGCATAATCAAAGTACTAAAACTAATATCAAAACACATTTAACTCCATGAGCAGTTATAACATTCCCATAGACTAGCAAAAAGTATTCTGAAATTGAATTATGGGACAAGTTCTGTTCAAAATCTGCAACAAATAAACGGAAACTGCAGTGCATTTTCTGCAACAAAATCTGCTCAAATATGAAAACAAGCATTCAATGGCAGTCAAAAACGAATATCCACTCATGAAACAATTGTATAATTTTCATTAACTTCAAAAAAGAATCATAATATCCAATTAGAAGCTGTGTAGCCAATTAAAAGCAACTAAAACTGCAATGCAGGTTTTGCAAAAAGTGCAATGCAAAAACTGACTATACATTCACTAAACCATATCTAACGTAAGCAATCGTCAACTGAGAAGGAATGTTCATATCACAGCCTTGCAAGTCTTCCTATTATGCCCAGTAACACTACACCGACTGCATTTCAATGGCCTTTTAAATTCACCAAAAGCTTTGATCCTCTTTGTTGGTGGTCTTCCGGCTGGCCTCTTTGTAATTGGCGGAAGCACAACTCCAGCTGCAAAACGGTTGCTGCCCAAGCCTTTCCCAATATTTGGAATAGGAAAAATAGGACTCTCATAGGCTTTTCGAAAGAAGTCAGTCCTATAGTAACACTCCACGTAATCATAAATTGAATCTTTCTTTGCTAGAATTGCAGCTACCGCATGCGTGCAAGGAAAACCGTCAATTTGCCAAAGACGGCAAGAACAAGTCATTTGCTCAAGATCAACCATCACAGAATAATCAGCAAATACTTCAAAAACAGTGAAACTAGAACGACGAACTACCCAAGTCCTACCGGCCTCCGCATTTTCCCACAGTCTAGTTTCCATCTCCGGACACAAAATTGTTGTCCACTTCTCCGCTTCAATTCGTCGTTGAGAATTCAATACCATCAATTTCTGTCGAATCCCTTCTATCAAAGGTAGCACCGGCAAATCTCGAAACACACCAACCCAATTATTAAATGACTCCGCTAAACTATTTGCCATCTCCCCATACCGCATTCCTTTGAAATATGCGTTCGCATAGTGATCTCTAGACAAATCAGATATAAATGTCTTCACTTTCGAACTCCCAACAATCCCCAACTCCCCCATTGCTACCGTAAACTCTTCCTCTGTAACAGCATATGCGCACCTACTAAATAAATTGATAACACGGTCTTGGAGCAATTTCCCATAACCTGACTTCGGGTACTTCGATATCAAATTCTGTTTGAGGTGATAGTAACAGTAAGAATGAGGCCATCCAGGAAACACAAACCCCATTGCATTTAACAAACCTTGATTGCGATCCGAGAAAAAGGTCACCACTCTCCCCATTGGTAGCAAAATAGAAGCCAAATGTTGAAGAAACCAAGTCCAATTCTCCTCCGTCTCAGAATCAACAACTCCAAAAGCTAGAGGATAAAACCCTGCAAAACAAAACCAAAAGCGAAAGTATAAGCAAAAAGGGAAATTGCAGTGCAGTTTTTGAAAACAAATCTACTCAAATTTGAAAGGAAACCAAAAGGCAAATCCATGATCCAATTACTAACACATTTAAGTTCATGAGCAGTTGCAACATTCCCACAGACATACAAAAATTATTAAGAAAATCGAATTATGAAACAAGAAACTGCAATGCAGTTTCTGCTAAAAAATTGCAACAAATGGAATCTGCAATACATTACAGTAACCATACCTTGATTTCCATTCTTTCCGGAAGCACAGAGAAGCTGCCCCTTGTACTTGCTCTTCAAAAACGTAGCATCAACGAACAACAAGGGTATGCAATATTGAAATCCAGCAATGCAACCGCCAAACGACACAAAAAACCGTCTAAAGCGATTAATTCCAGCTTCACATTCAAGAGTGCAGAGAGAACCAGGGTTAGTTTCCTTTACGACGTCCGCATACCACACTAACTCGTTGAAGGACTTCGACTCATCACCGTGAACGTTCAATTTAGCTAACTCTTTGCCAAACCATGCATGGTAGTATGAAATGTCTATACCATAATAATCTTTGAACTCGTGTATAATCTCAACTGGCTTCAGCTCTGGTTTTGCACGAATTCTGTCCACAATGAGGGAGGACACCACACGAGACTTCATCATCTTACTCTTTGATTCCCGTATCCGACCCACACATGTATGCACATTATTTAATGTCCGAATTACAAAACAGCCAGTAGCTTCACAACGAGAAGCATAAACACGCCAGCTACAACCCTCCAATTTCTTATTCTAACAAATAGCAACCACCCGCTTCTTGTCATTGCCGGCATATAAAAAATTAAATCCTACTTCAAGAGTGTACTTGCACAATTTCAAACGGAACTCCTCTGCACCACCGTCAAACTTCTGCCCTACATGATGTATGTACATCTCCCACTCATTCGACAACAAAGGCTTAGCACTTGCTCTCTTCGACCTGCCCAAAAATTCATTTCTGTCTTCGACAGTACTAGAACACGACGACTCGCCCTTTTCACATGCTATCAAACTCCTTATTTACACAAAAATCACCACTATATTCACTGCTCCCGCATAAATCCTTCACTAAAATATCAACACTCTTCTCATTTGATACAAACAAAAATGTCCTCATCATGTCCAAATCGTTATCCGTTTCTAGAAAACAACTCGGATAACTGGGCAGCGAATACCGTAACGTAAAACAACCCAACTGCAAACCCTTAAACCTTAGACACAAAGTCTTCAAAATATCAACCATGGATGACTCTGATGAAACTGAAAACATAATGGTTTCCGACTTATATGTGCACTTGGCAATGACACACACCTCCATTAGCCTTGAAAATGCAAACAAAACAACAAACAAAACAGAAAACAATTTAAATCAGTAAATAATGTACATGAGCAGTTGTAAAATTCCAATAGACTTCCAAATATTAGTCTGAAATCGAATTATGAAACAAGAAACTGCAGTTTCTACCAAAACTACAACAAACAGATGTAGTTTATGACAGAAAATCAAAACAATTCGAATAGAAACCAAAAGGAAACCACGATAAAAGTACTAAAACTAAATTCCATAAACATACAAGTCGATATAAACGAAAACAGGTTCTAAAGTACTCATACCTCAAAACTTAGGACTGCCAAAAATCTCCACAACCAAACAGCAGCTTAAAATCAAATCTGATCACGAAACGAAGAATATAGGGTTTAGCATTGAACACCACAAGATCGCGCCGCAAAATCGAGCCACAAAACTGAGCTCGAAATACCCGAACTAGGGAGAACAGAAATCACCCAAAACTGACAGTCATTCAGCATGCAAATCGAACGAAAACGTAGCAGAAAAACGAAGAAAATAAAAGCAAAACCTACCAGAAAATTGAGCTCCAATGGCAGAACCCAGCTCTGAAACGAAGAAGAAAACGAACGAAAAAGAAAAGAAACTCGCGCATCGTTTAAACGTTCAGAGGCAAAAGCGTCATTTAATTTGTAGGTTTACAGATGGGCCAGGTTTTTTAAGAGAAAAGGGTAGAATTGTCTTTTCATTTGTTATTTTTAAGCTGGCCCAACGAATCTGGGCCAGCCTTTGGCCTAATCTAAAATAGCTATTTTTCTTAAGTATTAAAACCCAAACTAAAATACCTAATATCTCACTTACTAATTAGTAAACTTAATTATGTCTAATACCTAATTTTCCCTATATTCATTTACACTCCCATTGCGGATGATTCCGATGACAATGGGTGTATATTTAACATACATCCCATTATACACCCCTACTGTGGATGCTCGGGAGAGGTTTTACAATTTCTGTTTTATTTACTATACCTACTTGAGTGAGGAACCACTTGTTAAAGACTTGTTAAAGCAAAGGGGGTCCGAGAAGGGTGGTGAGGATTATGTGACTTACCATTTGCTCAAAATCTGCGCCATATATATATATATATGGAAACGTGAATGGAAAGATCGTGTTGCAACTTGCACAATTATTAAAGATTCCCCATCTCCGGAGCCTCATTTTGCAAGACCAAGACTTTAAGATAATCTTCGAGTTCCGAGATCCAGTAAAGCATTATTTTACTATTGCTACGGTACAGAGGTTTTACCATGGTGGCGCCTTTGACTTGTGATAGAATTTTTAGTACTTGTGCAAATAGGGTTAAAACCACGTAAAATACTTGCAAGAATACAAGGCTATTGTAGTATAGATGTTTATGCAAGGTCGTTTTCCACAAGGACTATTTAGCCATTTATGTGAAAATAATTTCCAATTTATTACCTAAAATTAAAAGTAGAGAAAGATGAATATGAACTTGTGTGATACTAAAAACAAATTTAAACAAAAACAAATACGATTGGAAGAAAGAGTTTTGAATATCAATGTATGAAAGCACTAGGGTTTCACCGTCACCTAGCAATCCTATGAATTTTTACCAATTACTTATGATTTGCGCATGCCACTTTGAAGGTTAGGTTTTCCTAATTTATATTATACTTGGAACCTCCAACATAGAACGTATATCTAACATGCAACCTGTCCGGACGTTCGGATCAAATCTGAATATGAAAGACTCATTAAGTTTTGTGAAAACCCTTTGAAAAACCATGCAACCCTTAAGAGTGTGATGTTTGCCTTAAGTGAACTTACAATTATTAATCACAAGAAGCTAGCATCAATTTCAGGGAACCTTTCGACCAAAATTGCATCTAATTACTTTTCTAAAGATCTTAATGGTGATCAGGCATTAAGACAATTAGATAGTTTAAAACAGTGATTAACAATTCAAAGTATGCATGCACTCAATCATAAGCAATTAAATAAAAATCACATATTCATGCTAAGGTTCAAGGCTTCACCCTATCAAAAGAGAATTAGTTACACATAATCATAATTGAAATCCAAGAAAATATCATTCGAATGAATAAGAATGAAAACACCTGAAACTAGCGAAAATCCAAATCCCTAGCAGTTGCTCCCAAAGCCAAAAAGAAGTCAAAAGGGAGTCCTTCAAATTTCTGTGAAAAGGAGCTTAATTACCTCCTAAAACCTAGCTACCCAATCCCCACAAGGAAACTAAGTTAAAATAAAAAAAGACTAGGAAATAAAGTCCAAATTGGATTAGGAGAATCTACCCATAATCTGCCCAGCCACGTTTTGGTCTCAAATCTCCTCCAAATCTGGCCCAATATAGCTCATTTCAAAGATAAAAATATTCCAAACACTTCTCCAGAAGGCCACGAACCCATCCGAGGTCATCCTGGGCTCCAAAAATGCAATACAAGCCCAAAACATCACTATTCCAGCACTGCACATCGCTCCTTCATTTATTCACCAGAAAATCATCGCTTAGTGGAAAAGTCTGATATTTTGATATGATCAAGCTAAGTGACTCACGTATGTCCTCCAACTAGAATTACTCCAAAATTCGTCCATTTGATTATGTTTTGGTCCAGAGGAAGTCGAAAGACCTATATTGGAAATATAATTCAAAGTATCAAAATTCTTCTATAATATTAACCAAAATATACTAAGAATAAGGTTAAATATATAATATAAAATCGACTCATGAACTTGATTTGTTCGTTGCTCGATCTTTGTATGTAACGGGCAGAGCCCAAAACAAAGTCAAACAACTTCAACACTTATTTTCTTTTCTCACACGCTTTTCTTCACCGAGAATCACAACATATTATCCAAACACGAGCAAATAAAATAGATATTGAACTTTCAGTTGTATTATAGGATGCCAAACACATACATGGCATGGAAAATGCATACAAGCTTCTTAGAAGTTACAACATTACGAAAGTTATACATTAACACTTACACGTACCATCAAGAAGTTATGTCCATGATTTCACTTTCCTATCAAATATTCCTCTTCCAAATAGAAGAATTTATGCCCTTGATTTCACTTTCCTGTCAAATATTCCTTGTCCATAAGTAGAAATGTACATCTCAACTAGAAGAGGAAATTGCATCCAAATAAATAAGGTGACTGGAACACTAGCAACGAAAATCATTGGAATAACAATCCACGATTGTTCATGGATCATAATGAAAAGGGCAGAAGAAAAGGCAACCATCATGGTGGCAATAGAGATGAATAAGGTGGAAAGGCCTATTATCATCTTTGTTGGTAAGGATTTAAGGAAATCATCTTCCGCATAACGTGATGTAAGGATTCCCAAAAACATCAACACCGAAGTTGTGGAAGAAAAGAGGGAAACAGCATCTGAAACTATAAAAGCCATAAACAACTTTTTATGCAGGAATATTGGGAAGCCTGTTTGTCCATTGTTTCCACCGGGAATTGTGAATGCTACAGCAAACATGATGGTAATAATGAGAGCGCCTACAACTGTACATGAGGATGCAGTTTCTTTCATCCATCTTTCTCCTTCCTTCGCCAATTGGTTGTGATTCTTGGTAAACATCTCACGTGGCATCTTATGCTCCTTATTTAAAGATTCTTTAATCAAGGGTACTACAATATTCTCGACCTCCTACATTTTGTTGAACAAAAGATTCATATGAGTATAAGAGGTTATTATTCTAATTTTCCAACCAACCCTTGAATTTTTAAAATTTGATAGGCCATATAAACCTAAACCATTAGAGAACAGAGAATACAATGTTGATGATTAGAGAGTACTACCTTTATTTCTATTTTTCTTGTCATTCTACATTTTTTGTTTCTATAGGCTAGTTTAACTCCTTCTATGTTGCATTGGTTTTTGACTAGAAAATGCGTTCGATGCTCCTTTAAATTGAAACATTAGTTTTCAATATTGGAATGAATAAATTTAATAGTAAATTGAGCTTAGACCCATAAAATTCATTTTAAATCACCTACAACCCTTTCCTTTAGTTTTCTATTTAAAATACCCAATTTTTTCAAATAATACCCGATGACTAGGTTCAACTAAGGAAGTTACCTAATATAACTAAAAATCTGATTTATTATAATTTTAGGATTCCAAACCCTAACCCTATTTTTGGGGTTTGGGGATACCCGTTCAATTTGGAAATATCTCAAAATAGTTGTAAAGGATGTAGGAACCAATTTAGAAACTTATTTGAAATTAAATATTAAATTCCACATTAAAGTATTAGTAATCTATTTTTGAATTAATGGTGTTTTCCTTCTATGAATTACAACTAGTAATCTATTTAAAGTATTAATAATTTAAATTCAATATTAAATTTAGGAATTAATGTTGTTTTCTTTTTATGAATTATACTACCAGTATTCTTTTTATTATAGTTTTATGAATAATAGTGTACATTTTAATTATGTTAAAAAATAATTTGATAATCTATTTATTATTTTGTTTTTAAAACAATTTTTTAATGAACCTATATTTTCTCTATTAGAGAACAGAGAATACAATGTTGATGATTAGAGTACTACCTTTATTTCTATTTTTCTTGTCATTCTACATTTTTTGTTTCTATGTTGCATTGGTTTTCGACTAGAAAATGCTAGTTTAACTCCTTCTATGTTGCATTGGTTTTCGACTAGAAAATGCGTTCGATGCTCCTTTAAGTTAAGTAAATTGAAACATTAGTTTTCAATATTGGAATGAATAAATTTAACTCTGCTGACGACTTTTTTACACTTTTTTGTAACTAAGGAAATGACTCATTTTAGCCTCAACAATTTATGTTAGAAACTAATTCCCACAATTTCCAAACAAAAAATGGTCTTTAATATATATATATATATATATATATATTGGAAACTAATTAATAAGAGGGAGAAACAAAACTAACACTGAATTATATGTTCTGACCTTGAACCATTGTAGTTCTCTCTGCATTTTCAAAGCTGCACCTGAGATATTATCGAGCCTTGCTAATGGTGAAAGCGTCCCTGCCACATGTAGCGCGCCATTGTTATCATTATCTACAATATTTCCAATCGCAGTTCTTCGTCTTTTACTGAGTTTATAATAAAAAAGGTTATAAACTTTTTCTTGACGACATTCAATGGCAAACTGAAAGAGGTTCGTTCTCTTTGAATTATACGCCCACACGAGATTTGGTCTTGCTTGCAATACACGGTCAATAAACTCAAACATTCCTAGCTCTGTAGCTCGGAAAACTGCCGGAATGAGAAAGTCTTCGCTATCTGAATGTTTTGTCACTTCACACATATTATCTAGGAGTTCAAGGGCTTCAATATGGGCCAATTTCATTTCTCGTAGGCGTTTGATTCCTAAGTTGGCATTGGAAAAACATGTTATACAACTAATTCCAGAAAGAAAAAAAACTTTTAAAACAATTAATGGAGAACAAAGGAAATATGGAAACAATGTAGCATACCCAAAATTTCAAGGAGATTTGTGTTCAGACCTTGCAAGAAACCTAGCACTGCAATGGAAATTCAAAATCCAAACACATGATGGGGATAGCTGTATATATCTCTGTTAATTAGATGACAAAATGGGTGCAGAGAAACGTTCAGATAGTAATAGAATCGTTCTTGAAGCAGAACCTAAGTTTCGTCAACTTTCTCCAATTTCTAATCCCTTTTTTAAATCTAATTCTAAGCAATGAATGAATGATGGTCGACCGACAAATATTTTAAAAATTTTGCCTACTGTTAGTGCGAGTCCACTAGACAAGAATTCTATAGTGAGGTCCTTAGATGACTCCTCCACTTTATGTTAGTAGTGGTCTGTATAAAATAGCATCCAGAACCGCCCAAAATGAGGCTGTGGGTCAGAGTTGGATTTTCCTGGGAGTCGGTTGAGGTGCAGGGCCCACAGTTCATGTAAGTTCATACCACGTTAGTGTAGATTGGTTTCCTTCGATTGTCTTCAAACCTATGCAATGATAAATTCTTATTTGTATTTAATTTATTTTTTTTTCCCAAACCTTCCTGGGCTACAGCCAAGGGTGGCTCTTGCCTTGGTTCCGCCCATGCAGGGCCCACATAAACCAAATATTGACTTTTTGGACAATAGGTCTCTTTTGTCATGCTTTTTATACTTGCATTAACATGACACAGTTCATGTAAGTTCATACCATATTAGTGTAGATTGGTTTCCTTCGATTGTCTTCAAACCTATGCAATGATAAATTCTTATTTGTTCATCAACATTACCTATTCTTCACTATACTTAATGCAAGAAAACAAACAAATTGGGTGTAGTATTAGAAACTATAAGAACAGTTTGATAACATATGAAAAAATGATTTCCATTTTGCCAAATAAAACCCCAGTCTTACATTTAAGTCGTAACATACCTGACCAAGCGATCTTTGTTCGATTATGTTCTTCATTTCCTTCATTTTGAACACTTACACGAATATCATTGATGGCGCAATCTATGTGTATACCTTTCAAAAAAATTACAGTAATTAACCTCAATCAATATATTTCGAATAACTATTTCTATTACAATTATGGATATCTCTTGTCATAATCTATTTCAATATATATGTTGTATATGCATGTCCCCTCATGGGGTTGAGATCTGATGTCCCCAAATTTCATGTACCCTGTATAGTATTTTGACATTTGTCCAAACCCTTAACTGAACTTTAACTCTGTTAAGCTTTATTATTTTTAAAGAGTGCTGCTATTTCCACTCACATGTCCAAACACTCATCAATCTAAGGCCCAGTTTGGAATTGCTGTCACTTTTTAAAAAAAAAGTTGTTTATGTTGTGATTTGAAAATAATTAGCTGTAAAGTAAAGCAGCTCCATGTTTGGGAAACAATATTTTTAAAGTGCTGTTAGTACAAAAAGCAGTGTCAAAACCATTTGGTAAATTTTAATATAAAATTGTTGTAACTGTGAATAATGATAATAGACATAATGTTGAAAGTGTTATGTACTAATCATGTGGTGGTAATGGTGATAATAGAGTGGAGGTGGTGGTGAAATAGATGGAGGTGAAGGTGGTAGTGGGAATGAAGGTGGAGTTGGTGGTTGTAGTAGTGGTGGTGGTGGTGATGGCAGTGTGGTGGTGGCAATGGTGGTGGATGTGGAGGTGGTGGTGGAGGTGGTGGCCGTGGCGGAGGATGTGGTAGTGGAGGCGGTGAATGTAGTGGTGGAGTTGGATGTGGAAGTGAAGGTGCCATTTTTTAAAATGAATGATGGTATTTTGGGAATTAAAAAAAATTCATTAAAGGTTCATCTTTGCTTCTTTTGAAAGCACTTTTGAAAAGCAACCCAGAGCCTACTTTTAAAAGTTGTTGTCAAAATGCCATTGCTTTTAAAATAATCGAGATATTTTATTTTTACCAAACACCTTAAACTGCTTAACTGTAAAGTGAAGCAGGTTTTTGGCCAAAAAAAGCAATCACAAACGGGACCTAAGTGAAGGGTCATTAGCCTAGAGTTATCAACTAGGTGAAGTAGCCAATAGCTACATCACTAGGAGGCCAATTAGCCTAATTCTATGTACCTAAGGCGTTGTACTATTGTTCCAATTTTCCTAAACACATAAACCAACAATAGTATCAGAGTATCACATCACATTCTAAATTGTAATTGTAAGAGGAAAAGAAAATGTGGACACTAACTATCATAGATCCATTGTTGCCAGAATTTGAGGCGTGTTCCACTCGGAAATGCAGAAGGCATAAATGCTTCCATCAAAAATGCCCCCTGGTGGTTTTTAGTAAGGACCAATCGTGGGCAACACCGAATTAATTCCCGAGCCATACCTGTAGTAGAGAAAAAGAAATTTTATTATAAGGAAAAAAACGAGTTATCAAATTAGTTGTTATAAGATTAAAATTTTTACCAAATTTCCTTCCAGTTATAAAGTAGTAAATAAGTGCCGCGCCGTATGGGCCTTTTTCTGGCATTAGATCCTCGATGGGAGTGACGGAGTAAAGATAATGAACGACGTCCCATTGGTCATTGACAGAAGCCAAGAGAATTGGAGTCAAATTCTGGTTAGTGGTAATACTAAGTATTTTCTTGCTTTTTCCAACCATGCATTCAACCATTTTGATATTTCCTCTTTGTGCAGCAACAGCAAGAGCTGTCCAACCATAATTATCTGTTATTTCCAAGTCTTCCTCGGACATCAACTGCACCAACTCTTCCACAATATGCTCGTGCTCTAGTTCTGTTGCCATGTGAAGAGCTGTCCTGTTTGAGTACTGATGTCTTGCTCTTATTACATCGGGATGTAGGGTAAGAAATTCCTTTGCTTCATTCCAATCCCCACGCGATACAGCATCGAACAACGGCTTATACAGACTCTTGTCATTTCCTGCACCAAGTTTGTGTTAATTAATTAATTATTTCATATAGCATAATCCACTTATTTTTTGTGTTTTTTTTTAATGACTTTGAGGACCACTATTTACAGACATCTTGAATGGAATTGCTAGGAATATGATTGTGGGTAGTTTTATGATTCATGGAGGAAATTGACTATTTAAAAATAAATAAATAAAGCCAAAGGGGAAAATTGACACCGTTAGATTTAATTTCCACATTGTTGCACATATAATTTGCATAAGGAGATAAATTTCTTTTCACATACAGTAATACAGGGAGACCAAAATGTAAAAGAAATAAAAGTAAAATGATTAGGAGTCCTTAACATAAGCAGCAGAAATTGTGGTCTTGGTATATTATATATATTTTATTTGAGCGACACCCTACGATTTTTTTTTCAACAATTCAAACCGTCTATTTTTCAAGTCTTTATTCTTAGATCATCTTTGAAAAAATCAGATAAATTGAAAATCATTAAGGAATTTAATTGAGACCGACAAAATCAAGGAACACGATACTTCAAAAAAGTACTTAAATTTCAATAATTTGAATGGTCAAATGTTATTAAATAAATATCTACAAAATAGGCGGTTTGGATGAGTGAAATACAATGCGGAGTGGTCCCTATAAAAGGTGTCCCTCAAATAAGCTTATTTAAGTAGAATATTTACTTCTCACAGAAAGAGAACCAAGTACACCCGGGGGGTTGTTTGATGAGGTTCAAGATTTGAACTGGTGACTTACTTGGATGAAATGGTTTTGGCTTGAACTTTTCTGCCAAAGTATCCCAAGCGCGTTTGGCTGAAGTGGCGTTTCTAATGAGGGAAAAGGCTTTCCGCCCGCACGAAATTTGGATTTTATGTAAAGCCGTGGCATTCTTCTTCCTCCAAGCTTTGAACTTATCATCAGCTTCTTCTTCTTCTTCTTCATCGTCGTCTTCATATTCTTCTTCCACTACATCCCAAAGGTCTTGAGCCAACAAGTAATTTTTAACCAATACACTCCAATCCACATAGTTACTGCTATCAAGAAGTTCCACAACAGCTGCATCTGCGGAGACGGCCATTCTTAGATGGATCTGACAAAGGGCTTACTTAGGAGAGGCTTTGCAATTTCTGTTTTAATTACTATACCCAATTGAGTGAAGAACCACTTGTTAAAGCAATGGGGGTCCGCGAAGGGTGGTGAGGGATTATGTGATTTACCATTTATATATATATATATATATATATATATACTGTATACACCCGCTCATTATGAGTCTTTTTTTATCAGAAGAGTCTTTTAATTGGTATAGGCCCCTACTGGCTACTGCCACCAGCACACTGATGGTAAACCCAAAAACGCGTCTAATGGGACCAGTTACAGGGTCTTTTTTCAACTCATTCATACTTACTTTTGTCCGACCACATTATGAATTGACCAATAAAGTTTGATGAACTCCGGTGATATCGTTGACCAATAGGAACGGAGAATTTCACTTAGACCCTCTAAAGCTAACTCCACTATTATGCTCTCTATTTTTTAGTTAGTTTTAGCTAAAAATATATCAAAGTTATTTTAGGAGCTCTCTATAAAATTTAAACTTCAATCGTGCTCTCTAGTTTATGAGTCATAAATGCTATAATTCTTTTTTGATTGGTCCATCTCTATTAAAAAATAAAATAAAAAATGTTTAGCATTAAATAAAGGTTTGAAATACACATTAAATAAAGCAGCATTAAATTATAGGAAGCCACTAGGAGTCCTTTCTCTCTCCTCAAATTTAGGAGCTCCTAGAGGTTTCCTTATTTTAGGAGGTGGATAGAGAGTATGGTTGGAGTTGTACTTTTACAATTCCTCCCTAAAATTTGTTTAAGGAGGTGATTTATGGAGCCCATTATGGATGCTCTTAGGACATTTTTTCTCTCTATTCTTTTCTTTATCTTTCCTCCTCCCTCTTCTTTCCTTCTCTTCGATATGCCTTTTTCTTTTAATTGTCTGTTTTTTTTTCACTTTTATTATGCTGGCAAAAAAAAATTTCTGGTGCAATTCCTTATCACTATTAACTTGCATTGCAATTAACAAATTAAACCAAACCATTATAATTATAAATTCAATTCAATTTACAGGGGCTTACTCGGGAGAGGCTTTGCAATTTCTGTTTTATTTACTATACCCAATTGAGTACTCACTTGTTAAAGCAATGGGGTCCGCGAAGGGTGAGGATTTGTGATTTACTATTTCCATTCGTTGACGTAATTAAACAAATTCAACGAAGAGTAATTTACCCTTGAGGTTTTTAGGGTTTTTATATAACTCCTTCATATCACGATAATTACACAAGCACCTTTTCAAGTTTCAACACTCCATGAACAGCCAAAACACTCTTATCCAAATCGTAATATACCCTTGGTTGAATACCATCTCAAATCTTACACATTATTGCCAAACAGGTCTAGCCAAGTGAATTGCCAAAAAATAAAAAAATAAAAAAGCCTATCCCAATGGAAAATGACTTTAATTTGTTGACTAATATAGTCTGGGTTCAAACTCCCCTAACATCTTGGTGGTATGTGTGTGAGAAACCCCCTTCTCATTTAAGTTTCGACAATCACTTGTACTAAAAAAGGGTTATCTGCTGTAAAACACTATAAACTATCACGCTTGTCGAAATCTCCACCTTGAACTTGTTTTCCTGCCAGTTTAGGGTGTAGTGGAGTTAGCCGTCATACTAAATTTTCTGGCCAATTTTCTCCCCACCATTAGTTTTTGGCAATTTTCATCCAAATCTCTGTTTAAAAAATCACTTGTTAGGCACATGCTTCATTGATAAATTAAAAATTGATTTTTTTCTTTGCTTCTTCAAAGAGCTCAAATTTCTTCTCCTTCCTCTTCTGGGTTTTGGTTTTTGGTGGTGGTTTGAAATTTACATCCATGTCCTCTTCGTTATAAAGGTTGAGATCGATCTGACGGTGGAGAGATTAGGGTGTAGTGGAGGGTTAGTGGGCTGCGGCGCATAAGATGATTTGAGAGGGTGGGGGAGAGGGGGGGGAAGAGAGAGAGAGAGAGAGAGAGATATGTAAATTTTGTATTTTGGATTGATTTGATAAGTGTGATACATGAGAGATTTATACATAGTTGAAAACCCTAGTAGAGATATACAAGGAAACTGAATCAACAATACAAGGAAGGTAAATCAATATTAACACGTATACAAATATGGAAGGAGGATTCCTGCAATGCAGAGGATTCCTATAATGGAAGAAGGGCCTAACGGCCATGAGTTGCGTTTTCCCTAAAACTAGACGGCGGACCTTGATAGACGAGTTTTTCAGAGAGTTGGAGATGGCGACTTTTTTGAAGACTTTTTGCCAGAAGGTCAGCAACTGATCAGTGGAAGGAACAAATTGAGCATGATGACTGCCAAGGGAAACTTTCTGAGGAACAAAATGGTAATCCAATTAAATATGCTGTGTGTGAGTCTGACGAACTGGATTCGTAGTTAGATAGGTGGTATTGATTTTATCACAGTAGATGAGAGTAGGAAATGTAACTGGGCAGCCAAGCTCATGGAGAAGACAACTAACCCAGACGGTTTCGGTGCAGGCATGAGCTAAAGAACAGTACTTGGATTTTACACTAGTGCGAGCAACGGTTGGTTGCTTCTTGGAACACCAAGAGGTGAGAGTGGTAACCAAAAAGATGAGATAACCGGAGGTAGAGCAATGGGTGTCTAGGCAGCCAGCCTAGTCAGCATTAGAGTAGGCACGAATAGTCAGTGGTGAAGGAGAGGGACGTATATGCCAACCAGTAGGGAGACCCCCAGCCAAGTTTAAAAGTAGGTAGCAAAATATATTTATTAAATATAGCCCAGGCATGGTTATATTAAAACCAAAATCATAATGCACAACAACATAAAAGAAATATTTCACTTACTTACCATTAAACCGGGATGTCAAGATAAAACATGGATGCTCATACAGCTTTTTAAAAGCAAGTTTTCGGATATTCAGTAACGTTCTTTTGATAATCGATTCTCGTATGCCAACTACCCATACCACAAATTTATTCAGCTCAGGTTGCATGGTAGCGAGAGTGTCCATTCCATGGCTATACCTCATTGAACTATCCTCACAGCCGCACATACTGTAGGACTAGTCGGTCCATATAACCCCCAGCCAAGTTTAGGGTATCGAATCCCAAGGTGGTCACTATGCCCCCTTCACTCTCAGATCAACTCAGAACACTGTCAATGAAGCTGATGCCTAAAGTACGATTAAATCCATACAATAGATATGCGAACCAAAAGCAACGTTGAGTTCTCATGCAATCATATTTATTACTTCATACATACAGTAAAATACAAGCCTGGTTTAGTGATCTCCCTACCTGGAGTCCAATGCTAATGCCTGGTCCCACAGACCTTACTTGCCGAGTCGAAAATAAGCTCTTAACGTGCTAGGGTTAGGTCGAGTCACATTTTACGAACCCTAAGTCGAAGTACAAACCCTAGTTTGGAACCCTACGTCGTTGTTAGAAACTTAATGTGAAAACCCTAGGTCTGGTTATGTGGCAAATACTAATCGCATTTCAGGAAATTTAGGAAAGCTAAAAAATAAACAACTCAAAAGGAGAAACTTACCAAGGATGGAATGAGAAGCTCCAAGGGAGGAAATCGACTTCCAAAGGAAATTTGAGGAGATGGGAGGGTGCAACCAGGGCCGTTGGATCTCAACCAAAAATTTGATTTGAGGGTCCGTATTGCGTAAAAAACTGGAGAAAAACGATGAAGAATTGGCTGTAGAGGCACACGACATGTCGTACGGGAGGGACGGTCCAGATCGTTTGACGACATCAAATAAACAACTGAAAACAAACTAAGCCAGCCCGACCCGTTTGACAAACACGCGGATCCTCAAACTAGTCGGCTTCTTATATGGGTAATTAACATTGTGCCACGTCAACGCACAATCAGGGTCTACCTCCAACAGCGTAACGAAATGTCAGCACCTATCAGAACACGTCAGTATCCTGTTAGCATCTCTTGTCCTTCTGATCAGCTATATCAGCATGCCATCGACACTCCAGATCACGCCACCTGTCCAGCTGAACTAATTTTTCTTTTCCAATTTTCTTATTTTTCAAAACTTCTAAAATCCATCATAAATAACTTCGAGCTCCGACCAATTCCTTGAAAATTCCAACGGCCTCGTCTCCACCTCTACTATTTTTTGTACCTTCACTTCTCCAACATCCTTCAAAATATTTTCTGGAAAATTGTCCAACACTCAATATAAATTCAAATAAAGTCCAAAAATTCCAATTTAATTTCCATAAATTCCAATCTTCACCAATTTGAGTCCAAAAATTTTCTTTTTCACGCAGATCGCTCCAACTAAGAATATAAATTTTCCAGGGGCTCATAGAGGGATCCTTTAAATAAGTTTACAAAGAGCTTCTATTGAGGGATCGAACACCCCTGTAGGGCCCACTCCGCATTGTATTTCACTAATTCAAACCATCTATTTTGTAGAATCATTCAAAGATCATTTAAACCATCTATTTTTTTAGACTGATATATTGTAAATGTTGAAATATATTAGGGGACACACGTAGAACCACACTTTTTAACACACCATTTAAATTATCGAATTAAGTAAGTTTCAAACTTTAGAATTGTATTTGTTTAATGGGCAATCCTTTTCTTTCACACATCGTTCAAATTTAAAAATAATTAAACATTGGGGACAACATAGTAGCCCAGCTTTTAAGACTATTCATTATTTTATTATATTCTCTCTCCCCTCTCTTTCTTTTTTTGTTTAATGGGCAAACCTTTTCTTTCATCTTCTATCTTCTTTCCCGCTGCTTTCTCTGGCTTTATTGTACATGAGTTTACACGCACACACCCTCAAAAAGTTTCCAACGAATTCCTTATTGAAAAGAGTTTTGTAGTTTATTTTCCTTCTTCATGACATTTGGTCATTGTTGCTGTAAAAATGCTAATGATATTAGTGTCCATGAAATTTAATGATTTCAAACAGTGAAGGAAAAATAGATTAATAAGCATTTTATCAGTCTTTG